GTTTCTCGGGACCAAAGACAATCATTTCGGTTTTGTCCGCATTTAGCTGGAGAAAATTGCATTGCATCCACTCACTGATCCGCTGGATACAGCGAAGGAGTGAGTCCACCGGCCCATGCTCTCCTGCAGTCAGTGAGACATAGATCTGAGTGTCATCAGCGTAATTGTGGTAGGACACTTTCATACTTTGAATTAACTGACCTAATGGCAGCATGTAAATATTGAACAGGAGAGGTCCCAGAATCGACCCCTGTGGCACTCCGCAGGTCAGGGCCATATTATCTGAGACATAGTTTCCAATCTCCACACAATACTTCCTTTCTTCTAGATAGGACCTAAACCAGCTTAGGGCGGTACCAGCAACACCAACCCAGTCCTCCAGTCTCTGCATGAGAATCTCATGGTCAACGGTGTCGAAAGCGGCACTCAGATCTAACATGACTAAAACAGAGACTTTTCCTGCATCAGTGTTAAGCCGAATATCATTTGTTACCTTGACTAGAGCGGTCTCAGTACTGTGGTGTGGTCTAAAGCCAGACTGAAACATGTCAAATGAGTCATTAGATATTAAAAATTCAGTAAGTTGTTGGTAGGCAACTTTTTCAAGAATTTTTCCCATGAAAGGCAGATTTGAGATGGGACGGTAATTTTCAAGTACCGCAGCATCCAAACTGCTCTTTTTTAGGAGGGGCCTAATGACTGCCTTTTTCAGGGCCATTGGAAATGTTCCAGATAAAAAAGACATGTTTACTATTTGTGTCAATGAGGGTAATAGACTACACATAACAGACTTCAGAAATCTAGGAGGTAGTACATCCAGACTGCAGGTAGAGGAACTAAGACCTGTGATTATCTTTTTAACAGTTTCATCATTGACAGGTGCAAATTGAGCTAGCTCACAAAGCCTCACTGGATGTTGCATTGTTACTTGTGTTGTAGAGGTGATGGCATTTCTGATACCCTGAACCTTGTCTCTGAAGAACTGTGCAAACTCATTACACCTGGATTTGGAGTAGTGTTCTAATGGCAACTCAACAGGGGGATTCGTTAATCTATTGATTGTTGAAAATAGAACACGCAGATTGTTGCTGCAGCCTTCAATAGTTTCAGAAAAGTATAATTCTCTTGTTCTACGTAGTACTCTGTTAAACTCACACAACTTCTCTTTTAAGAGTCTATAATCACCCTGGAGGTTGGACTTTCTCCACTTTCTCTCTGCTCTCCGGCACTCTTGCTTCTGTGCCCTGTCCTTTGGACTGGACCCTGAGGTTTCTCATCTTTTCCCAATGGGTTTCACAGTTTTTCCTTGCCAATGCTGTAGGGTCTAACGTAACAAAACAAAAGGTCAAACGTGATAAAATATTGATGTGAAATTTGTGGAGATGTTTTGGATGATAGGATTAAAAGTAGCGGTTAGTCCCACCTCTCGTTTTCCACAGGGCCACTCTAATTGCTACGTATGTGATTATTACGGTAAATATTCTGTTCTGCAGGTCCTCTACTGTCTTTGCAGTGACCCTCACAGACATTTGTTCTTCAAGGTTCTTCAAAGGGGTGATGCCTGATTGACGCTGAGCACAATGATTGACAGGCAAATAGTGACGTACTCCAAGTATTATTGTGACGTACTCCAAGTATTATTGTCTACATTTAATTTTGAAATTGTTAGAAACATCACCCTAAATTCCGTTGGTAGTTTTGATAACCGGCTCTATAGACCCATTGTTTTGGGACTCTCGAGTCTCCAATATTCTTCACTCTTTATCTCTCCCTCCAAGTTTCCATGTCCTCCCTACAGTATGTATCCTCCTGCAGCACATGCTCCTGACCAAAACTAAGCACTGACTGCCACTAAGGGTGGCAGTCAGAGCTGCACCCACAGAGCACCAGCCCCTCACTGATCCTGTGGTGAGTCCACAGGAGGACGGCTGCTCTGACGATGAGAGCATAGCCTTGATCATTCAGCGGGGGCTTCAGGTAAAGTGGAGTTAAGTGTCTTGCCCAAGGACACAATGACAGTAGACATCACTAGGAGTCAATGGAGAAAGTCTTGTGGTGGGCTAGAACCCACTACCTTCAGGCTCAATGCTCTACCAACTGAGCCACAAAACTAGTAGTACTCTGAATGAATTGGTGCATTTTCTGTTTCTCCCCAATGCTGATTACATTATGTCGACTTTTATCAACTGCTTAAAGAAGTAGCTCACTGCCATAACAGTCTCCAGAGGGAGAAGGTGTGAGAACCTTGAACTAGAACATGGTCAAAAGTTGGGAAAAGTTAATTTTGCGTCTTAAATCCCCTTTAGACTTACACTAAAATAAAGACAACTGGGGTCAACCAACTCATTAATAAAACATATATAATGTCAGTTTAGTTAGAAATTTGGGTCGTGAGATGAAAAATCCAGTTTTCTGGAACTTGATGCAGCCTTGTTTTAGACAATGTAAGTTGGACCTTCTGCTCTGGGACCTCCCCTCCCCCTCCCTCCCCCTTCCTCCCCCTTCCTCCCCCTGGACCCCTCCTTCTGACCGCTGGGTGGGCTGTGTCACTGCTTTCACTACAGCCCGGAGAGGCACAGCAGAGAGACTGGACCATAGTGAGAGGAGCAGCAACTTTTCACTACATTTGGAACCATTGAGAGCAGGGATTACGCCTTTCCTCTTCCCCTGGAGGAGCGACCGCTGTCCTGGGATCGCCTTCATCTGGACTGAACAGTTAAGTCATGCTTTCGTGGAGTTTATGCAGAGTGGAAGAAAGCAGAGTGTGTGTGTTGGAAGTTGTGGGATGACATAATAAGTGTCCAATCAGGAGTGAGCGCACGGAGAAATGTTTTGTTTCATTTACAATTATGCAAACTCAATTTATTATCTGATTATCACAGGTGTCAAGCGCATTGTTGTGGCCCCTCAAATGATTTTCAATGATTTTTATAATTGGTTAGTCAAATTCTTCATTCACAATCTCACACAAAATAACAAACTCAAAACAATACAGTAGAACGTGACAATTCCAGAGATGGTTTAAGACAACACACATACACACACTCAAGACACACACACACACAGACACAGACTCAAGACACATACACACTCAAGACACACACACACACACACAACTCGCTCTGTGCTGAAGGCCTCACTGTCACCTTCACCTTTATTTAACCAGGAAAGTCCCATTGATAGGGACAACGCACATGATTATAAAGCTAATGGAAATATGTTGGATTTACATATTTACGCAGCAGGCAAATAAGTTCGTTACAACATACAGGCTGCACAAGGAGATGTTTAGATTCGAGAGCCAGTTTTGTACATTAGGCGTTTCCAGACGCATTGACACATTATATGAGCCTTTACAGTTAATCAAACAATAAAATAAAATAAATAAATAAAATAAATAAATAAAATAAATACAATAAATACAATAAATACAATAAATAAATTAAATAAATACAATAAATACAATAAATAAATAAAATAAATAAAATAAATAAAATAAATAAAATAAATAAAATAAATAAAATAAATAAAATAAATAAAAAAAAATAAATAAAATAAATAAATAAAATAAATAAATAAAATAAAATAAAATAAAATAAATGTAAATAAATAAAATCGTGCAGTTTAAGTTCTTTCAATTCTGTTAACAGCGGATTAGAATGATGTCTATAGAGGACAGTATGACAGTTTTTTGCAACTGACCCCAATGTTCAGTAAATGATTTGGGGTCTTCATCATTCAAAACACACTGAGCAACTTTAGGATGGAGCAAATGATAACTCAAGGTGGGTTTTTGATTGGCTGCAGGTTTTCATTCCAAACAAACAAGGAGCACACCAAACCCCACCCATTTTCTCAACTGACTCCAATCTGAATTTGGAGACTTGAGGAAAAGTGGAGTTGAGTACCCCTGATACAGGCTCTTGAATACACAATTTACAATACCATTGATTATTGTATAGCCCCAAATCCCAACAGTAGTATTCTCAGAGGACTTAACGAAACCATTGAAATCACCAACACAGATCAGAGAATCAACAGTCAAGACACAAAAAGAATACAGAACACATGTTGTAGAATGTTATGGTGTCCTGGATCATCACAGACCCCCCTGCATTGGCAAGGAAAAAATTCTAAAACCCAGTGGGAGAAAAGTGAGAAACCTCGGGGAGACCCACATATTGAGAGAGGGATCTGCTCCACACAGACGGACGGGCGGGAATACAAAAGTACATGTTGTTTAAGATTGACATTTCAGGTGTTCAAAATATATTGCAGACTCAAAGAAACAAAACACGTCCTCTACTCGTGTCAACAAACCACATCGGTGAGCAGCAGATCCATGACATTTGAGTAATGGAAGAGCAAGTCCTTTACTAAAGCAGGAAGTAAACATTATAAACATCAGAAAAGTGTGTACGTATCTGACACATTCTTTGCACTAGAGCAGGGGTCAAGGACCTTTGGCTCAGGTGTCAGAATTTGATGATCGTGTCTGGCTCTCAGACAAATCTTAGCGGTACGTAGTAATAGTATGAAAGTTTTAGATTGGATTTTTTCATCATAAAAAATATTAAACAAAAAAAAACATTCTGAGACTAATATTACACACAAAAATTACACACAATCACTGTACAGAAAAATATGTATGGCTCCCACAGAAATAGACTTAAGTATGAGACTTTGGCTCCCTCAGCTTAAAAGACTGCACTAGAGTTTGAAGGTTTATACTTTATGTTTTTTTTGTTTTTTTTAATCAAGCTAAAGATAAAGTAGTATACAGAAGTACACAGTTGTACATTCCTGCTGTTACTACATGACTGTAACTCGATGTAACTGTGGGTCAAATGAAGGACCTCTTCCTCTATATCTTTTATTTTAAAGAACATTGTAGATTTTTCTTCCATGTATCACACTAAACAGAGTTAGAGTGGAAGTTTGTCTCACTTTTTCAGGAGGACGGTTCAGGATCTGACTGAAGTGTTGCTGCTGCAGGGACCATGGCAGAGGCAGCGCTGGAGCCGTGTGAGCTGCACTATCACAGTGAGTCTGGGTGCATTCAGGAGACAATAGGCTTGTAATCGTCATGGCAACAGTACTCTGCAAAAAGCAATATTTAGAGTTTGTTTCAGTGAATGTTTCAGATACGTCCACATAAACTTGCGCTCAGCCGTGGCAGTTTGTCAGACGGTGGAATATGTGCGACGAGTGGTTTTGCTTGATTTTTTCAGCTTGAAGAGGAGCAGGGTCCAAAAGAGTTATTGTTACGTTAGAAATATCAATCAATCAATCAACTTTATTTGTATGGCGCCTTTCCAACACAAGGCCACTCAAAGCGCCTCACAACCCACATAGTATCACACAAATCAGAGACATCAATAAATACATTAAAAACAGAATAAAATCACAAATAATGGAAAAAAAAAAAAAAAAACTTAAAATATTAAAAGCACACACGGGATTAAAATAATAAATAACCACAATGCATTAAAAAAAAAAGAGTATGTATCAATAGAATCCTTCAGCCGTATGCACAGCTAAAAAGAACAGTTTTTAGCCCCGATTTAAAAATTGCCAGAGTAGATGCTAGCCTCACATCTTCAGGAAGATTGTTCCAGATTTTAGCTCCATAAATCTCAAACGCTGCCTCCCCATGTTTAGTTCTGACTCTTGGAACCAGTAAGAGGCTACTTCCTGTGCTCCTCAGAGTCCGGGTCGGTTCATATGGGACTAACAAGTCGCTTAAGTACCCTGGTGCGAGGCCATGGAGAGACTTGTACACAAGCAGTGCTGCTTTGAAGTCTATTCTCTGAGCCACAGGAAGCCAGTGCAGAGACCTGAGAACTGGACTAATGTGGTCATATTTCCTGGTCCTGGTCAGGACTCGAGCTGCAGCATTTTGGACATACTGCAGTTGTTTTACAGCCTGTTTGGAGAGACCTGTGAGCAGGCCATTGCAGTAGTCTAACCTACTGGAGACAAATGCATGGATGAGAATCTCCAGATCTGATTTAGACACTATGTTTCTAATTTTGGCAATGTTTTTCAGATGGTAAAATGCTGCTGATGTTACTGATTTGATATGACTGTTAAAATTTTAAGTCTGAGTCCATTATAACTCCTAGGTTTCTGACCTTGCCTACAGGTTCCAGGGAGAGAGACTGGAGGTGACGAATAACGCTCTCTCTTTGTTTCTGAGGACCAAAGACAATCAATTCTGTTTTGTCTGCGTTTAGCTGAAGGAAGTTATTTTGCATCCAATCACTAATCTGTTGAGTACAGTGAAGGAGTGATTCCACTGGTCCATGTTCTCCTGCAGTAAGTGAGACATAAATTTGAGTGTCATCAGCGTAATTGTGGTAGGATACATTGTTGGAGCGTATTAACTGACCTAACGGCAGCATGTAAATATTGAACAGAAGAGGCCCCAGAATTGATCCCTGTGGCACTCCGCAGGTCAGAGCCATATGATCTGAGACACAGTTTCCTATCTGAACCAAGTATTTCCTGTCTTCTAGGTAAGACCTAAACCAACTTAGGGCAGTCCCAGTGACACCCACCCAGTGCTCTAGTCTCTGCAGGAGGATCTCGTGGTCGACTGTGTCGAACGCAGCACTCAGATCCAACATTACTAAAACTGTGACTTTTCCTGTGTCGGTGTTAAGTCGGATGTCATTTGTAACCTTCACTAGTGCAGTCTCAGTGCTGTGATTGGCTCTAAAGCCGGACTGGAGCGCATCAAACGAACTATTAGTTACTAAGAATTCTGTAAGTTGTTGGTAAGCAACTTTTTCCAGAATTTTTCCCATAAACGGCAGATTTGAAATGGGGCGATAATTCTTAAGAACTGTGGCATCTAGACTCCTCTTTTTTAGGAGGGGTCTGATGATTGCCGTTTTCAGGGCCATTGGAAATGTTCCAGATGAGAAAGACATGTTCACTATTTGTGTGAGCAAAGGTAAAAGACTGCTCAAAACAGACTTAACAAATTTAGTGGGTAGTACATCCAGGCTACATGTGGAGGAACTAAGGCTAGAGACAACATCTTGGACAGTTTCATTATCTGTTGGTGCAAAGTGCGATAGCTCAAACAGCCTCACCGGCTGTTGTAATGTTATTTCTGCCTTGGAGGTGATGGCGTTTTTGATGCTCTGAACCTTGTCATTGAAAAATTGTGCAAACTCATTACATTTAGATTCTGAAGCAAATTCGAATGGCAGCTGAACAGGGGGGTTTGTTAATCCGTTAACTGTTGAAAACATAAGTCGTAGATTATTATTGCAGCCATCAATGGTTTTAGAAAAATAAATTTCTCTTGTTCTACGTAGCACCCTGTTAAACTTGCACAACTCATTTTTGAAGATATCATGATCAACCTGGAGATTGGATTTTCGCCACTTCCGCTCGGCCCTACGGCACTCTCTCTTCTGTACCATGACTGAGTCCATTTTAGTCCAGGGGGCCTTTGGCTTATTTGTAATCATTTTAACCTTCACAGGAGCGATGATGTCCAGAACATTTATAACATTGGCGGTGACAGAGTTAAACAATTCGTCAACAGTAGAACACAATGTGTTCTCAAAGTTTATCATTCCCATGAATAGTTCGGTTGTGTTTTCATTTATGTGTCTGTGTCTGACAATTGCAGATTCAGATATATATGGTTGTTTGCTATCAAAACACATGTCAAAAAATACACAGAAGTGATCTGACAGAGCCACGTCAACCACATTTACATTTAAAATATTAACCCCCTTTGTAACCAGCAGGTCTAGAGTGTGCCCTTTGCTGTGGGTGGGGCCACTCACGTGCTGAGTGAGACCAAATGTTTCAAGTACAGAACTCAGCTCTTTTGCATTTTTGTCATTGCCATTATCCACATGAATATTAAAATCACCTGTAATCACTAAACTATCAAAATCGGTGCAAACAACTGAAAGCAACTCAGTGAAATTATCCAAGAAATTGTGACAAGACTGCGGTGGCTTGTACAGGACAATGATAAGAATAGAATTTATTTAATACTTATGTAAACAAAACATGGAGCTGTTTATTTATAAATGTACAATACATTTTATTTATGTTGTGTTGCCCCAACAACAAGGATTTTATATAATTGTTGATTTGCCAACAACAGATTAGAGAGGGAGAGGGACCTGCTCCCAGAGACTCTAGGTCCAGGACTGAGGCTGTAGATCCAGGACTGAGGCTGTAGATCCAGGACTGAGGCTGTAGATCCATAACTAAGACATTAGATCCAGGACTGAAGAGGCTCCCAGGCGGGGAGGGGGATGCAGCTCATGAGTCTGGGCCGGGGGCGACCAGGTGTAGGTCGAAGAGCTTGGGTCTAGGGTTTCCCTCATCCCGTCGTGAAACAGACAGTAGGACAGCGGAGTGGATAGTGCTCAAGTTACTATATTCTATACACTGACAATCTGTTTTTTTACTTTTAATGTCTATTTCTTACGTCTTCTTTCCATCATTGACTGAACTCATTTTCACAGAAAATTTTTACAAGGACAACTTAACATTGAAAGAGCAGGAAGTTGGGGTTTGGGGTGATTGATGAATCACAACGTGTCATGAATCAAACAAAATGGTGATTTCTGAATGGAAAAGACGATCTTGGTTTATAAAGTTAGGGCACCTTACACCTTACACCTGCCTGCCCTGATATCAGTGTCTGATGCTCAACACTCCCCCGGATGTCCTCGTTATGAGTCATTCTAGTCGGATTGTTTGTGTGCTCTGGTCCTTTAAAGAGACAGGGCAGCATGACATCGCTTTGTGTAGCTTCAAAGAGATGAGATCTATTATCTTAATTTGAGCAGGTTGGACATAAAGGAGATTAGGAGATTTCACAACTGGAACACCAGTGAGAGATTGGTGTTCCAGTTGTGACAAAGCTGTTGCATGTTTTCCAGATGACCTCTCGGTGCCGTCTTCACCTTCCACAGTGCGCAGCGAGTGTGACATCACCCCCCTCACACCCCCCCACACCCCGGTAACACCAACTTTCCCTATTCATGATATTTATTTGAACTGCAAAGACTTTCTAATAGACAAGTAATCTGCAAAATTGTCTTTTTGCGTTTTTAACCATGTTCCAACGTTATTTCTCATCAAAAAAAGATTTGAAGTTGTTTTTAGCTCCTTTCGCACTAACACCAGGACAGGACACAAGCCTGCCCCATGTGTTTGTAAACTGGATACACTGTAATGACTGAGGCTGCTGTCACAAGGACGGCCAGCACTGCCAGCTTCAGTGCGTGGAGAGTGCACACTCGGCTCTTCACAGCAGAATTAGATTCTACTCATAACCGATGGTCTGCGACATCATCAAAGCTTAAGAAGCTTGAAACACGAGCATTTAGTCAGAAGTGGGGATGTGTTTGCACCAGAAGTTCTAGATATTAGTGTGGAAGGATCTAAACACAACTCCAGGTCAGTGACTGATGAGGCACAACGTTGGAACGTGGTTAATGACAGAAGTTAAGAAATGTTGTTTGTGGCCTTGGTGGTCTTGTTGACACGCTGCTTTTCTCCTGCAGAGGGCGGCGACGAGATCAAACACCTGTCCATTCTCTGTGGTCGTGGCCATCGACTTTGGAACCACCTCCAGCGGTTACGCCTTCAGCTTCACCGACTCCGAGGCTATCCACATCATGAAGTGAGGGGCAACATTTACGGGACCATATCACTGCTCCAACGCCTCACTTGTGGCCCCGGCCCGCAAGTTTGACATCTCTTTGTTTCGACATAATGGAACCTCTTGATCTGTCAGCTCAAAGCTCCAACAAAACACTATTATTGCCATAATTAAAATATTATCTTTTTGTGCTGAGTGGAAGTCGCTGGCCTTGGTCCTGAAGTAGACAAGATAAATCAAACAATGTACCGTACCGTACCTACAGGACTATAAGAGGCACCTGTATATGAGCCGCACCGCAACATTTTAAAAGAAAGTACATTTTGTCCACATATAGGCCCACTTGAATATAAGCCACAGGTTTTCATATTGTACTGTAGCAGATAGACGACTTTTTTAAATGGTCACAACATGATTTAATGACACGGTATTAAACAGCTTAACTGTTAGCTTCCATGCTGGTACTTATTCAGCAGTCTATTTTGACTGCAAAAAAATAAAAAATGAAATAACGTCCAAGAACTCTACTCTGACAACTCTATCACAAAAATACCCATATAAGCCTCATCAGAATATAAGCCACAGGGTTCCTGTATAACAAAAACAAATAAGGGTAAAATGTGGATTTGCATGAATTATCCATAAAATAATCAAGAAAACATCGACAGATTATAATCGGCATCAGCATTTCACTCACTTTAGTATCAGGTTTTTCCATGTGTTTTTTTCCAGTGAGTCCAAAGTGACAAGGCTCTTTCAAAACATGATTTATGATTTGTTACAGTCCACTGTCTCATGTTTGTCTGTGTGTCCCACGGGAGCAGGCGCTGGGAGGGCGGAGACCCTGGGGTGGCCCATCACAAGAGCCCCACGTGCCTGCTGCTGACCCCAGACCTGCGCTTCCACAGCTTCGGCTTCTCTGCCCGAGATTTCTACCACGACATGGACCCTGAGGAGGCCCGGCTCTGGCTCTACCTGGACAAGTTCAAGATGAAGATCCACAGCACCAGCGTGAGTGTAGCCATCTCCAACAACCACGCCCCACCCCTCTGTCCTAATGCTCGGCTTTCAAACTCATGACAAATTCTCCAAAACTAACATGGGCAGAGCGGTTTCTGAAATTTAGTCAGTTGTTATTGGACCTTTGGGCACTTTTCCTGAAAATATTGTCCAAATACTCCGATAACGTTTTGAGTTTTGTCAATCACAGACAGACCTGACGACCCAAGATGTCGGCTCTTTCAAATCAATGGCCTGTGCTTATTGGCGTGTACGCTAACCATAAAAGTCCAAGTAATATCAGGAGTGACATATTTCACTAAACTCAACCTCTGAAAACACTATCAGTTCTGTGACAGCTGAGCAGGAGCTCATGAGTCTATAAGGAATTTTCCATTGGTTCCATTGGTAGTTCAGTGATAAACTGAGAAGTGGGGTTTGAATCAGTATTACTCATGATGTATTTTTCTGGGTGCATGAAAGCCTTTGATAATGTCCTATTGAGGCTGAATGCTCACATCTTTCTCCTGGAATATCCCCACTGAGGACGAATGAAGGATTCCTTAATCTTCCCTTAACCATAACAACGCCATATCAAGCTATGTTTAGAGAGTTTTGCACTAAACACTAAACATCATGAAGTCCAAGGAGCACACAGAGAGTTGAGGGGTGAAGCTATGGACAAGTTTCAAGAATAGTAAGATGCAAACATTTTAACTCACAGAGCACTGTCCAACCCATCCATCCATTTTGTTTCCGCTCCATCCGTTGCCAGGTCGCGGAGGCAGAAGTCTAAGCAGAGACGCTTAGACTTCCCTATCCACACACACTTTCTACAGCTCGTCCGGGGGGACCCCAAGGCGTTCCCAGGCCAGCTTAGAGACATAGTCCCTCCAGCGGGTCCTGGGTCTTCCCCGGGGTCTTCTCTGTGGGACGTGCCTGGAACACCTCCCTGGGGAACACAGGGTTAGAGCTCTAACCCTGTGTTAACTACGGTGGGGCAGCATCAAAAACGTTTCTTCAGCAGAGACAGGGAATAGTAAGAAAAGTTGCTGAAGCTGTAATATATCAGGACACAATCTTTTTCAAGCGGTATTGATACTTTTGCAAGCCCACTGTAAGAACAGCTTGTCTTACAGAATCTGTCTTCAGGAGTGTAAATTCCTGAATATGTAATGTGTTTGTGCCTGAAGTTCCGGACTTGTGGCTGGACATGTTTTTGATTTTTCTAATCATCACAACCCTTGTTGATTATTATGCCATCCTCATATGACTTTGTATTGTACAATGGTTTTCTAATAATCAATTAGCCTTTTGACACAATGACCTGACTGTTGCTGTAGAAGAGAGGAGTGGTGCTAAACTGTACATGTACATGTATGTAAATACCACTGAATGTCAAGTCCCAGAGGAGAACACCCATTTGGAGAAAGCAGACAAGGAAGAGGAAGTATAGAAGGAAGTGCATCAGGAAGTCTTCTGAGACGAATGAGGTCCACACCCGGCAGCTCCAACAATCACACGCTCACACACTGTTGTTGTGAACGTAGACTTGTGTGCATTGCTGATCACTAGGCAACGTCTAAAACATGTTTGACGCCAACAATGATCATATACACTTATACCGTACATATGTATATACAAACATACAGTGGGGCAAAAAAGTATTTAGTCAGCCACCGATTGTGCAAGTTCTCCCACTTAAAATAATGACAGAGGTCTGTAATTTTCATCATAGGTACACATCAACTGTGAGAGACAGAATGTGAAAAAAAAATCCAGGAATTCATATTGTAGGATTTTTAAAGACATTATTTGTAAATTATGGTGGAAAATAAGTATTTGGTCAATAACAAAAATTCAACTCAATACTTTGTAATATAACCTTTGTTGGCAATAACAGAGGTCAAACGATTGCTATAGGTCTTCACCAGGTTTGCACACACAGTAGCTGGTATTTTGGCCCATTCCTCCATGCAGATCTTCTCGAGAGCAGTGAACATGGACTTTCTACTCCCTCCACAGATTTTCAATGGGGTTGCCGTCTGGAGACTGGCTAGGCCACTCCAGGACTTTCAAATGCTTCTTACGGAGCCACTCCTTCGTTGCCCGGGCGGTGTGTCTGGGATCATTGTCATGCTGGAAGACCCAGCCACGTTTCATCTTCAAAGCGCTCACAAAGCGAAGGAAGTTTTGGTTCAAAATCTCACGATACACCCCATTCATTCTCTCCTTAACACGGATCAGTCGTCCTGTCCCCTTAGCAGAAAAACAGCCCCAAAGCATGACGTTTCCACCCCCATGCTTCACTATGGGTATGGTGCAACTCAGTATTCTTCTTCATCCAAACACGACGAGTTGAGTTTATACCAAACAGTTCTACTTTGGTTTCATCTGACCACATGACATTCTCCCAATCCTCTGCTGTATCATCCATGTGCTCTCTGGCAAACTTCAGACGGGCCTGAATTCCTGGATTTTTTTTTCACATTCTGTCTCTCACAGTTGAAGTGTACCTATGAGGAAAATTACAGACCTCTGTCATTATTTTAAGTGGGAGAACTTGCACAATCGGTGGCTGACTAAATACTTTTTGCCCCACTATGCACATATATACATATACATATACACATACATTTACACATACATATTCATATACATATTCATATACATATACACATACATATACATATGATCATTGTTTGGTTTGAGAGTCACCTGGGAAGGATGGGGTGAAGTATTGGATTTGATACAGACGTTCACCTTAACAGTGTGAGCAAAAAAGCCAATTTCGACTTTCGATCTGTTCATGTTACATTAGTGACAAGGTGACTGTACGCATGACTTCTCTTGTCTTTTCTTCAGGATGTCTCCATGGAAACAGAGCTGGAGGCAGTAAATGGCAGGAAAGTCCGAGCCATCGAGGTGTTCGCCCACGCCCTGCGCTTCTTCAGAGAGCACGCCCTCAAGGTGAGCTCACAGCCACTCTTCACACATGTGTTTACTGAATCAGTGATACGCTGGCAGTTACGGATGCTCAGAGGGAAGAAATATGCAGAAATTGCTCACTTGATTTAAAATTCTAAGCGACACCTGCAGGACCCATTTTTCCCCATATTAGACACCCTCTAAGCATGCATTTTGGTTTTAATGCACAAACAAAAAACCAAAAGTTAAATGTCAGAAGGAGGCCCCTGAGATGCAGAGCGATATGTCTGAAAATACCAACCTTCCTGAGCACTGACGACTTCCTTTGATTCTTTAATAGTACCATCAACTTCCAGCGGAGGATGGCCACAACGTGCTGAGTGGGTAGAGACGCCTCTGCATTTTAATTCTAACTTGCCTCATCAAAAAATCACGTTTACAATCATTTCAAAGCAGGAGCTGACTCACTCTAACTGTGCTTGAAAAAGACTAAACCAAGAAAAAATAACACCCTTAAAAGCCATACATTTGACCAGTTCTTGGCCATGCTGCTCACAAAGTCATTGATAAAGAAATGGTCGTAGTATTGAGACGTCGGAACAATGGAGCGTCAGAGAAATTACCTGATTTCTTTTATTTGATTCCATTTATTATTGTACAGCCCTAAATCCTAACTGTAGTTATCTTGAAGAACTATACAAAGTCGTTGATTCGCCAACACAGACAGAGAATCATAAGAGACAGATGAAAAATGTCAATAAACTCCATAAATGATGTTGAATGTCATGTGTCCTGGACCATTGTCCTTAGACCCTCCTCATCGACAAAGAAAAACTCTATAAATCCAGTGGGACAAAATGAGAAACCAAAAAGCTTGTACGATCGAAGCTACAGTATGGGGCCCTGGACAAGTCTGGTTAAAGACCTAAAGTATCTCACAAACTAAATTCTTTGGACACTTCTGATCTAAAAGAGATGAAAGGGGGAGCTTAAAGTAAAGTATAAATTATTGCCAGCACAACTCTGTCGAACCATAAACACAATTTCTTCTCTCTCTTTATGGTTTCAAAAATGAACTATAAAACAAGCTACCGCGTGGCCGCCTGTCACTTTGAAGGTCTTCAAGGGAACCCAAAAGCTCAGTGTGCTTTTTTGCTCTGCACAATATGAAATGCAATTAAAACAACAAAAATACACAATACAATCGTAACACGTGCAAATAAATACGTTGGACGGAACGGTAGATGAGTGGACAGCACTCTTGCCTCTCAACAAGAAGGTCCTGGGTTTGAATCCTGGTTGGAACAGGGCCTTTGAGTGGAGTTTGCATGTTCTCCCCGTGTCTGCGTAGGTTTCCTCTGGGTGCTCCGGTTTCCCCTACCTCTAAAAATATGTACAATAGAACTGGCATGTGCTTCCTGTACTGGCACCCCCAATCCCAAAAATCACAATTGTAAACCGCTTTGAGACTCCGATGTGCAGTGAAAAGGCGGTATATAAATAAAGATTACTACTACTACGGCGACCACTGCTCCTGACGTGAGTCTTTAGAGGCATCAGGATGGGTCAAATGCAGAGGACAAATTTCCCTACGGGGACAATAAAGTACACATTTACATTTACATTACACCAGTGATTCTCAAAGTGCGGTATGCGTACAACTAGGGGCTCTCTCTAGTGGTAAGCCAAAGACCTTGCCTGCAAGCTGAATTCTCGCGGTATTTGTGAGTTCACAAACACTCGAGAATACATCTTGCCCCGCTCCCGCCAACCCTTTTCGAGTAGAACATCTAGGTGTTCAAGCCAATCACGTGCCAGTCTGGGGTTTTAGGGCGGGATATCCGGGTTTGACGAAAGCAAGAAGTGCCGGGCCGAAGCAAAACAAACATGGCTACGCAGGACGACGGACGTGTAGCTGAGGCTATCAAGTCAGTTTTAGCAAAATCTCCAATTTCTTTTTTGAAAGATGAACACCGAGAGGCTCTTTGTGCATTTCTGGACGGCAACCTTGGTAGGCGGGCACACAGCGTCACTTCGCCCAATCAGCTTGAAGTATTCTGCTGCTTATCCCTCCTTTCCCCGAAAGGATTCTCCTGCAGAAGTCCCAGATTGATATTGTGGAGAATGCATTAGAGTTCTACACAATCATCAATCTGGCTCTTGCCAGGTTAGGCCAAAGAATCACTGAAATAAATATAATAAAAAACAAACCAGGTAAGTCCCATTGAGATTAAGAACCTCTTTTTCAAGGGGGTCCTGGACAAAAGTTACACACAATTACAGATTACAAAAACAGTCACATGCAATTTCTTAAAATTACGGATTATGAAAATAGTTACAGTTCAATGAGGACGTCTAAGGTTCTCTCCATCTGGATCTATGAATGATTCAATGAAATAAGTTCAGATAATTTCTAGTCTTTTTGCAACATGTTCCATGTAGGGTTAGCAGCATTTACTAAAGCTTTTTTTCCCCAGTTCTGTGCAAAAGGAACAGAGAGCAACAAAAGTTCATTTGATCCAAACCATATGAACCAACATCTCTTTGTGTGAGTAAATGGCAGATGAAAGAGGGCAGCAGACTAAGCATAGCCCTATAAACAAAAGTGCACCAATGTCCAAACCTTCTGTTGGACAAAGATCCCACTCGAGAATATCACTCACAGTGAGTCAAGGCTTTGCAATTTGTATTGAATCAAACATTTTACTTGAATCATTATTTAAGTACAGTTTTTTTCCCCCTATATTTACAGTAAGAAACTGTTCAAACTGTGTAAACTGTGTTGTTTTTGATGAATACTTAGGCTTATTAAGCTACTGTGTAGTGTTGGTCATTCGTGGTGGTACTTGGAGAGGCAAGTATTTTCTGAGGTGGTACTTGGTGTAAAAAGTTTGAGAACCACTGCATTACACAATGGCCTGCTCACTGTAAATGTGACTTCGCTCTGAGAAGGCGGAAATGTCGACCTGAAGGCCTCTCATGATCAACAGTTCTCACATGTATAAAGGTGTAATTATGTACCTCGTTCTTTTAGGGAAAACGACACACATCACGAATGTAAAATACAATACAATTCTAAACTAAGCAAAAGGCAACCCAAAATAAATGTTTCTATAAAACCTCATAACGACGCTTGTTTGCGTGGTGTGTGCAGGAGGTGAAGGAGCAGTCGTCCACGGTGCTGGAGGCGGAGCAGATCCGCTGGGTCATCACTGTGCCGGCCGTGTGGAGACAACCAGCCAAGCAGTTCATGAGAGAGGCCGCCTACCTGGTACTGACCGCTGTGCATCTACATGTGATGCCAGGATCACTAAAACACCCCCATCTAGTGGCAGAAATAGTTACAACAACATTCTCTTTTATGAACATCTTGCAAAATCAAAGACCACAGAAGTGAAAAAGACATGTGACCAGAATCTAAACATGATAATCTACTGTATTATAACGACCAAAACTCAACTTTTCTGTGTTTATCCAGTGTATCAAAATAACTTCTAATTAATTACTGTCATAACTGGGGCCACTGGGAGACTGGGTAAAGTGTTTAGAATCAGTTTCTGGCTCTTCAGTGTGGTGGGGAGAGGGCACACTGCAAAAAGAAAAATACATGAGGCAATAAATGAGTGGATTCTGAGTCTGATCAAGAACTGTTGCTCCACATTTTTTGTATATTTTTAAAACAAGATCATTTTTGCTTGTCACGTTGGCAAATCTTGTTTTATCAGAATGTATCTTGTTTGTCACATTGTGCTCAAATTTAAATAATGTACATTTTGCCAAATTTGAGCCATTTTTGACTTATTTTTCATCACTTTTTGCAGTGCAGGGTGTAAAGTGGGGGGAGCTCTGTTGCATGCCGAGCCCATGCTGTTTGCAAAATACAGGAAAACAACAGGTGCCAACTGTGACGAAGTCGAAGAGCAACTCAAAGATAGTCTGTTCAGGCTGGAAGTGCATCACATACTTTCCCGTAATTGAAATAAAAGTAAAGAATGTCCAGAGAAGTGTCCTTTGAGCCTGAAGGTCGTGGGTTCGATCCCACCAATTCCCACTGAGGTTTGCTTTCGTTGTGTCCTTAGGCAAGACACTTCACCCCCATTGCCTAGAATGAGTCTGTGTGTGTGTGAATGATTGGTGGTGGTCGGAGGGGCCGATGGCACAGACTGGTTGCCTCGCTTCTGTCAGTGTGCCCCAGGGCAGCTGTGGCTACAGTAGTAGTTTATCACCACCGTGTGTGGAGTGAATGAATAATGACATGTGAAGCGGCTTTAAGTGTCCAGAAAAGCGATATATAAAACCGATGCATTATTAAGAAAGACCAAGTTAGTGGCACAAAGGGTAGTACTGTACAATGATAGAAAACATGTTCCATTGACTAGGTAACGGCAAGCACAGGTGGAGTGAATTAATAATTCCCACAAGGCAACTCAAAGTGCTTAAAAAAAGTACTTTGGGAATTAAAATCATATCTGTCTGTAAAAAGAGAACCAGTGGGAAGAATGATTATAAAATATATCAGTTACTTGTAATTTAACTTGTGATTACCTGGTTCCATCAGTGGATCAATTCATTTCAAGTCAAATTGAAATAATTCGTATTTCAAGTCTTTTTACAGTGTGGTTAGGTCTGCTCTAGACCTCGGTAGACCTCAGTAGACCTCAGTAGACCCCTCCGTCCCGAAGCCAAGGCCCCACCCAGAGCCTTGTCCTGTGTGGATGATGTCACCAGGAGAGCACAATGAGGAGAGCGGCGAGCAAACAGGAAGAAGGACGAGCCCCCACCCTGAGCTCAAGGCCACACACTTTCTAGTCTTACAGCCCTCAGAGACTCCCTCTGTTGTGCTTACAAGGAATATACATTCACAAGTTTGTACCTGTGCTTATTTTGACCCTTAGTCATGATCTTGAAAATATGTAAAAGTTGTGAAATCATTTCTTAAGTAAAAGTATATAGACAAAATATGGAAAATGAAGTACAACTGCCATCCATTTGGGGAAGTGAGAAAATATATTCTGTGAGAATTGGAACAAAATCAGGGGTCTCAAACAGCAGTCTGCGGGCTATCTGCGTCACACATAAAGGTTTTTTGTGTGCCCCCCACCGAGAGTCTGGACTAATATGGCATGTTATAGATACTGTTAAAGCTAACAATATAATCTTTATTTGACTATAAGTGCAATTAGTAATGAATGGGCTTTATAGTCTACAATACACTTCATCGATCAAAGCAGCTTCGCTCATTTTGTTTAAAAAATCAAAACAAAAACTAACTACCAAAAGTAGCATCCAACTGAATAATAATTTGGTCAAAACTCCTCCATCCATTCATTCTCTTCCACTTTAAACCTCTGAGACACAGAGCTCCAGCTGAGCGACAGGCTGACAGCCATGACATCAGATGTGTAGTAGATGATGGTCATGTGTGATCACACTGTCAGTTCTCAGTTGAAGTTGTACTGTCAAACACTGTTTAAAGGACACAGTGTTACATTTTGAATCAATAATCCAGAGCTTTGTGTGCACAGTCCAGTCTGACCCAGGCCCCTGTCTCCTGTGTTTAGGCTGGCCTGATGTCTCCACACTGTCCCGAGCAGCTGCTGATTGCTCTGGAGCCCGAGGCCGCCTCCATCTACTGCCGCAAGCTCCGCCTACACCAAGTGATTGACTTGAGCATGCAGCCAATCTCCAACGGCCTGGGCACAGACAGCTCCCGTCCCTTGGACTCCAGCTTCAGACAAGGTACTGGTTTCAGTTTGAGCAACCCTTCCCTGTATTTTAACGAAGAGACTTTACGTTGCTGGATGTGGCCCATACGTTCTGGATCCTCTGCAGTAGGGCTGAACTATGTTAAATATGTCATATGCTGATATTGATGAATATCGATACGATACAACAGGGGTTCGATTGTTTTATTTGTTGTTTTCCGATATCTTAAACATTCATATCTTGATATTGATATCATGAATGTGGTTCTTCCCATCTTTAGATTCCGCTTAGCTGAGACCTTTGGCAATATTTCAGCGTGTGTGGCAGTCATGATCAGAGGCTTTGGAGGTCATGAGGTGACCCGTGTTGTCAGTGCTCTGTCATAGATGGCTCCTCCAGATCCACACACTTTTGTGTAAGCTGCTCCAGCTGCTCTCTCAAGAGTATTTTGCCTGGGCTCGTGCTTTGGTCATGTCCTCAGATTTTTATTTGTCCTTACCGGCCGCACCACATGAACTGGCCTTAGCAGAACTCCACAACTCCAGCAGCAGGACATCAGAGGCGGGAAAAGAGGTAGTGCATGTGAGGCGGAGGAGGCAGGAAGAGGAGGAGGAAAACACAACAGGCTGTCACCAGACACACAGACCACATACCCCCAATCCAAACAGTGTGTGCTTGTTTGCATGTGTGTGTGTTGCAGCGCGGCAGCAGCTCCGGCGCTCAAGGCACAGTCGTACCTTTGCTGTAGAGAGCGGCAGTGGAGAGCTGTGGTCAGAGCTACACACAGGTCAGTGTCCCCGCTACACACAGGTCAGTGTCCACGCTACACACAGGTCAGTGTCCCCGCTACACACAGGTCAATGTCCACGCCACACACAAAGGTCAGTGTCCACGCCACACACACAGGTCAATGTCCACGCTACACACAGGTCAGTGTCCACGCTACACAAGGTCAGTGTCCTTGCTACACACAGGTCAGTGTCCACGCTACACAAGGTCAGTGTCCAGGCTACACAAGGTCAGTGTCCTTGCTACATACAGGTCAGTGTCCCCGCTACACACATGTCAGTGTCCCCGCTACACACAGGTCAGTGTCCACGCTACACACAGGTCAGTGTCCCCGCTACACGCAGGTCAGTGTCCCCGCTACACGCAGGTCAGTGTCCCCGCTACACGCAGGTCAGTGTCCACGCCACACACAGGTCAGTGTCCACGCCACACACAGGTCAGTGTCCACGCCACACACAGGTCAGTGTCCACGCTACACACAGGTCAGTGTCCCCGCTACACGCAGGTCAGTGTCCCCGCTACACGCAGGTCAGTGTCCCCGCTACACGCAGGTCAGTGTCCACGCCACACACAGGTCAGTGTCCACGCCACACACAGGTCAGTGTCCACGCCACACACAGGTCAGTGTCCACGCCACACACAGGTCAGTGTCCACGCCACACACAGGTCAGTGTCCACGCTACACACAGGTCAGTGTCCCCGCTACACACAGGTCGGTGTCCCCGCTACACACAGATCAGTGTCCCCGCCACACACAGGTCAGTGTCCACGCTACACACAGGTCAGTGTCCACGCTACACACAGGTCAGTGTCCACGCCACACACAGGTCAGTGTCCACGCTACACACAGGTCGGTGTCCCCGCTACACACAGATCAGTGTCCCCGCCACACACAGGTCAGTGTCCACGCTACACACAGGTCAGTGTCCACGCTACACACAGGTCAGTGTCCACGCTACACACAGGTCAGTGTCCACGCCACACACAGGTCAGTGTCCACGCCACACACAGGTCAGTGTCCCCACTACACACAGGTCAGTGTCCACGCTACACACAGTAGTGCAGCTCCTTACAGCAGGAGGCTTCATGCCGTACTGAACTTATTTCCACATATTCTTACTTTACTACAGTATTGCATATTATTGTAATGTACATATGTTATATATATATATAGGGTCAGTAGTGTTTACATCTACAGTCAAAGAAAGACCTACAAAACCTCACCTTCACACAGCGGAGATCATTCTGTTAAGGGACAAGTATAAGGTGACTAGACAATTAAAGTGATAAAAGACCATTACACAGATTTTATAATTCCCAGGAAGAAAAGGTAACGGAGAGAGGAGAAGAGAGAGAGTTTGGAGAGTGGTTCTTTGGTGTGCGGTTCAATTATTTGTCTGATGAATGACGCTCAGGAAAAGCTACATTAGCCACACACAACTCCTGATTCCTATGAGCAGCCTTTACTGTCAGGCCTGAACAGCTGCGTGTGTTTCGCAGGTGATCGCTACGTGGTGGCGGACTGTGGCGGGGGCACAGTGGATCTGACCGTGCATCAAATTGAGCAGCCCCAGAACACCCTGAAGGAGCTGTACAAGGCCTCAGGTACCAGCACTAGCACACAGGCCACAGGTACCAGTGCACAGGCCACAGGTACTACTACTAATGTATAGTGATTTTTTTGGACATTCAAACACATTTCACATGTCCTTATTCTTTCACTCCATGCACTGTGGTGATGAATTACAACTGTAGCCACAGCTGTCCTGGGGCACACTGACAGATGTGTGGCAACCAGTATGTGCCATCGGCCCGCACACACCAGTCTCACTCTTGGCACAATACAATTCAATAGAATGTTGTCGTAGTACTAAATCAATTATATTACACTGTAATGTAAAAGATAATGCCGAAATGAACACAAGTAATACTGAATAATTGTTGTATATATTGTATCAGTATTGTGGAAGTCCCATCTGCACAGTGGGTCAGTGTAGCTGTGTGCGTGTACGCAGGGGGGCCACACGGGGCAGTGGGGGTGGACCTGGCTTTCGAGTCCATGCTGTGCGAGATCTTCGGGGAGGACTTCATCCAGAGCTTCAAAGCCAAGCGGCCCGCAGCCTGGGTGGACCTGAGTATTGCCTTTGAGGCCCGCAAACGCACCGCGGCCCCGGGACGCGCCAACGCCCTCAACATCAGCCTTCCATTCTCCTTCATCGACTTCTACAAGAGGCACCGCGGGCACAGCGTGGAGGCGGCACTGAGGAGGAGCAGGTGAGAAGAATGTGATGGAAAATTAATATCTGTTTCTGATATGTAATAAATATTGGCCATATTTGTTATTATGCTCCATTGAAGGACACATGTTCTGCAAACTTATTTACAACCACAGACATGGAGTTGGTTTTAGCTCCATTTACACTAATATCAACCCCTTTCTGTTTTGGTTCACGGCACAGCTTTTCAGTCGGGTTGACTACACGGTTCTTGGCCAAATGCAAAGACGTGCATTAAGAGGAAAACTTTGCATCCAACTGTGTGACAGAGGCACACAGCTTAGCCACGTTGAGCAATGTTTCGACCATCTGTACATAAAAGAACACTGGTGTGTGCTGTATATGTGCCTAAAGGAAGCATTGAGCATTCAGCATCTGACTGGGGAGGGGCCACCTGGGGGACATCCGCGCTAGTGTGAACGGGTTTAGAAGCACTTCATATATACGGTCTATGGTTAAGCTGTGAGGACTCCTAAATCTGACTTGTGAACATGTGTGTGTGTGTAGTATGAACATAGTGAAGTGGTCCTCCCAGGGCATGCTCCGCCTCACTCAGGAGGCCATGCACGAGCTCTTCCAGCCCACCATCCAAAACATCGTCAGACACATTGGTAAGAAACCACCTCACACATACAGTGCATGTAGACCATAGACTGTAAACACAACCAGATTAAACGTCCTGTATTTTGTGGCAAACCTGAGCCAGTTTCGTCATGTTAAACATGATGAAAAAGGCCACTACAAAGTAACAGACAACTGTTAAGTGACAGCAAAATGATACATAATTTTTATTTTTCATAAAAAAACCATTATCATTTAAACCATTATATTGTACCCCTGGCTCATTGTCCTGATGGAAAGTGAATCTGTCACTGAAACTAATTTATACCTATGCTTAATGTAATTGTTCTATGTAGCAAATCATTTTTAAATCAATATTTTTGATATCCTTTGCATATATATATAAATATACATACACAGGCCTCGCTACACAAGCGGTATGGTTCAAAGCAATAAACAAAAGTAGGCTGAGAATTATAGATGAGAATTACAGTAATGTTAAATGCAAATGAATGATTAATCAAGATTACAAAAAGTTATCGTGGCTCATCATTATAAAGAATGTCATGTTACTTTTTGCACAGTTGAGACAATGTTAGTGTGTTAATGTGAGCCGTCCTGACCCGTGCATGTCCTCGTGTCTCCTCTAGAGGAGCTGCTGCGGCGCCCAGAGGTGCAGGGTGTGCACTTCCTCTTCCTGGTGGGGGGCTTCGCAGAGTCGCCCATGCTGCAGAAGGCCATCCAGAGGTCGGTGGGGCGCTGCTGCCGGGTAATCATCCCTCATGACGTGGGCCTCACCATCCTGAAGGGGGCAGTGTTATTTGGCCTGGACCCCAGCGTGATCCGGGTGCGTCGTTGCCCTCTCACCTACGGGGTGGGGGTGCTCAACCGCTTTGTGGAGGGCAGACACCCACGGGACAAGCTGCTGCTGAAGGACGGGCGCCAGTGGTGCACAGACATCCTGGACCGTTTCGTCTGTGTTGACCAATCAGTGGCTCTGGGAGAGGTGGTGAGGCGGAGCTACACCCCGGCCCGCGTCGGCCAGAAGAAGATCATTATAAACATCTACTGCAGTTGCTGTGACGACGCAGTGTACGTGACCGACCCTGGGGTCAGCAAGTGTGGGACCATCACTCTGGAGCTGCCCGCCAATTCAGCTCTGCCCTGCCCCAGGACTGCAGGACTCCCCCCAGCCACCCCCCCACAGCGCAGGGAGATCAGGGCCACCATGCAGTTTGGAGACACAGAGATCAAAGTGACTGCTGTGGACGTCCTGACCAACCTCTCTGTGCGTGCCTCTGTGGACTTCCTGTCCAACTGAGTCCCATGTCCCTGTCCCACAAACTGACTGTGCTGGAAACGGTCCAGATGAACGTCCTGTTGTGAAACACATGGTCCTTCTAAGGACACGTAAGGTCACAGGACCACAGGCTTGTGGTCAGCGGCAGACACACAACTGGACGTGTGGCCGATGTGGTCAGCTCTGAAGTCACTCATGAAAAACATGGTGTCAGTGTTTGAGAAGAAGACCTTAGGATTGTTGTTGGGAGATTCATTTTGAGAAGTGGTTCCTAGATTTACGGATTACATTGTTTTTTATCAGCAGAAAATGTCTACTAACATTTAACTGAAAATAAAGAATAGGTTATGAAATGTTTTGACTAACCAATACTAGTTATTGTAATTAGATTATATTTTAGTGTAACAAATTACTTTAGTAACTAATGTAGTTAGTGTTTTTAAACAGAAAAAACTCCAAGTCAGGACCTATTGTTGAAAGCACCTTAAGCATGGGACTTCTCTCTGAACTCCAGAGATCAGAAGTAGCAGATTCCATCATTCCACTGCTGGTCTTGAGTCAAATGGTTCCTCACTCCCGCTCCACATTCCCTTTAAATGAATGAGAACTTGTTATAAAAAGACAAGTTCTTAAAGAAACTAACTTTATGCAGTCACTCAATCATTAAAGTGGGTACTTATGTTTTTAAGAGTAAATGTTGCATTTTCATATTAAGACTTGACCACAGGACTTGTTTCAGAAACCCTTGAGAATTTTGAGTTCAGACTTTGAGAAATAATGTCACTCAGAAGAACTTTGAGCTGTGACTTTATTCGTAACACTGGTCAAATAAATAGTTGTCCAGAGCAGAGACACCTCACACAGAGCTCTGCAACAAACACACAGCTCCACCTACCGCCGTGACAACAGTAAAAAACAGGAAAAGTCCAGTGCACAGTCCTCAGTGTGCGTGGGGTCTGCCGCGGCCCCTGCCCCGGCCCCCTCCCATTGGGGGCCCGTCCATGTTGCTGCGTGGGTTCTTGATGGTCTCGTCCACAGACAGGATCAGGCAGGAGGCTTCAGAGGCAGCGGTCAGCGCGTTGATCCGCACAACAGACGGCTCCCACACACACGCAGCAAAGTTATCTGCGATGTCCTCATTGTTGATGTCCACGCCGTACCACATGCCGCCCTACGACAGAACAGGGGACACCATGAGCACAGGTACAGCAGGGACAAGAGCGTCCATCTTTCTGCCGTGGCCACAATAGTGAGCATGTCGCATTTACAACAGCATTGTAAAAAATAATAGAAGTAATTTTCAATTATGTTGAAATGACTCCTGCAGAGGGAGGGATAAGGGTTCAGTCACAATGATTCCAACCGTTTCCCTCTCATTCGGAACAATTGTCTACCATCTTTGAGGCGTTTTAGTTGTACGACCTCAGATGGTGCAACCCAACAGTAATATAAATCTGCATTGCTGCTCAAATACAATTTTCTTAGCATTATGCCATGATCCAATATAGGGCTGGGTAGGCCTGTCACGATTACACATTTTGCTGGACGATTAATTGTCTCAAAATTTATTGCGATAGGCGATAGTGTTGTTCTGAGATTATTTTGATCTAATACAATGATAATGATGCAGGTACACCTAAGAGAAATACACTTTTATTTTTAAAGACCACCGCCGGAAGTGGCGAAAGTAAAAAGCCGCTGGCTTGATGCTAACTCCGTTAACATCATGCTAGCGGCTTTTGGTGTAAAGTTCTTGCCAATAATGCAGCTCTGCAGCGTCTCTTTGTCCTGAGACCTTCCAGAGACGTTATATAACAGCAGTATGTGTTCACGGAGGTGCATCATAAGTTTATTTTATTATTAAACGGTACTTTCGCATCGGCGAACACGCTAGCTAGCTAATTAGCTAACTGCTAGTTAGCTAACTGCGCTAGTTTAGTCACAAATAGAGCCTGAATGAGAACAACTACTGTGTCCCCCCGTTGTCAATCCTGGTTAAGTCCTGGTTTAGTCCTGGTTTAGGTCCCGTTTTGGCTGCATTTTGTATTTTTGAGTTGTTACAGGCTATATCCACACGAAGACAAAACGCTTATAATTTCAGAAACTTTTTCTGTAAACACGGAGTTAGCTCAGTAAATGTGTGCGTCCATATGAATGTAGTCAATACGCCTGAAAACGCTGTGAAACTATGCCAGACCTGTTGGTGGCGCTGTGACGCAATGACGGGATCAAGCCCAAACTTCCGTGGGCATGCGCGGAATTTTGTAAACAGACAACATGGCGAGTGGGCGAGCTGGTACTACATTAGTATGGACGGACGATGAGGTTGAACTGTTGCTTCGGGTCACACTGGATTACAAAACCAACAAGCTACATTGTTGTTGTCATTATTTTCTGAGTGCGGCGCATGCGTGCTTTAACAAGAGGCGGGGCGATGACGCAAGCGTCTCAGATACATTGCGGAGAGGCAGTAACCACGGAGCGGCATATACGGAGTTTTGAAATCTTTCCACTCTGGGACCTGGTTTCAAAAATGTTCGTTTACACCCCCCCAAAACGCCGGCCTCGTATGGACGATACACTGGATTGATAAAGTATTTTTGCGTTTAGGCCTGAGCTTGACTTCGTGTGGACAGGGCCACAGTCTGCTCGCGTCACGCGTGACCACTTTGCGGCTCTCTGACCAAAGAGGAAGAGAGACGGGAAAACAAACAAGCATGCAAATGGAATTCATCGTGGCCAGGAAAAATATCGAGCTAATTTTAATTATCATGCGATTGATTTATTGAATATCGCGAAAGGCCTAGGGCTGGGCGATAAAACGATATATATCGTTATAGACACGTGTTCTATATCAATAGAAAACGGGGTAGTTTAACTTATATTATTGATATTGACCGATATGAATCACTTATATTGTGATATATTTTTCAGCCATAATCCAATATTGCATTAGTCATAACACCATATGGATACTACTACGAATCATTCAGTTTATGAAACATTTACTACCTTAGTTCTTATTCCTGCAATAGATGAAAAGCAGTATTCACCTGTGCGTGTTTGGCCCTCAGCTTGTTCAGGATGTTCGTGGCATCGAAGCCTGCGTTGTCGCACAACTGGCGGGGGATGATTTCCAGAGCTTTGGCGTAGGCTCCAATAATCAGCTGCTGTTTGCCTGGTATGGTCCTGGAGTAGTCCCGCAGGTATTTGGACAGCTCCATCTCTATTGCGCCGCCTCCGGCCACAATAGAGTCATTCTGTGCACAAACAAAACAGTCAGAAACTGAGCGGTGGATGGTTTTGGCCTCGTCAGTCGGGCGCGGTCACTGACCTTGATAGCACGGCGCACTATCATGATGGCGTCGTGCAGGGAGCGCTCCGTCTCCTCTGTGAACTGCTCCGCTCCTCCTCTCAGGATGATGGTGCAGGTCTTTGCTTTGGGGCAGCCCTTAAAGAAGTTGTACCTACCACACACACACGCATTAGTATACAGGGCTGAAATAGAGTCCAAAAAACATTTTTTTACTTAGATAGTGGTCAGAATTTACAATTTACAAAAGACTGCAATTATTTAAGGCCCTGTCCAGGCGGAGGTCAATTGGTAATAATTATGTTATTTTGACAAATGATTGTTAAAAACAACCTTAGCAGACTTGCGACTTTACAGCTTAATAGAGATCAAAATAGTGGCAAACGTCACTCTCAAAAACAAGTACAATCTGGTCATCGGTCAAACAAACTAAAGTTGCAGATGATGTGAAATTCCAGCCGCTTGATCCTCACCTGTCTCCTCCCAACTGCACCTCCTCAAAGAGCTCGCACTGTCCCAGGACGTCTTGGGTCATGTTCCCCACAGAAGTCTGGATGGAGCCGCCACAGGCCTGCATAGCACACATGAGGTTAGCACAGGCTGCATCAGTAACTCAATCACAAAAAGTGATTATGATGCGTTCTATCATGGTCCGTGTACGTCGCGGCCATTCTATTTTTGATTAGGAAAGAAAATACAAAAAACGAATATTGGCCGTTTCCCGTTTTCCGTTTTCAAAATAAAATGTAGAAAACGAGAATTTAATCCGTTTTTCGATTTTGTGTTTTAAAATTAAAAAACGGATAACGAAAAACAGGTCATAATCCGTTTTTCCATTACACATTTACACAAGAAACACCAACATCGAAAAACCACGGCAAAAATTTGATTTTCCATTCTTGATCTTCATCGACTTTGAAGCTGACCCGGAATCTGTTAACCATGCCTACCACTATGCCACTAAGCGGCCGAAGTCACTCTACTTTGTGAGAAGACGTCAGCTGTTACAGTGGCTAACTAATTTGTCTTTTTTTCTACTTTAATAAGTTTTCAAATGGCCTTAAATAGTTTCGCCGACTTTATTATAGAGAGAAGGATGAGTGGTATGGCTTGTGGTGAGATCGCCAACGCGCTAACTGCACAGTTTGGTCCAACTGTGGGTTTCTCAGAGCGAAATGTGAGAAGATGGTGCTTTGAACGTGGCCTAAATCAGGACATCTGTCCTGACAATCGGCTTGAACTTGAAGTCTCAAAAGGAATCGCAGAGGTATGTCCAGGTGTTTGGTTAATTTTACTTTTTTTTTGTCGCCGGCACAAATGTATGCTAATTATGTATAGTGGTGCAGAGGTGACTTCGTTAATAGCCTTCGGGAAAATCCACTGTTACCATGGAGATCCGCCATGTTTGCAGCTGTTGGCATATTATCCATAGACTAACAGTAGCTAAAAAGTGGAAAGAAAATCAAATTTTTGCCGTGGTTTTTCGATGTTGGTGTTTCTTGTGTAAATGTGTAATGGAAAAACGGATTATGACCTGTTTTTCGTTATCCGTTTTTTAATTTTAAAACACAAAATCGAAAAACGGATTAAATTCTCGTTTTCTACATTTTATTTTGAAAACGGAAAACGGGAAACGGCCAATATTCGTTTTTTGTATTTTCTTTCCTAATCAAAAATAGAATGGCCGCGACGTACACGGACCTATCATATTAATCAAACTTTTGATAAGTGATTTATTGCATTTCATTCTCGTGAGGAAGCTTATTTAAAAACGAGGATGAGAAAGCATCTTTCAAAATGTTAAGGAAAACAGTAATAAATAATGTACTTCTCAAACTTTAAAAATCTACTCTGTAATTTGTACAGTTGAAATAAAAAAAACATGTTAATCAATAACAAATGTGACATTTAAAGTGATTGTCTGGAGTTTGTCAGAAAGAGACAGAGAGGTATCCCTCCCCCTTCCTTTCTGATTGGTCTACACCTACGTTTCCGTAACATTTTGAAATGTTAATCAGAGAACACATTATACATATACATTATTAATACACATGCACGGAGGTTTTCAGAATTATTTGTTAATGTTTTAATGAAAAAAAAAATGTTTTATGCACACAAAAGCGATCGCAGCAAACCCGGAAGTGCTATTATCATGAATTGAACATTATAGGACACATCTGCAGAGGATCTGATTATGGATATAGGTTCAGTATATAAATGGGTAACTCAGCGCAGATGTTCAGAATTCTTTGTTCAGTTTTCATGTAGTTCCAGAGCCTAATGGAGGCTTGATTCGGAGGCTCCGCAAAAACAAACAATTGAGCATGCGCGCAGCTGCGACCATCAGCGCAGATGATTGACATGACTCGATTGGTTAACCTCGACGGCACCGTGGATTCTGAACTGTAGCTAAGAGAAGGGAAGGCGGGACTTACCCGTAATATTGGAATTAATAAAATGACTTATTTTATATCAACATTTAAGGCCAGGAGGTCAAATTAACACATTTCCTAAAATTTGTAATTCATTTAGAGTTACAGACTATCACTTTAAGAATATTTACCTCCATGTTTTTGAATGGTTGTCATAGGCTTAGAATTTAATTTATATAAATGTACATGAGAGAGGAGGACTCCATGTCAATGCGCCAACTAGAAATACATTGATAAGGGACAAAGGATGCGAGAATCGCAAACTTTCACTCTCTTCTCTTCAGCCACCATGTGGTGGGAGCACATTTGTTTACATTTTAAGGCTACCGTGTCGAATGACCAAGACGTATGGAGATCCGATCATTTATCAAACTAAATGATTCTTCACTTGGCGGCCTGGTTCGAATGACCAGGAGTTGGGGACCACTGTCAAAAATACACTGTTCTTTAAAAAGCTCCCATAGTGCTTCCGGTCAACAGACTGGAACATGTGATCTCAACGCTGGATGGGAGTAAAAACTACACATTGTACCTAATCATTATTGAAATAATAGCTGTAATTCAAGATATAATAATTTATCATGTGAGTGCATGTGTCTCTTTTCTGGTGCTTTAATAGACTCAGGAGCAAACTCACAGGAAGTGTGTAACCAACAGCTGCATTGGCTTTGCTTTATCCAAATAAATAAAAATACATTATGTGGATTAGGTCCAACGCCCATAAACAAGAGACAGGCACAGTGGAATATCCATGATAAAAAACATGACTATTTTTATAAAAAGCTAGTACTCTAGAGGCCAGTTTTGGGTCCTACCATCATGGTCCTCTTCAGGTCCTCCTCTTGCACGCGGCCTGCACAGAACAGGTCTCTGTCGGCAAAGTACTGCGTGGCCACGTCTCCGATGGGCAGCTTGGACAGCACCACTTTGGCCCCAGACTTGTAGATCTTGTCAAGCTTGTCATACAGGATGTTCCACTCAGCGTCTACAATGGCTTGGTAGTCCTGAGGGGAGAGTAAGTAAGCTAGTAAGTAAGTAAGCTTTTATTTATATACCGCCTTTTCACTGCACATCGGAGTCTCAAAGCGGTTTACAATTGTTGGGTGGGGGTGCCAGTACAGGAGGCACATGCCAGACCTATTGTACATATTTTTAGTGGTAGGGGAAACCGGACCACCCGGAGGAAACCTACGCAGACACAGGGAGAACATGCAAACTCCACTCAGAAAGGCCCTGGTCCAACCGGGATTGGAACCCAGGAGCTTGTTGCTGAGAGGCGAGAGTGCTATCCACTCACCCACCGTGCCGCCCTTAGAGACAATAGCGACTTCACAATATCAACATGATCAAAGAAAACCATTTTGACCAATAAAAACACTGTTTAATATTCAGCTAAGAAAGTAAACCTAGAAGAAAAGTTTTCAGCTTCTGGCAAAAAACACATCCCCTCGCCCCGTCACACAATGATGCCATGGTCACACAAACAAAGCTCCCGCTTCATTCAGCTTCTAAATGAGCTTTAGGATTCTCTGCAGTAAAACTGCATCTACAGTTTGACCAGACGTTTTAGATTATTATTTCCAGCAGAATGCAAATTTGAACACTTTCTTCATGAGGAGGGAAAAGTTGATGCATTCTTGGAATCTCTGACTCAATTTGTCATACGATAATGTGTTCCTGTTCTAGAAGCCTCCTGCTCTAAGAAGTTCATTCTGATTATGTGCCAGAATCCCCATATTCAACAAACTTTAATAAATGACATGATGGCTTGTTTATACATTAATGTGTTTTGCATCAAAATCCTCCTGATCCACTAGTACCCAAGGTGGAAGCCCTCTCGCTCAATGACCTCCTGTTTTGTGCAGATTGTAATTTATATTAATTCTTATCTCCTGTTCCTTCCTTGTTGAAACTGGTAGTGGATGGTTGCGCACCTGCACAGACTTGACGCGGACCTCTGCGTTGTCCTTCTCAGCCTTCAGCTCCAGCTCTACGTTGAGCAACGCGATCTGAGGGTTGTCGTAGCGCTTGGGCTGCATCTCAAAGCCAGCGTATGAGAAGGTCTTTTTGAAGGCCACGCCCAGGACCAGCTGGGAGTCCTGTCATACACACAAACAGACGCACACGGTTTACAACTGGACTTGGCAGTGGTTTAGGACTGTTGTCACTGTAGTATTTTTCCACAACACACCATTTATTGCTTACAAGGGTTTTGTAGAGTGTGACCTCCAGGACACTCTCAAATATAAGCTGGTGGCAATATTTACTATATCAAAAATTCATGGAATTATATGTTGTGTCTCAACACCTATTGTTTTACATCCACAACCACATAATTGATGAATTCATTGGGCTGCACTGCTCAATATGATTTTCAAACAATATGAAAATAACTGCAGGATCAAGATGACAAATAATTATGGGTGAGAAAGTACCAACCATACTCCTGATTGGTCATTTGGTTAACTTCAGTTGATGCCAATAGTAGTTATACAATACAAGATATTAAAAACTAATATTAGCGTTTATACCTTTCGCTGAAGGTGGAACTACCCTGTAGGAGGAATACTCTGGTGAATTGGACGGATTGAAAAGATAGCTGTACCTCCAGAGCTCCTCCCTGAACCTTCTTGATGCCGATCATCTTGAGCGGCAGCAGCTCATCCAGAGACATGACTGCGTCCACCACCATCTTGGAGAAGAAGTCCTTCTGTCCTGCGATGAGCTTGGAGTTGAGGGCCGTAGCGGCACACTTCTCCAGCAGCTCTCTCTGCTCCCTGCAAAGGCTCAGGGTCAGTCCAAACAGAAAGGCACATTTAAACTGTCAACATGGTCCTTCGGCCGTCACCGTGGACACAATCACTGCTGTTAATTCTCATATTCAACACGTGATAATAATCATCATCCATATTTTACACATATCTTACACTCCATCAACCAAGGAAACTGTCAAAAGATCTATGCCTCCACACAACACCTGTGTGTGATTACTGCCACTCTTATATGAGGCAAATACTAGCAAGGTGACAGAGTGGACAGAGCGCATTCATGACCATGGATGCGCTCCATGGTCATGAATTTCCAATTTTCCAAAAGTGTGTGCGTCACGTTCGTTGCTAAAGGCGGCTAGATCCATGAGGATGAGCCTATGCTGTCGTTAAACAGACCATTGCTAACATGGCCACAAATAACTTATTGATACCAGAGGGGAAATCTTAACAAGGCAGACCGGAGGCCAGACATACCTTTGACAACCACATGCAAAAGTCCAGAGAACAACATACTGGCCAATACTGATTTACTGATACACATTCAACAGATGGAAGCAAATGCTATCTTAGTTAAAGCTGCACTAAATGAATTTATTTTTGTGTTCATTACAAAAATGCAATCCATATCCATGCAGTGCATTGGGATATACGTCCTTTTGAAGAATAAGTAGCGCAGGTTTGTGCTGGCGTGACATATTTTAGATCGAGTTTTGGTGAAACAAGGAAGAGAATGTGTTTCGGCTCCGTGGGTGCGGGGAGGGCGAGCAGAGAGAGGGAGCCCATCGCTTACGTTTGAAAATGTCTCAAAATCAGTTAGTGCAGCTTTAAGTAACAAATGTATACAGCACTGGGGAACATGCCAACTCCACACAGAAAGGCCTTGTGTGGAGGTGGAATTACCCCAAGGACATTCTTTCTGTGAAGCACAAGTGCTAACCACTGCCCCATTGTGCCACCCAAAAGGTGTGATTAGGTTCAAATCTACGTACCGTTTGTCGTCTTTCTTCACAGACACAGAGACCTCCCGGATCTTGTTGACTGCCAGGCTGGTGGCGGTGCGGAACGCCCTTATGATGGTCTGTGGGTGGAGCCCCTCCTCCACGTACGGCTTCAGCTGCTTCAGGAACTCAGCCGCCAGCAGCGTGACAGAGGTGGTGCCATCTCCCACCTGCAGCCAGAGGACAGGGGAATGTTAGAACATGGAGATGAGTGAGTGTATGTGTCTGTATGAGTGTGTGTCTGTGTCAGGGATGAGAATGGGACATTTCAGCCAATGGCTGACATTAGGCACGGGAAGAGCGTCAGTGTGTGTGTGTGAGAGAGAGTTCCTGACCTCAGCGTCCTGCGAGCGAGAAATGTCCACCAGTGTTTTGGCAGCAGGATGTACCACGTCCAGCAGCTTCAGGATGGTGGCCCCGTCGTTGGAGATTGTGGCTTTGCCTAGAATCAAATAAAAAAGCTCTTCACTTAGTACAAATGCTCAGTGAGTGTTTCCCAGCATGCTTCAGCAGCTTGGGCTCACCTCTTGGGTCCACCATGAGTTTGTCCATGCCACGGGGCCCCAGAGTGGTCCTCACAGCCTCAGCTATCACCTACACACAAACATAAGGGTGCTGCTTCAACATCATATAACAAGCAGTCAATGATTTATCCAGACGCAGTTTTTAAAATACTTCTGGGAAACGTCCCAAAACTCCAAAAGTAGTCGAGTTATGTGGTGTTTTCAAATGGGAATGGACATGACCAGATATCTGCAGCCTCAAAATATAAATCATAAATATTTGAAGTGGACAGATAGAATGAGACGAAGGGAAATTTTAGTCAAAAGACAGACTAAACTAAAATGTCTCCAAAATTAACACTGGACTGGCGCCCCCATGAGAAGACCAGAGTGGAGGGATATGTTTGTGGGGGAATTACCTGACATGCGTTGATGTTGCTGATGAGCTGGGGCACTCCCTGAGACGAGTCGGTCCCCTCCTTCAGCAGGATCACTGGTGTGGGCTGCAGACACAAACACACATGTCACATGAACAGCAGAGCTCACATTAGGCCGATTACTGTTGATTTGTTTTTATCATAAGTCCATACACCCTTTTATTGCAGCAATTGCAAATGAATCAAGTAAATCTGACCACCACTTTTAAACACAGCCAATAGCCACATACCACCACATTGAGCAACTTTATAGCCAAAGAATAGACTAATTTCATAGCATGTTTGTCATCTTATTATTATTATTATCTTATTCTTGTCCTTAGTACAATTAATACATTAGTACAGGGGTGTCCAAACATTTTAGTAAGAGGGGCACTTTAGATCACCAAACTAGTCCAGGGGTCGACATCACTGACTGAAAATTTGTCTTGATTGGCATTGGGCTGTTCTGAAATGATCCAGAACAGCGTTGAAGTTGGCTGAATGACAAAGGCTTACCATCTCAACAGCTACAGCAGCACAATTATTGAAAGTTTGTGACACAATCTAAAAACCTATTCTGTGCAGCACGTACAAATAAAGTCGACGAATGAATTCCAGACTACTGGGCTTTAGAATTGGCTGGGTCTATATTGGCTGAGCTGTAGTTGGATGGATGACAGTGAACTTGTGTTTATGATCTCAAAGACTACCTTGGGTTAGCAAGGCAGAGGGCCACACAAAATGACACTTGTTGACGCCTGAGTTGGGACATGCCTGCATTAGTATGACAGACTGATCATATTGAGAGTATACATACATTGTATAACTGATCAGCATGATAAAAATGTTGCTTTCTTCATCACATATCTAAATGACAAAACTCCAAACAGCCTGCAGTTGAAACTACCACCTCCTAGGGGTGGGCAAAATATATCGTAGACAATAATATCATGAAAGTCAATTTGAAGATATGCTTTTTCATTTTTATTTTTCAATACATTACAATTAGAGAAGGACAGATGCCCATTTGGTCTAATGTGTGCCTAAAAAGCCAATCACTGCTTTATTTGTACATTTCAGTAAATATTGAGCTATTGACTATTTGGATGTGTTCTTTATGTGTTACTTGAATTTGATTTTAATGTTAAAATATGTTTGTGCGTGTTTTGCAAAGAAGTGTGAAGCACTTTACAAATAAAAAGTTTCTATTTAGATCTACACTGTCTATTTTTAGATGCCCTGGCAGCAAAACATTACAGACCATTGTGTAAAAATGATTAATTTTAAAGATATCGTGACAATAATCGTTATCAGGAGTTGGAAAAAATATATCGAGATATTTATTTTTGTCCATATCGCCCACCCCTACCACCTCCACAAAATGAATGATAAATCCTTCAGATAGGATGAGGATGCGCACAGGGATGACCACAGCCCAACCCAGTGACCCTGCTCTGATGCTGAACTATTATTTTCACAACACGTCTCTGAGATGGATATGTTTATAAATATTAATGAAAACCCAAAGCATATAAGCAGGACAGCAAATGACACGAGACCAGTACCCCCATTATTAGACATGCAAACACGGATCCAACACTTTTTATAACATATTTGGCGTATCTGATGGTACAGAACTTTCGTGTAGATATTCTCTTTATAAACGCACTTGCAGCACGCTTCACAGCCGGCTTTGTGCACACGCCCTCAGGCTCCGTGCTGTAGCGGCGTCATGCTAGCACAAACCGGCTAATAATAAAGCGACCTTTTGGAACATCTTTACAAAAATATGCGGTTCAACGGACGCGGGAGGGCTACGCGAACCCGTGCGGACGTGTTTCCCGGTGATGGGGGACGTGCAGAGGGAGGATGGGACGGGATAGAGTTGAGAAGACTGCGGACTCACCATCATGTTTGCGGCGGTCCTTCGAGAAGCTTCTACGGGGGATGACAGGCAGTGACAGGGATGGAAATGAGCGTATTTGGATCACTACCGCCACCACGCGGTAAGAAGGCGTTACGACAAATACTGTATATTTTTTCACAAGTAAAATAAAACACACACATGTATCCAAACAATCCAGGGTTATTGATTCAGATTTAGTTAAATTTGGTATTGCTATAGCCTGCACACACTTGTTTGCAGAATTAATTTGGAATATGTTGCCACATTTCTTCATTGTGAGATCAATAAAGTTTTTCTTGTTGTATTATTTAAGGCTTTTATGTTAGTAAGGGGTGTTAAGATAAGATGAGATTAAACTTGATTGATCTTACCAATGGAGAAATGTATATTTGGCATAAATAGGATTACTGCAAAATGACAGGAAATGTGCAAGTATGGCAAAAAAGTGAAAAGATAGAGTAACTTGTCTCCATGAGGTGATGGGAGGAGTGGGTCCAGTTTGGTTTTGAGTCTGCCCATTTAGACGTATGTATGATGTTTCCCAATATGTGTTAAGAGCTGCAACAAGAAGGTTAGGCCTTTGCTTTGCAGTGACTTGATGAAGAATAATAATGTCACTCGCCTGGAGGCTGAACACCAAACCTGCTGTGTTATGAATAAACTGCCTGTTCCAAAATGTCTGACTGTAAGTGCGCTGGTAGAAAATAACTAACACTAGGAATAGATTAGTGTTAGTTACAGATAGTTGTCTAGTTTAAACCATTGCGTTGTTTTTTTTTGGTAGAGTAAATATTATGGAGATTTTTAAATAAGATTTGCTTTTACTTTATGTTAATTCAAAAATTCTCGCCAATCAGCCATATATTGAGTCCTGGAACACTAAGGGTTCCCAAACTTTTCAGGCCGCTCTGATCAGATCCCGATGCTGTACAACTGGTGTGATTGAGCTATACTTCTATGCTCCACTCACTCACCTGTCCAAATGTACCAATGCATGGTTGAAGGTTTACCAAAAAAGCACACTATTAAGATTAAGTGATTCTTTATTTGAGCCACAGTGGGGACATTTCATTGTTGCATTACCAGTTACTTATAGAAAAGTAGGAATGAGGACCACACAGCATAAGTGAACAATAACTCTATACTAAATACAATCTCTAACTTAAGCATAATTATTATACAAACACTAATGTGTAATAATCATTGCTATTCGTGACATTATAAACAGATGCATCCTTTTCGTTTCATTGTAAACAGTTGAATTCTAGCTCACTCAGTAACAATGCGTAAATAATGGCGAATATCAGGGTCAATGTTGCTGATACAGAATATTTTCTGTATATATTCTATATTTTTCTATATTTTCTATTTTCTATATTCTATATTTCTATTGCTGGGTTTCGATCACGTGTCCAGTGGGCGGAGCCACACAGCAGCGGGGGTCAGGAAGTGTGTCGTCCTGTTCAAAACAAACGCGCGATGGAGGAAAGCGGCTATGCTAACGAACTTCATGGACTGGAAAGGGCCCGATATGATGACAAAATCAAGTTACATGTAGGGTTTGACCCGTATAGTGTAGAAAAAAACGAATGGTCGTACGAGTTAGAGCATTTACCGGCTGTTCAGGCGATGGACGTCATTAATTATCTCGTCCTCCAGACATCTTTTTATACAGCGAACCAAATGAAAGCTTTCAAAAGCTTGGAAGCTTATAATTACTTTGTTCCCGGTTGGGTTAACCATTTGGGAAGCAAAGAAGCTAAAAATGATTCCCGCATTGTTTTTGCACAGGTGAGTAGCGCTTTTGTGGTATGTATTGGTCTATATGACCTAACGTTAACGTGATGCCATCCAAAATACATAACGTACATAATTTTCCATCTGCAAACTCAATTAAGTTCAAGTGAAATGTTAATGCATACTGTATTTCTTAATGTAGGTCAACCATTCGCAGAGATCATCTGACAAACCTTTGAAAGCCTGGTTTGTAGCTAGAGAAAGTGGAGAGGTGGTCACAGCACATTGCAACTGTATGGCAGGGTACGACATTTAATTTTTTTCTTTCAGTGGATGTATTTAAGCTGTAAATTATGCATTTCTTGGGTATTTTACAGTAAGCATACATATGTGTTTGTATTGTTGATGCACCAGTATAGGCTACATACATAACTTTACATAATTACATTTATATTGAATACATACATTGTATTCCCTGTATGAGCCCAACATGGAGCGAGAAGAACAAAAAAGCATTCAGCATTGTTATCATGTTTTGAATCTGATGAAATATACAATTCTATTAAACTAATTATACCACACTGCAACAGACCGACTATACAGAGCATGGTCCCAGCCACAATTCTTCTTTCAGAGTTGTCCCCTCAATAATCTTTGTATTATACAGTAATTACACAACTGTATTATTCATTCACATATTTTTAATTATAAATTTAGTCTGCTTTTGTTAATGCTTGTCTGACTAAATTATTTATCATATCCTCCTGACATTAATGTTCTAATTTGTTTCAGATTGTCTGAATCTTGCTCTCATGTTGGAGCGATTCTGTTTGCAACAGAAGCTGACTGCAATATGAGAAGCACTGCCTCATGCACAAGTGAAAAATGCCAGTGGCTCATGCCGTCTCATGTTAAAAAGGTATTGTTTATAAGATATGTTTTAATTTTATTGTTTGAATGAAAACTTAACATGTCTTCAGATACCAGCTGCACCAGTAGCCTCAATAGATTTTACTTCTGCTCGAAGTAAAAAGAAGAAACTAGACCATGTGATTTCAGGGGGGTCAGGTAAGTATGTTGCTATAGTATGAGTTTCTCCAGGATTAAAAGGAATTGAGTTATTTTTTGCATATTGCTTTACACTTCTCCAGGCAAGATTTCAGAGAGCAGCACTTCAGAACACTACTGTCCTAACGTAGATAAAGGCTCAAAAACTATTGTGCGGTTTTTTGAGGATTTAAAAAACTTGCCAAGAAGTGCTGCCTTGATGCTTAGGGCACCATATTACCAAGACTTTATTCCCAAATCTGTATCGATACTGCCAAAAACTCTTCTTGCCTACCGAACAACAGACACTGTGGAGCTTTCTCCAGCCGAGCTTCAGGATGCATGCAGGGGCTTCAGTTTTGAGGAGCTCAGTGAAGCGCAGGTTAAAGCAGTAGAGGAGGCAACCAGAAAACAGAGCTCCTCAACAATCTGGTTCAACCAAAGAGCAGGAAGAATAACTGCATCCAAGTTGAAACAGGTTGTGCAGGGAAGTCTACAAAGACCATCTAAGGCTCTGATAAAGTCAGTCTGCTACCCGGAAACACAAAAGTTTTCAACAGCAGCAACATGGTATTTATTAGGGAAAGGTAAGGGAGGAATAATCATTTGTTTGCACGACTACCAAGTTCTGTTTAACTTGAGGCAGGGCATGTTTTATTTGAAAAGGTTCATATTGCAAACATTTATATTCCCCCTCACTATTTTACATTTCAGATATGGCTGTAAATTTGAGGCAACTGCTCGAAAAAAATATGAGCAGCTTGAAGGCCAGTCCCATGAGGGATTTTGTTGTGTGGATAGTGGGCTGTGGCTAAATCCAAAGTGGCCCTACATGGGAGCTTCACCTGATGCACTTGTTTCTTGTGACTGCCACGGAACTGGGGTTTGTGAGATAAAGGTAAGACAAATGCAGACTTTTTGCTGTAGGGTTGGTCGATCTGGGAAAACATGTTTTAACTATGTCTGTCAAAGTTAACACTTTAATTCATGCAATTAATCACAAAAAATCTATGCTTTAATCAGAAATTAATCTCAGAGCCTGGTGTCTCCCAAAGCTTCCCTGACCAGAGCAGGGACACAGTGCTCTGAGCACACCGGTCACATTCACACATTTCTTGTAATACAGCACCATTTCAATATTAAACTTTAAAAAACAAATGTTAACATATTAATGTATTAATCATGATTGTCAACATTAGAGATCCAGTCTTTAATGTTCATTATTTTTCAGTGTCCAGAGAGCAAACAGCATGAGGTCAGTCTGAAAAAGTGAGCAGGCCAGCCAGGATTCTGTCTCATCAGGGAGGGAGAGTTTGTACAGCTTGACAGGAATCATCCATATTATTATCAGGTTCAGGCTCAGCTTCACATTTTGGATGTAAAATACTGCGACTTCATAGTTTGGAATGAAAATGATATATATAAATACATAGTTCCCACATGACGTCACTACATACGGGGATTTGCCGACCCGGCGCCATTTGTATTGGCATGCTGTGGGCAAAACAATAGAAAAAGAAGCTGAAACGTGTTAATGTCGTGATAAAGTTGAAAATGGTCATCTCCTGCTGGGTCAATGGATGTTCAAATCGTGCCGGAGGTTCCGTTAAACTTGGATTTTACAGTATACCCATCATTAGACTTCATGAATGTGAGAAGACTAAGCTTTTGTCAGAACAACTACGGAGGTTATGGCTTGCGAAGATAAACAGGCAAGAAACTCCCTCAAAACACGCAAGAATATGCTCGGAGCACTTTGTGTCAGGTGCGTATCGTATCTCATAATGTGTTGACAGACGTAATTTACTCAGTACTAACTTGTGTATGCTGATAGCTGGTAACTTGAGTTTCATTATTTAGCGTTAGATTACTTTATTATGAGGAGGATCGGTGTCGCGTCCGAGGCTCTCGAGGGCAACGTAAATGTATTAAATAGATAATAATAGTTCTATGGTGGGCTAAAACAATGTTCACAAACAGCATTGCTTCTGTAAAAAGATCTGTGTCATAAAATAAACTGCTCTTTACGCCTGGAAAAATCAGTTGCCCACCATTCACCAAAACATACGGTCAAAAACGCGGAAATAAACAATAACAGCAATCCAGAGTGTCCGTGTGGCATTAGCATTAATTAAATTAATTGTTAATATAATTAAAATAATTAAATGGAGCTCCAACTGGTATTAAATCTAAAGTTTTTGAGAAATGTTTGCATTGCTTGTTAATTTTTGCTGCATAATTTGATCAAATATGTAAAACATGTCCGTAGCACGTTAAACTGTGGTGCCATTGTATTAATATACAATTATTTGCTCAAAAGTTGCCCTTTTTTTCCAATTTGCGTTTGAATATCTACATTTATTCTCATTCTTCTGTTTAATGGAATGCACAAACACAGCAGCGTGCCATCAAAGATGGCGTCTCCGAGGAGGTCATGTGACATTCATTGGTCTGTGGGAATATGTCTATATTTTGGCTCAGCAGGTGCGCTGGTGAAACGGCTGGCTCGTCCAATCAGAAGCGACCAGAGGGGGAACGACAGTCTATCGAACTACCGCGACATTATTTGGATCACGCTCAAAATGACAGCGGTTATCTCATGGATCTTTTATAATAGACAAACAAAGATATTTTGTCTTCTATGATCTTTATATGTCTTTGCTTATCTCGCTGGGAGTACGCTTCATTTACACGCTGACAGCTGGCAAAGGCCCTGTCACACCCGCCCGCTCACTGCTGTACTCCGTAGATTAAAACAAGCGCGCCTCTCTCCAACAGCGACGGAAGTGCTGTTGTGTCAAATTGTGTGGCGGGAGAGACTGCGCCAAAACTAAACACAGAGCAGCGCGGAAAGAAACTGAAAACAACAGAAAGCAGTGGACAGAGCGCTCAAAGTGCGAGAGAGTGTGTTATAGAGTGGATCAGCGGCACATCGACAGACGAATGGACGAGTTTGCTGTTTACGCGCTGTTTTGGGAGAACGTTCCACCACAACGACTCATCAGGTGAGAGACTATAATGTGACATTAGCCCATAAACTGCAGACACATGTCCATAGACTGCAGACACACATGTCCATAGACTGCAGACACTATGTCCATAGACTGCAGACACACATGTCCATAGACTGCAGACACACATGTCCATAGACTGCAGACACACATGTCCATAGACTGCAGACACACATGTCCATAGACTGCAGACACACATGTCCATAGACTGCAGACACACATGTCCATAGACTGCAGACACACATGTCCATAGACTGCAGACACACATGTCCATGGACAGCAGACACATACTGTATGCCTATGGACTGCAGACACATACTGTATGCCTATGGACTGCAGACACATATGTCCACGGACTGTAGACGCATAAGTCCATGGACTGCAGACACATTGTGCAAATGTCTTTTTAAATGGTATTTTCCCATTCAGCCAACTTCAGCTCCATCATTGCTAATTCTAAAGCCTAGAATTTGGGCAAAACAGTTTAGCAATTGGGGTTTGTTGGCTCCTGGACAAGTCTGGTGAACTAAAGTGATGTCTAACAATAAAGTTAGATATCTGTAAGTCCACAGACTGCAGATGGGGTAGTAAACCCTGTTCCCACCAGACCACGGCATGGCTTACAGAATGCAAAGTCAAAGGTCCCGTACATTGGTGCAAATGATTGTCATGCGTTTTAAGATAAAGAGATCCTTCTTCTTCTTTGGGTTTTACGGCGGTTGGCAGCCAACTAGTGGAGCATTACCGCCACCTTCTGTTACTGAGTGGGTCAGACAATAAGCTCACAATCTAAAACCCAAACCATAGACTGTGAGTCTATGGTCCCAACAAGGGAGGGGTTAAGAGATCCTTTGCAGCACCCATGTTTCTGCGGCTGCGGCAGGTGCCTTTTTGACGTGGTTCGTGTGTTGAGTATGCAACTCAAAGCACCGACGACAATGCTGGAGAACATTGCTCAACCTCGGCGTATTGGCGTATAGTAAATAATCAGAGCATGACACAGTGGTGCTGGGGACACAAGCCGCTCAGAGCATGAAGAAGACACACAAAAACAGCCGAAACAAGAGCTAAACCAGGATTATACGCTTTAGAACTATTATTATATATTGCAGTACTATAGTGCAGTGGTTCCCAACCCCCGGTTCGCGGACTGGTACCTGGCCGTGAGACATTAAAACTGGTCCTTTTATTTTGAACAATGACTGGATTAACTCCTTACGTCCTGGTCACGTGGAATGTAAACAAATGTTCCTATACTGCACATGCATTCTGAAAAGTCACCCACGGCACAGAGGCTCAGAATTAAGTTTTACAAACACGGAGTAAAGCAAATGACCCGTGGAAAAATTAGGCGCCCGTGGGAACTTCAACCAGAGACAAGAGCAGGAATGGATTGAAACTGAAACCACGATGACCAACCAGAGGAACCAGGACCAAGACAATGCCCCCTGGATAGGGGTGGGAACCTAAGGGTACCTCACGATACTATACGATACGCGATACAAAGCGCACGATAACGATAACATCACGATAACGATTATATCACAATATGACGATTTTCAATATACTGATCAGAAATATACCATATGCCAATTAATGGCATAAATAAAAGAAAAATGTTAAGTGAAAAAATACACTTTATTTCGAGATAAATGGAATGGAGATGCGTAATGTAGCCATATTAAGTATTGATACAAATTTTAAATAAAAAATTGAGAAAAAAATAAATACAAAAAAGATAGAGTAGATACAATGCTAATGCTAGTTTCCTCACACTTTTCCTCACACTAACACAATTTTACAAAGACAAAAGCAAAGACCTGTCCATTATTGCAATTACCAATGTACGGACGATGAATAATGCCCAAAATATACACCAGTTATTCAAGATGCCAATAAAACCAATTATCGTGACGGGCCAAGCATGGACATATAATGCTAGGACCATAGACTGTATATATTAATGGACAGAGTCACGCCTATCTCTGCCGTTCTAACTAATGGGCCAAAAAATGTGCTCTACTGGAGCAATCCAAAATGGCCGTGAGTGGTCCCGCCCACAAGAAAATTGTGAAAAAACGCATCTGCGCATGCGTCAGACGGCGCAGCTCCATTCACTTGAACGAGAGACTTCAAAAATTCACAGCGAGTAAACTAGAGTGGTCCAAAACATTCCACCCCCCTCAGCATTGACACACATGTGGAACGGAGCTTTGGGCCAAGAGCCAACTTTTGGTCTATCCTGTGAAGACGTTTTTGAGAGGTCTGCCAATCCAGATGTTTGTGCATTTGGTCATGTTTATCCATATATTTTCTCATTTCACATGTGTAAGGCCCAAAAAAGACAAACACTGCTGAATATATCTTCTTCCATTGAGCCAGATTTGTTGCATCTTCCTTTGTGTATTGCAGTGCTGATGGCTCCTCCAGAGTGGCCGTTGCAGTACCCGCCTCCGTCCAGCAGGTGGTCCTCTTCAGCAGTGGACCATGGGGGGAGCGGCTGTCCGTGGACGCGGAGCTGGACGACGCAGCGAGAGTTCCCATCACCATCGGCAAACTGACACCTTTCAACAAGTGGGTTACTCTGAAGCAGGTCTATAAGTACAACACAAACTGAAATTATTCTTCTAGATCAGTGGTTTCAAACACATGACCGAAGAGGTGTGTATTTTTTGGCCCCCTAGTGGACATCAAAGTATAAAGGAGCCATATGTAGAAATCTGGTCAAAAGTAGTACTGCAATCACTGTCCTCTCACACTCTCCCTGACTCGGGTTGCCAGATACGCAGCCGAATCCAGCTCAAAAAGACCATGATTTATTAATGCCTTTTGACATATTAGGGCCATTTAATGATAACTTGACTTACAATTATTACATACAGCTCCTTTAATGTCAGTGCAGCCCCCACTGAGATCTTATACATAGTTTTGAAGCTAATTTTATCAAGAAAACAGACACGCCATTTTTTGGCCATAAACATTGAACCCTGAATGCAAATGGCAGCAATTCAAGTTAAAGATTCTTAAACCCAGTATACAATACAAAACCTCATTCCTTGTTCATAGAAATATATACAAATTATATATACAACTCATGTTCAATGAAAGTAATACCGAAATACCTTTTTATGATTAAAAAAAAGTCACAAGTAATACAATTATCTGACGAGATCAAATATGATTTGTACAGATCACTGCGTTATGTAATTTCAAAATGAAATATCTCTGTATTGTTTGAGATTTCCCTGTTGAAAATATAAGAATCCACATGTCACTGCAGGTGTCTGTCGTGGGAGCGCTGGGAGGAGGAGACCTGGACATCTGGGGTCACGCTGCGGCTGTGTGTGGAGGTCTGAGATACAGAGACTGAGGGCGAGAGGAGCGACTGACTGACTGACTGACTGAGGCCGAGAGCGACTGACTGACTGACTGACTGACTGACTGAGGCCGAGAGCGACTGACTGACTGACTGACTGACTGACTGAGGCCGAGAGCGACTGACTGACTGACTGACTGACTGAGGCCGAGAGCGACTGACTGACTGACTGACTGACTGACTGAGGCCGAGAGCGACTGACTGACTGACTGACTGACTGAGGCCGAGAGCGACTGACTTTTAAAAAAAGAGAATTTGCATTGCACCTATTGGAGCCACCCAGACATGTTTGTCATAGAGCCACTGTGTCTGTCAGTATGACCAAGTAAATGAAGTGTGCACCCAGAAACATCCTGGGCTGATCCTGGGGCAGACGGCTCCTCGGATGGTGCTTCCTCTGCTGGCTTCATTAGTATCCAGCCCCATGTTTCCCCTAGTTTTCTTTTTACGCAAATAAGGCTGAATCATAGTCACGTAAAATGAAAATAGTGTAATGCCATCTACTAAATTTACTTCAATAGGTGGATAGATACTTTATTGATCCCTGTAGGAGAAATTCAGGTGTCCAGTAGCAGCAAAAATAAAATTGATAATTCTTAAAAGCTAACCATAATACCGCGTCAAGTCCAAAGCATTTCCCGGTGCATTTCCATATTAAAAACCAAAAGGACCAAATTAATTGCATTTATATGCTGCCAATAGGAATTGACTGAAAAGGGTCGGTTTCTACTTGGAACCGATAAATGGTGCCCAGCCTCATTTTTAAAGGGCCCATATCACGGTTTTTGACTTTTCTCTGCTTTAAACATGATTACAATGCTATTTGGCCTTCATACACAAGCCCACAGTAGTTTATTCATTGATTCTGTCAATCTTTTGTAAGAGAGCAATCTGTCTCCTTCCCCAGCGTGAGGCACAGAAACGCTCGGGTCCACTTCAGTGACAAAAACCACACTGATGACGCGCATGACCCCGTTTGCTTTGTATTTAAAATAGTTGTTAAATACTTTTGTCAAAACGGGGTAAACAATACACAATTAGTATGCTGTTTTTTGTCAAAAATAATAAAAATAAAAATAAATTAAAAGCCGGCGGAAGGTGATTGACAGATCAAAACAGCAAATCAGAGCGCACAGGCTCCGGCTCCCGAGTCCAGCGTCTGTGGTCTGGTCTCGCGGACACCACATAGAGCTGCTGTTTTTATGCTTTTGTCAGCGACTAAAAGTGTTAGGATCACGTCAATTTGAATGAAGTGTGTTATGGGTGTAAATATGTGACACACTATTTGGCCCGAAGAGGAAGAAAGCGCTTCGACTTTTTTCATCTGTTCATCTCATGGATCTATTATAATACCGGTTCATCTGCGACACTTCACTGAGACTGTTCCAGAACTACAGAGACAATGGAACTGGACTTACTCAAAGGCTGATCTGGAAACACGTTATTCCCACGGTAAAAGACGATACTCGGACCCCCTCAATCTGTAAGTAGTGACGCTAACTCGCTGTATACTTCTGTAAACTAAATAACTAGGGTCTGATTGTGCATCGAGGACATAGGGCTCGATGTGACAGATTGTCATTGTTGGAAAAAGTTTATTCTTATGTATGAAATTACTAAGTACAGGTGATTAACGACAAAAGCGTGATGCTACGTCACCGTACGGGCGGGGGGAGGCGGGCTCACAGGCAGAGGAGCAGACTCTTCTCTGGATCAGCTCGTTTGAGTCGAGGTGACGTCACCTCTATACAAGAGATGGCTCTAATCTCACAAGCTTTGATTGTTGTGTGGTGTATCATACACATTAATATCACACATGTGTATAGGATTGAGTGTGAAACATGAAGAAAAGCGTGATATAGGACCTTTAAATGTCACAAAAGGGGCTTTGGAGAATGAAAGGAGTGTATGCTGTGTGTTCTTAGGGAAGAGCCCAGTGGGCAGAACCAGAGCAGGTCCTGACGGTGAAGGAGTACACACCCAAGGTAAGCTCTGCTAAGGAAACACACCAACGCTACCACCTCCTCACCACAACGCACAAAACATACACACAGGTCCACCACAAAAACATCCCAAATTAAATACCGACAATGGTACAACTTTAAAACGCAAAACTGCGAGATCAATTTCAATCATTGTTTGTGTTCTGACCCACACCACAATGGTTGCCTCTTTGTGGAAAGCTCCAAATAAGTGTCACACAGCCTTTTACCACCAATGGCCTCGTTTGAAGTCAAATTCCACACACCAAAACTATAAGCAACACTGAACCAGGCCTGCATGCTCTTGCCTGAATTAGAGGAGAAACGTTTGTACAGCAAATATAAAACATTTCCCAAAATCCCAAATGTTCAAGGCAAGGCAAGTTTATTTATATAGCCCAATTCATACACAAGGCAATTCAAAGTGCTGAACAAAACAAGAAAGCATTAAAATCATAAATAATCACAGAACATTAAAACGAAAGATAAAAATATAAAATCCCTCAGTTGTATGCACAGCTAAACAGAACTGTCTTTAACCTGGTTTTAAACATTGTCAGAGAGGAGGCCTGTCTCACATCTTCAGGAAGATTGTTCCAGATTTTAGCAGCATGAATCTGAAAAGCAGCCTCCCCATGTTTAGTTCTGACTCTGGGCACTAACAGGAGTCCAGTCCCTGTGCTCCTCAGAGTCCGGGCTGGTTCATATGGGACTAAAGCCCAAAGTGGTCCCCTCCCAGAATGCTTGTGTGCTTTCATGAGCCTGTTTTAGGTTGCTTGGTTTGGGGGCTTGTTATTCCCACTGATACTGGTGGTGGCTCCTTTTTTAGACTTTCTGCTGCTTTTTTGTAACACATCTTTTCTGCACATACACACACGCTCCACTACACAACATACAGTATCTGTCTAAAGGATGTTGATGTTGTTTGTGTCCTGTGGCTGGTGTGTGTCAGGTGTCAGACCGGGACATGAGCACCAAGAGGAAGAGGGGACAAGGAGAGGAGAGCAGTGATCCTGGAGAGGAGAACATCTGCCCTAACCCTTCCATAACCCCCGTGAGGAAGGCCAGAGGCCAGCCCAAATCTCGACAGCAGCTCTTAACACACTCACCGCAACAGGGACCTGGTCAGGACTTTTCATGTGTTTTACCATGTGCCTTTTTTATCAAACACTATCCAATTCCTTCACCAAATAAGAATTTATTGTTTTTGGATAATTGGTGACCTATTACTGATGCTGATCGTCTCCAAGAAGGCCTTTCGAATGTAATCGTGGCAATCATCATTTAAGGGTTGATCGATCCATAACCACACAAGGCTTGTCCTATGTGCCCTTGATTACAATTAATGTTGGCCAAGACGGTTTGATACTATTCGTTGAATTGTCAGAGGCTTTTTATATTTTCAAATATACTTCTTCATTAAAAGCCTTAACTTTTCAGAATCAGAATTCTTTTTATTGCCATTGTAACAGGAAGTCAAACCAGTTCATTGCTTTGGCTCTTGGTGCAAGCATGTTATAAATGTAACTGTTTTTAAAAGATAATCTTGCGTTGTTACTGTTGCTTTACAACAATGCAGTTTCCCTTAATCCTAAAGGCCTAAAAGTACAAATTAATACAATCCCACACTCACCCCTTGAGTTTATTCTCACCCTTTTCTTTTACTGTCACAGAAACACCTGTCACTGCTGTCCAAACGCCCCCTTCAAATCCAGCCAAGACCAAGAGCCGACAGGCCAAGACCAAGACCCCCACTCAGAACGGTGAGCTTGCTTCCTGCCCTCCACCTACGCACTGCTCTGGTTCAGTTTTGCTGGTTCAAATAGACGCACAAACCCAGACCCGGTGCATCAGAACATCTCATGTAGTGTAATACATGAGTAATACATAATACATAATACATGAAAAAAATTTAGAGCATTGGCCTTAGAGCCTGAAGGTTGTGGGTTCGAGCCCACCACAAGACCTACTTCTATTGATGTCAGCTGTCGTTGTGTCCTTGGGCAAGACACTTAACCCCACTTTGCCTGAAGTCCCTGCTGAATAATCAAGGCCCCTGTGGACTCACCACCTGCAGGAGGATCAGTGAGGGGCTGGTGCTCTGTGTACTGGGTGCAGCTCTGACTGCCACCCCCTCAACCCAGAATGGAAGAAAATGGATGGATGGATGTAATGTAAATTACAATTAATATAATTCAATGCAATGTCATTTTTGTCACCAAAATGAGCAAATAAATAAAATGTCCATTGCTTTGCAATGCATAATGGGTCTGGGTCATCAAGCATTTTGCATCAAAATGAATTGTAAGAATCACAAGTTGTTACACCCCCAGTAAGTGCTGAGCTGAGGCAGTCTCTTTCTGCCCTATCTCTCTCTCTCTGCCCTGACTCTCTCGCTCTGCCCCGTCTCTCTCTGTCTCTCTGCCCCGTCTCCCTCTGCCCTGACTCTCTCTCTCTCTCTCTGCCCTGACTCTCTCTCTCTGTCCCGTCTCTCTCTCTCTGCCCCGTCTCCCTCTGCCCTGACTCTCTCTCTCTCTGCCCTGACTCTCTCTCTCTCTCTGCCCTGACTCTCTCTCTCTGTCCCGTCTCTCTCTCTCTGCCCCGTCTCCCTCTGCCCTGACTCTCTCTCTCTCTCTGCCCTGATTCTCTCTCTCTCTGCCCTGACTCTCTCTCTCTCTGCCCTGACTCTCTCTGCCCTCTTCACCTTCTCCCCCCTCTCTCTCTCTCCAGCCTCTCCATCCTGTGCGCTTCCCTCTGGGCGCTGGGGGCAGACCCTCAGCCCCATAGACCAGCACAGAGCCATCCTGATCGGAGGCCAGGGCGCCAAGATGCACTTCTGTAAGGACCCCATGTGGAAACTCTGCACTGGTAAGTGCTGTCTCAGAGCTGCTGATGCTGATGCTACTGCTGTGCATTAGGAGTGGACTGACAGAGTGAAAATGTCCTTATTTGGGCGGTTGTTCCACAGGGTTATCTTTGTGTCCATTAGGAGCAGACCTGTTGCTGCTTCCCAAACGAAATAGTCCCCCACAAGGCATCTGAAGGCATCTGTTAGATCAATCCTTATGGCACATATCTGGACCTACAAAGACAATGTCAAAATCTAGACACCAGGATCACATAGAGCTCATCCACAGGTTTAAGCCAAACATTAGCGTTTACTTTTCAATGTCAAAGTCAATTGTCAGAGCGAGTTGGAGCAAAACTTTGTCCATGAGCTCTGCTACCACTACTACTGCTGCGTCAATGTTTAAAGAACATAGGGCATATGTAAACTACTTCTATTGTAACAGCCTGTTACATGTCTTAGTAAAAATCAGAATTCTGCTGCGAGGCTTTTGACCCGCACCTTCAGGAGAGCCCATATTTCTCTTATGTTGAAGTCCTTACACTGGCCTTACACTGGCTCCCTGTCTCACACAGAATCAACAAAAATTCTGGTGCTGACTTTCAGGGCACTTTGTGGTCAAGCGCCTGAATACATCCAGGGCCTGATCCACCCCTATATCTCCCAACAGTAGCCTTTGGTCCTCCACTCAGAACCTGTTGATGGTTCCCCGCACTCTTTTAAGACCACCTCACCTTTGGAATGAGCTTCCCTGGTCTCTGCGCATCTTAGAGACTGTTGTTGAATTTAAGTCCCAACTTAAGACCTATTTGTTTAGACAGGATTTCTCGCCTCACTGCACATAGGCCTCTGTGAATTGTGTTCATGATTAGTCTTGTGTGTTTTTAAATCTGATTTGTATATGTATTATTTTAATCTGTATGTTTTAAATGTGAAGTGCTTTGTGATCCTGGTCTGTGAAAGGCGCTATACAAATAAACTTTACTTACCTACTTACTTCAGGTGCAGAGAGACTGAGGGGCTTTGTAATAGATATTTCCAGACAAATCTATTGTATAAGTTGTTTCGTTTTTTGTTATCACTGCTTAACTGCTCTGACGATTAAACAGTTATTAAAATATTTAATCAAGCATATTTATTTTTAATTTTATAATAATCAGTTTTATTTAATCGATTTTAATACTAAATGGAATTGATGTCCTTGTGCTCCCAGAGGACATGAGCTGGATGACAGCAGAGACCCTGGCCCTGGGTCCCACCCCTGAAGCTCGGATTGGGCACACTGCAGTGTACGACCAGGACTCAGGGCGTATCTTCGTGTTTGGAGGCTCCAAGAACAACAAGTGGTTCAACGACGTGCACATCCTGGACACGCGCAGCTGGAAGTGGACCATGGTGGAGGTACTTTCTCCTTTCACCTCCGAGGCAAACGCAGATGCACACATTTTATGAACAGACGAGTTTCTCTGAGGGCCACACACTCTTGGAACACTGTAGCCTGAAGCTAGAACATTCAAGCACTGACAACCTTCTCCAGCAGTCATCTCAGAGGACTTAACAAAACCATTGAAACCAACAACACAGATCAGAGAATCAACAGTTAACACACAAAAATATAGAACACATGGTATTGGTCCATAGGGACTTGACAAATGTCCATAAATGTAGAATTTCAGAGTGTCCTGGATCATCACCACAGTCCTTCTCATTAGACACCAACAGTTTAACAGACCCTCCTGTATTGTCAGGTTGCACTGTCCCGTTTATATTCCTGTGTGTGTGTGTGTGTGTTCTAGGCCCAGGGGAAGGTGCCTCCGCTGGCCTATCACAGCTGTACCCTGTTTAGAGGAGAGCTGTGGGTTCTGGGAGGGGTGTTCCCCAGGCCCCACCCACAGCCGGACGGCTGTAGTGAAGCCCTGTACATCTTTGACCCTGAGCTGTCCATCTGGTACCAGCCCATCGTCACTGGAGAGAAGCCTGCGCCACGTTCTGGGTGAGGCCCGCTCTAATGAACACTACCAAGCATTACTCTATAAAAACCATACATTACTTTCCCACAACTATTGCACTACTATGATACTGGACCTAATTTTGTTTTTGTTTAACTAAAAACACTCAGACATTCTTAATGATGTTTGCATACAATGAACCAAAGGACAGGAAATGAGTAACAACCATCATATTTAAGAGCTGGTTTCTCTCCCCTTTGGCTGCAATAACTTCAACCAGACGCTTCCTGTAGTTTCAGTTCAGTCTGGCAAATCCATCAGGATCAATATTTGACCATTCCTTAACTGCTGCAGTTCTGTCAGGGTCCTGGGATGTTTGGCATCAATCACTGTGTTTAGACAAAGCCACAAGATCTCAATGAGGTTCAAGTTAGGACTTTTAACTCCAGAACGTGTATTTCAACACAATAATTGAAATTTTGTGATTGAACCATACAGTAAGAGAAGAGCATCAGCGTTCAGTAGATGACCTGATCTTTTCATCATTCCAACACGCAACTTTTCTCCCCGGGGGACTCCTACTACTGCTCCTACCACTAAAACAGCTGTGAGAGGTTACATGACAAGTAAAACCAACGAGAACAGCTGTGAAGAGTTGAGTTTGTGTCTTGTTTAAGCTGCGAGCCGCACTTACAGCTGCTGTGCTTCTGTGTCTGTGGCGATGTAGACACTCTGCCTGCCTGATGAAGCAGAGGAGCCTGTATGTGTTCGGAGGCTGGGACACGCCACTGTGCTTCAACGACATGTACATGTTAGACCTGGGTAAGAGCCCGCCCCTCCCCCCTCACTGTACATGTTAGACTGGATCATAGCCCGCCCCCCCCATCCCTCATGCAGTGACACCTGTCTTCTGTTCCAGGTCTCATGGAGTTCTCTGCAGTCAGTACATGTGGGAAGCCCCCGTCTCCTCGCAGGTCTGCTCTAACACATTCTAATACATGAACTCCAAAGACAATATTCTCGATTTCAAAAAGTGATATTACAACAAAGTAACAGACAACTGTGAGGTGAAAGACAAATTATACTTGTTGTTATTAAATGAAAGGAAGCGTACTCATTCTGCACAAGCCAATACTATGGGATTCCCAGCTCCAGAAGTTTTTCCTCTTAAAATGTCCTGTATTATTCCCCATCACCTTCCCCTCAACTCAATTGACACTCTTTCCTGGCCCTGATGAAGAAAAGTGTCCCCATAACATGATGCTGTCACCGTCATATTTGACACTGGGGAGGTGCACTGGGGGACTTGAGCAGTGTTAGTTTTGAGCCATCAATAACTAATTATTTTGTATTTGAACAAAATAATTCACTTCTGGACTCATCTGACGACAGCATCTTCTTCCACATGTTGAATGTCTGCAGCTCCTCCAGAGTGACCGTTGGCCTTGTGCATCTGTGATTAGTGTTGTCCTTGTTGGAGGTGGGAGTTCGGACAGACAGCAGCGTCTTGGTAGATTTGCAGTTGTGCCATATTCTTTCCATTTCAGAATAATGGAAAGAGCTGGAGAAAGCTTTGGAAATGTTTGTATAATAATCGAACCATGCTTAAGACTATATCTCTGCTCCTTGGCCATGTTAATGTTAAGTGACTGATTCATTTTTCTTAAACAGTAGATTACACACACACAGGTGGGCGTTAAGGTATGAACATCATGAGGAATGTTTTAAATGCAATTTAATGCTCTCAAAGGAAATTAATAGTAATGCCCACTTTTCTTTAAAAATTAGAATCATGTATTTTCCTTTCACTTCAGTTGTCTGTAAAATTTCAGTAAAAAAATAAAATAAATCTAATATAATCTCTATATATGAGAGACACGGCCCTAAAGTCCACATGACAAACCTGGAGCTTCTGTCTGATGTGTGAAATGGGATGCAGCCCCAGGCCGTGCTTGTGCTGACCTCTTGTCTGTTGCAGCTGGCACGGCAGCGCTGCGCTCTCAGACTCAAAGTTCCTGATCCACGGAGGCTACAACGGAAACCACGCGCTCACGGACGCCTTCATTTTTGACGTTGGTAAGAACTTTGTTGTCCCTCACGTCTCACTCTTCTGCCTTTAACCTTGTTCCAACTGTGATCCCCATAAGTCACAGACCCGGAGTTGTTTTAGCTCCATCCATCTTGGTATCAGGAACTTTTCTAACTTGACTCATTAGAAACTCGTTACACTTTGCCAAATCCACAGACTATGATGTCATGCACAGAGCTGGTTTCTGCCATTTGAACAAAAGTGTTACTTCTAAACTAGTTTTGTGAATTTCTCAAGAGCTGGTTACAACTGCGTGATGAAAGTGGTAGAACACGTGCATCTGGGGTAGGACTGGGACATTTGGAGGCACGTTTTGTTTGGAAAATTGCTCTGAACATTACTCTGACCTATTACTGTGCTAATATTGTCATATTGCGTGCCGTGCCTTTCCAGTGGCGTTTTAATAGTGAAAATGTTCCAGCTGCGGTGGTGGCAGGGAGTGAAAATATATTTTATTAGAACTGTGCTGAAAAAATTAAAAAAAAGGCTGAAAAAATATTGCAGTAATCTTTACGTACATTTTGAACTTTAATCCTGGTCAAATGAATTCTCTAACACAGTTCTGCCAGACTCAATACGCAAATCACATTAAAGCTCAGTTACCTGCATTTTTGTTTCATAGTAATAACAGGTCTCAGAGTAATATTTCTGAAACAAAAAAGAAAAGGAGACGCTGATTGGTGTCAAACGTGGGCCTTGTTTATTGGAAACAGCGCATACGTTTTGGGCTGGACGCTGCCGGGCATCAGGCGTGGGTAAAATGTGTCTCATAGTAAAGTTTGTGGATCAAAATAACCCCCCCCCCCCTTCCTGCTGCAGACACACACACCTGGACAGAGGTGACTGTCCCAGAGCTCCGCCTCCCCAGAGCAGGCCACTCCCTCATCACCATGGAGACGGCGGAGCAGAGGCCGGAGGACAGGACTCTGCTGGTGTTCGGAGGAGGGGACAACGAGGGCACATTCTACAGTGACCTGTGCACAGTGAGCGTGGACACTCTGCTGGCGGCGCTCTGACCACATGTTGAGACACATTTGTCAGATTTATAAAAGAGTTTCAAATCCATATGAGACATTTGGGTCCAAAGGCAGCTGTCCTTTATCCAGGCTCTAACCATGAGTGAAGTATACATTTTAATGACTACAATTCTTATAAAATCAACAAAAAAGATGACTTGATTACATTTGTTGTTTCAAGCAAGTTGTTAATTTGAGATTAAACCGCTTAAATGAAGACTTGTCCATGGAACTTTTCAGTAAATGGAGAATATAGCAACTACAGATTTAAAACTACTTAAAATTGGGGTATTCGTTTTTTCCAACAGAAAGGTTCTTGTAAAAGTATAAAGAGGCCAAATTAATCTTTTTTTTTTTTGAGACCCCATGTTTTTGTGCATTAGGCTTTAAATGTGTAGAAAATGGGTGTTTGCTTGTGCTGTACATTTTTTGTCTTTTTAAAATAATTTTAAATCCTAAGATGTTCACAAAGTTGTTTGTGTATTTTTATTTGTTTTTCTATGGGTGTATATTTTTCAATATAAAGTCAGAAGTGAAGGACTTTCATCAAGTAGCAATAATGATGGTTTCCTGTAAAGAAATGTTTTCATGCGTTTCTTCAAAAGATCTTGTTACATGATAATAAAGCCGGAGGTTTTGAGAAAGTGCTTATGTGGTCACTTTTTCTTGCACAGGTCTGAATATTAGGGATGAACAAGGCTTTGGAGTGTGTCGCTTCGAAACACTTTGTTGAATCAAAACAAGCCGGTCACATGACTCTGCGGCCAGTTTTGTTTTGCCTAAACAGTGTCGAAGCGTTTCATTGGCTCAATAGGTTTCCCAGCTTCACCTTGTTTCAGAGCCTTAAGGGGCGTTCACAGCTGACCATGAGTTGCGTCCAGTTTCAATGCAAACTCGGGACAGTCTAGAGTTTGGATGAGTCTCCTCGGTTTGATGGCTTTTAGTGGATAGCAGAGACTGTAGTGGCGCTAACTAGCTACAGTATTAATGATGCATCTAAATGTCTACAAAATTAAGATTAAGAGATCCTTTATTTGTCCCACAGTGGGGCCCATCGAGTGTGTTTGTACCCGGAGTCCAGAATTTGGTGCTACTCCCCTGGCTGTAATGATTATTTGTCCACTAGATGTCAGTGTTGTAAGGTCTGAGCTCAGAGGTTCTGACACATTTGAAACCATCACCACTGAATATTCAAGGAGGCCATGTACACGATATAGAATCATGACAGGTGGTAGATTCCTTTATATGGATTCAGCAGATTTATTTGGAGGCCCTTTCTAATGATGCTGAAGGTAGCTAAAACAACCAAACACCATCTTTCTGAAGCACTTTATGGTTGGGTCTGTTTACTTCACATTTCCCAAATGTTGATGTTTCCATTTTTCATACATTAAATACTTTCATATCAAACAAGATATTGGAATCTTCTGCCCATAGAACTGCGGCCGCTCTCCTCTGCCACAATTTAAAGATTACAAGATTAAATGGATCGTTTGCTCATTTCTAATGAACAATATTCAATGTGTTCTTTAAGTGTTGAAAACAATATAACATTATGTTCAAGGGTTGGGGCTCTCGGTCTACAACAATTTACCACAATAATGTCATTTATCCCTGAAACCCATGGATAGCGTCAGCTGTGCGGGACTGAGGCTCTGTGCATTCATTCTTCGTTGTTTGGATTTTTCTTTTACAGTCAAACTGTAAAATGTTTTTTACTACTGAAAAAGGATGGTTCAAATCCATAAGAACTTTGGGGCATAGAAATCATTTTTTTAAAAAAAGGTTAATCTTTTTTGCGATCTTGTTTTTTTCAGCACTTTGAGTTGCCTTGTGTATGAATTGTGCTATACAAATAAACTTGCCTACTGAACTCCCACTTTAGGAACAGAGAGCCACAAATCAATACAAACCAGGTTTAAACCAACACCAGATGAAGTTTTGTGTTGCATTTGTGTGGCTCGTTTTGAAAAGTAGACAATAATTCTTGATGTTTATTTTAAAAGAATAAGAATATAAAAAGATCAGAATACTGTGAAAAACTATCTGTAATATACTTGAAACATTAAACTAATATGTTTTGCACTGCCATAAGTGACATGTCAAACATCAGTAGATCATGGTGAAAAGAGACTGACGTCACTCTGTCCTCAGCTGCTGGTCCATGATCTGAGACTTTAGTCTCGGTTTGGTTCAGTGGAATTCTCTGCTGCTCTGACAGATCTACTTTCATGCCATGTTTTTTATTCCCCCAGTCTTACCTAAAAACAGAACCGTTTCCCTTCTGTGGGTCATTCACCAAATCAATCATACACTTTGTAAAAAGGGAAACTGGAGTCAAGGACATAGTTCAACAAAGAACTATTACAGTCTTCTTTGGCCTGTTCCAGTTTACCATTCATTAATGTTTTGAACGTTTGTCTACATCATGTTTATTGATCTTTAGGCAAATGCTGGGCTCAAATTTCATGTAATATTTATTGTACTATGAGTAAAACAAATATGATTTTAAACACACTTTGCCACCGTCGCTTCTGAGCCTGTGATAATAGATTTATAATGTGCCTAGATTTGGCACAAACTCAAACTGGGAACGACGAGAGAAACTAGCAGCACGGCTACTTTACATCACCCACTGAGCGCACGTCGTCTTGTCAGATAAAACCATGAAGGAGTCCTTTCAAAATAGAATATAATTTTAATGCACATGCAATGAAGTTGTATAGAAAAATATTGCACAAAGTAAAGACATGAATAAAAGCCATTAAAACAGACGTTCAGCAGTCTCTCTCACACACACCTTTCTCTGCACGCACACACACGCACAGACACGCACACGCACACACACACACGCACACAGGACATTCTGTGATGAGGATTAGTCTACACACGGATGTTCTGAACTCTAGTCTCCAGAATCACTTGGGTCACATTTGAAGCTCGCTCAGTGCTACCGACATATTTGGTTTCTAAGGTTCAGAACACGGACCGTAGAAGGTAAGGCGGGAGTGACTCCAGCGTGACTCCTACAGCTTCACAGAGGCTCCACTGGAACAAATGTGTTTCATCACTTTTTGAACATTTAATTCTGGAACCTTTGTCACTTCCAAGTTTTGTCCCAGAAGAAACTGATAAAACCATTGAATTTCAGTCAATTCTATGAAAAGGGTATTTGTCCTGAGGCAGTATGTTTCTACCTGCCTTAGGACAAAGAATGATATTTAGCTGTTGTGCTAATTCGTGCTAATTTCATGCTGTTTGCAGACACAATGATTAATATGTAACTAAATATAAATAAATAAAAAAAGATAAAAAATAAATGTACTCTTCCAATAACAATGGACAATATATTAAACTATGAAACATAATCTATTAGAATGTCTACCGGGGATTTCTGTTAAACTAGGCCTGGCATGGCAACGACTTTATAGACTTATTTGACTTAATAGCCAATGGGTCAAATGTTATGGGCCTCAGTGTCTATAGTCGGTACAAAAGGAGATTTTCCATTTTCTTTGTAAATGAAAGATGCTTTACTTGTGAATGAAAGTAATGCATCACTACTTAATGGTTTGATTTTCTGATCTGTGTTGGCAAATCAACAACTTTGTAAAGCCCTTTGCAAAAACTACTGACGTGATTTAGGGCTATACAAAAATAAATAATTGAAATGAAGTAATCGGCTGATATCTTCTCCCGCAGGTTTTTTAATGACATTTTGCTAATTGTTGCTTAATCCTGTGGCTTTCTGCTTCTGTAAGTACATACGCAATAGTTTAAATATTTATTGAAATAATTTCCCGAACAAATAAATCGTCCATTATTATTATTTATCGTGACGTGTCTATCAACAACTTATCGAAACCTCACCCAATTGTAAATGTACACAACACTCAAGAATGCGCCGACTGAAATCCAGACGAGTGATTTTAACCCAGAAAACACTAAACCGTTGCCAGATTTAAAATTCAAAACATGATGAAACAAAAGGACGTCCAAAGTCTCACCCTGGAGCAAAAGCAGCAGTACTGATCGCTTCCATAAAAAAAAACAGATCTATAACAGAAGAATCTAGAATCTATCCGTTCTAGTTTGTCTGTGGTCCCCCGTTTCCACCGCGCCCGCCGCCGTGTGTTCTGTCCCGGCTCGCATTGGGGGTGGTCCCGGTGCGGAGGGGAGGGGTCACCTTTTTGTGACGCACGGCTTGAGTTTCTGGTTGTATCTGTGGATGCGAGGCGAGCGCGAGTGCAGCTTCACAAACAGCTCGGGGAACTTGTATTTGGGGAACATGGTTTCTAAAAAGCCCTCGAGGAAGACGTAGACGAGGCGCCGGTTCATGGGCTGGTACTGGAACATGTCGAAGACCCGCAGGATGCCCTTCCGCGTGGTGTCTGCACCGATGATGTGCTTCAGCTCATCTGCAGCAAAAGGCGCGTTATACTTTAGAACGCAGTCGATTTAAAGTAACAATATGTAAGATTTTCATGTCAAATCATTAAAGGGCCCTAATCTGTCAAAAGGCATTTATAAACCATGCTCTTTTCTAACACTTCTTTAACCTTATAAAAGTAGTTCAGCGGTTTTTAGAGATATTCAAATTAAAGAATTCGTTTTACAGCCCCTAAATCTTGTTATTGTTTTCATTTCGATGTCCCGCCCTCCACCGTTTTACCAATCAGAACGTCTGTGCTAATCTCGAGCTAATCTCACTGGTGAAGTACCATGTGGTCGCAGAACTAAAAAGGTCTCATTGTGATTCTCAAATCATTAAGAACAAAACAAGGAATAAAACCAGGATTCTTATTGGGGATCAGTTTGTGAAAAATGTGTTGGTTATAGATTTACAATTGAAAAAACTCTTGTCTATTCAGTTATTATGGTCCCAGCTGGATTTGTCTGCATACCTGGCAACCTGAGTCAGGGAGAGTGCCACCTTTGGCCACATTTGCACATTGCTCTTTTAATACAGAAAAGACGTGTGTGTGTGTGTGTGTTATACACATGTTTAGTCAAGTCAAATTTGAGACCATTATGAGGCAGTTTAGCAAAATTGTAACACCACCATTACAGGTGAACAAACACTAATTGTATGAATGCCATTTGTAAAACCATAAAAATTGTATTTTACTCAAACACTATTCATCAGTTTTTTTAAATCTACTTCAAAGCGCAGGCAGCATAATACAATATTTAAAGCCACATGCTTTGGAAACTCTAAAGGCTTTATGATAAAAAAATATGAACACTTGTAGTTCTCTAAAACTGCCTCAGCCTCAGCTCTGATCTGTGCAGCCACGAGCAAAGACCTCGGACAGTGTGTCATGGTTGTCATTTTTTATTTCAGTTTTGGGTTTTTGTGAGTTTTTCCTTGCCGATACAAGAGTCTGTTGGACAGTTAGTGTCTAACAAGAAGGACTGTGGTGATGATCCAGGACACTTTAACATTCTACAACATGTATGACATTTATCAACATTCATGGACATTGGTCTCTCCTTATGGACCAATACATATTTGTATATTCTGTGTCTTAACTGTTGATTCTCTGATCTGTGTTGGTGATTTCAATGGTTTTGATGGTTGAGATGACTACTGTTGTGATTTAGGGCTATACAAGGATAAATTGTTGTTGTTGTTTTATTTTGTATTATGAGTTCTCCTGTGTCTTGTTGAGTTGTACTTCCTGTTCTGTTGCTGGCCCCGCCCTGACGTGTTACACCTGTGCCTCACAGTTTAATTCCCCGTGCTCTTTCCCTCTTGTTGTCAGTCCACTGAATGTTTGTTCTGTGGTTCTTGTCTTCGTCTTCAGTTTCGGTGTTTTTACATTCAGTTAAGTTTAGTTTTTTGGATGAAATTACATTATTTTAGCAGTATTGGATTTTGGGTCCTTCCTCCTTTCCACCACGTAACAGTTTGTCCCTTAAATAAACTCTAAAATACTACACTTCAATCGAGGTGACGTCACCTCTCTGCAAGTTTTGAGTGTTGTATGGTGTATGACCCAAATTATTATCACACATGTGCGTAAGAAGATATACTGAAGGTATGGAACCTTTAAACAATGTCTTTTTTACCTCTGTCCATAAATATGTTTGATTGCGTCCTCTTTGTGGTGTGGTCTTGTAAATGAAAAAGGTGTGTACCTGGCATGATGCCCAGCAGGCTGGTTTTGGCCGCCACTCGGGTCCTCATCTGTACGTTTTTGTCTCTGCGTGGAGAAGTCTCGGCCAGGATCCCGTTGGGCCAATACGAGTCCCTGTGTCAGAGAGCTTCTCAGAACATGCTTCATGCTGATTTCACAAAAGTGCATTTCCATCAAGTTTTACCTGAACTTCTTCACATAGTCAGCCACCTGCTCTGGTGATGTCATAAAGTCAACATGGTCCACTATTTTCCTGCACCAAAAGAAAATCATTCAGAGTTTAGTCTGAATTAGAAACAAGGGACTTGTGCGTGCACTGCCGACAAAACGAGGACACAGTAGAGGTTGGAATGCATTTTACAAAGTCACAAGAAAAGAGAAGGCACCAACATTTTATTTTGTCAAGCTGAATTTTGATTATTTTTCCTAACTTGACCAGCCCTGGTTAAAATAGATCCTTTAGACCCTATATTAGGGTATTCTTCTTCTACTTAGAATAATCTGTGACAGGTCATTATGACTCAAGGGCAGCACAGGGGCCCTCCTTCTCCTACAGAGCCTTGGAGTAGACCTTACAGGGGAAGCCAAGTGGTGTGATCCCACAATAATTGGAACACTCGCTCCGGGAGTTTGACAGTGGTTCTATGAGATGTCAGGGAGAAAATAATACGTTAATCTACAATTTAAATCTCATATAGTCCCCCCATTGCGTTATGCAAGTACCCAAACTCTGTAGGTTCAGGTTTCCTTGTGAAACCATATGAAATTTAATGTGAGAAGACCAGTGGATCAAAGCCTTGTGGCGAGCACCTGTTGATGGTGTCTCCGTAGGTGGCCCTGATGAGCTGCTGCAGCAGGTTCTTGATGTTCCGCCGCAGCCACTGGTTCTTCTCCTTCAGGTCGAACACTTCGTCCATGAGCAGCAGCATGACCCGCAGAGGGATGTTGTCGTCCACCTGGATTTACAGCCACATGGAGAAAACAAGGCTCACACTTCAGGACCATATTTCCGCTTTGTGTCTCTGGTCTGTGAAAGGCGGTATATAAATAAAGATGACTAAGATTACTATTACATGTTTCACACTTGATAACACAATGCAATATGGCTAACTGCTAGCATGTTCTCTTTATGGCCTGATAATGCGCCCCTGCTCAGAACTATTATGCATACGCATAACAGCAGGTGATTGTGCATTAGTGTCAACGAATGTTATGTGTGTATTGTCTGTTTTTTTATGTCTGTATCTGTGGGTGCTACTGACCCCCCTGCTCAAAAACACATTTCTCAAGGTAATAAATTAATCTGAATCTGTTCTCTCTGTTGGCGAAGGCTTTCCTGGCTCCTTTTTCTTCTGTGACTATAGAAGTGGGCATTCATGCAGCATGTTGATAACTATGTTAGCATTTGGTGGGGTGTAAAGTGGGCCATTTGTCCCATCAAAGTTTGACTCACATTATCGTCCAGCTGTGCAGACACTCGGCAGTGTTCAGGGTCCAGCTCTGGTTTTGGGAGCATTGGAGGCACCTGTGAACCAGAGCATTACAGAACATGGTGAACTGTACAGAAGTACTTCTGGTTCTCAGATGAACAGCACAAGGTTAACCGAGATTATGAAAGGAACAAGGACCACAAATCTACAGTCAGGACACGGGTTTAGACAAGACATCATAGAGTCACAACAAACAGACATCATAGAGGCACATAATCCAAGGGAAACAGATAATTATTCAATTATAGATTGCAATACTTTACTACATGAATTTGATTATGTGTGTTAAATATGGCAGAATACTGAACAGAATGGATTGAAAGCAGAATGTGCAGCAGATACCTTGAGGATGGACTGCCGGATGTCTTGGCCCAGGCGCTCTGACATGCGGCCCATGTTGTCGGACACTTTGTTCATGCCTTCGGCCAGACTGTCCGGCAGCGCCTTCACCGCGTTGGACACGTTTCTCATGGAGCTTTTCAGAGGGTTCACAAACGTGTCGATCTAAAAAGGGGGACACAAGCAGTGTACAGTTCAAACTTAAGTTCAAGCATGAAATGTAGTTTTTTTGGTTTTTTTTCATGCATACATTACATTTATTATATACTAATGATCAACAAAAATACCTGTTCTGCTCCAATAGAGAACAGTTCAATGTCTTTCAATTTTCGTGTGTTTTGGCTTGAATTTTTTTTTTTTTTTTTAGCGTTCAAACCTACTCTAAAACTCTAAAAAGGTTGTACACTTCGAAAGTCTTATAACATTTGCAGTACTTTGAAATACTTCTAACTTTTCCATTACCTTTTCTATTACTTTTCTGGTCTTCATAATAATGTGGCTCATCACATTTCTTTTGGTACTTCGACCTTTTGTAGTATTTACAGTATTCACAAAAAATAACTGGGGTTATGAATCCATTTAACTTGAGAATAAATCAAATAATAGATCATGTACTCTGTTACAAAGGTCGAGCTAACGATCTGTTGTTCTGCAGAAGCGTCGAGGCCAAGGGCGGGAGGGTGGCAGATGTTAGCTTCATATCTGGGCAGAGAACGATGTGTCCAGGTCATGTTGATAGTTATATCAGAGTTGTATCAGAGACAGACGGCAGAGGGGGTGTGAGCGACAGTCATCAGTCAAACCCGGACTGGGAGACGCCACAGAGAGACTGACATGTTTATGCCTTTTAATACTGAGGAACGTGAGGATTCAGGAGCAGATCTACGAGGACATGCCTCGCGGTCGATGGTTGTATTTCTTGTATATGTCACATTTACTGAAATAATAAACCACACTTTGATTGTATTAGAGCTCTGGTTATTTTATATTTGATTATTGTGTCTCTCACACTGTTTAGAAATCCTTTGTTTTTGAATGTTTTGTTTTGAATGTTTATCTTTTGTGTGGCCCCCACGTCAAAACAGCAATGGAATGTTTTAAGTCTCGTCTTAAAATGCATTTTTACTCTCTGGCTTTTAACACCGCGTGTGTTGTTGTCCTCTTTTTATTTGTTTTGTATTATTTGTTTCATTGTTTTTATTTTTTTTTCTAGTATTTTATTGTTTTTACTTTGTGCATATTTAAATGTGTTGATTTTATCTCTGAGCAGCACTTTGGAAACTTGTTTTGTAAATGTATCCGTCCACAGGAAATTCACATGCTTCAGACCCTTTCACACATGTCCGCTCAGGGACGCAGCCATTCCAGTGGTTTCATGATTTTTAATAGCCATATTTGAGAGTGTGGTAAATGGCAGATACCTTGCGAGCAAACTCTCCCTTGCCCTTGCTGTATGCTTTATTTTCCAGAAAGTCGTATACATAGTGAATCAGAGCGGGACATGCCTTCACCATCTCCGGGTTCAGTAGAAGCTGAAAATCACAGATAAAATGAATCAAAAATATTCCTAGAAAAAACAAAATGGACAGGGAAAACAACAACATTACCTGCAAGTATGCATTTAGGTCTTTCTTTCTCTTTTCCAAAAACTCTCTGTCCATGTTGTTGAATGTCTTTTTGCCTGGCAGTCTGAGGATGGATGCTAGATTTTCAAACTGGCAAAAATATGAAAAAAATACAAGGTTAACCCAAACCCTGACATCTAACATTTTTAAATCAGGGGCCCCCAAAATGTGCATGAAATCATCTTGTGACCAACACCGCCGACTCAAATGAATGTAAAAAAAACCCTGATTTGCTTTAACTTTCATCAATGACTGAATCTTTACAAATGTTCTCTATAAACATCTCTGTCTTTCTGACACCTTTTTACTACTTTACATTTATATGAAGAACAATTAGAAATCCAATAAATAGCATCCATCCATTTTCTTCCAGCAGCAGTCTAAGCAGAGACGCTCAGATTTCCCTATCCACACAAACACTTCCTCCAGCTCGTCCGGGACGACCCCAAGGCGTTCCCAGGCCAGCTGAGAGACATAGTCCCTCCAGCGTGTCCTGGGTCTTCTCGGTGGGACGTGCCCGGAACACCTCCCCAGGAAGGCGTCCAAGAGGCAGCCTGAACAGATGCCCGAGCCACCACAACTGGTTCCTCTCGACGTGGAGAAGCAGCGGCTCTACTCCGAGCTCCTCCTGTGTGACTGAGCTCCTCCCCCTATCTCTAAGGGTGCGCCCAGCCACTCTGCGGAGGAAACTCATTTCGACCGCTTGTGTTCGTGATTTCGTTCTTTCGGTCATTACCCAAAGCTCATGACCAGAGGTGAGGGAGGGAACGAAGATTGACCGGTAAACTGACAGAATCAAAATCCCACCTCATCTGAAAAAGTGTAGCATCAAATGACACTCTCTAAATGTTGATTAGTTAAATGGTTTATGAGCAATGGAACCGCATATTTTTGTTCTTTCCATAGCGATGTAAGAAAGTTCCCATGTTATTCTAAGGAGATACACTCACATCATATTCACTCCTCTTCTGTGCCTTTGATTGTTATTCCTCTGTGACTACTTTTGTTTGTGCAAAGTCAATACCACGGCCTCTGACAGCTCCCTACCTGCTCTGTGATCCTCATGTGGAAGTCGTGGAAGTCAGAGTAGCGGCGGTAAGTCTTCCAGCAGTCCTCGCTCCCGTCCACGTTGCGCCTGAAGACCGTGATGGCGTACAGCGCGTAGGTTTTCCCGTGGTCGTTACACACCCCTGTAGCAGCCCACAAGCCCGGGACAAAAGCGTCAACTACTACATTCTCAATACAAGCGTACAGAAGCACGTGGGGAGGACGCAGGGAAGATGGAGACAGCGAGGGGAGGTGAAATGCAGATGCAGAAGGAGAAAAAAAGGGAAAAAATAAAAAGGGAATGAAGATGACAGAACGCTGGAAGGAGACAGTAAAACAAAGTATGAGTTGTGTGCATGGAAATAGGGATTGGTCATTTGTATAGTGATGGCTGATACCACTTTGTATTTGGCAGCAACAAGTAATATTAGATTTAAAACTATTAAAACAATCTTGGTAAAAACAAGATTTAAGTATCTTTCTACAATAACCTCTCAGAATCCACCAGCCGAACTGTGATTAACTACAAATAATTTGCAGGGGCCGGTGCTATGTGATTTGGGTGGCAGCTCTGATTGCCCCCAAACCCAGAATTGGAATAATGAAGGAGATGAAAATGACATGACGTGATCATTTTCTGTAAAAACATTTTGTCAGAACCAGTAGAATCTAAAATATGTTCAAGTCAATGTGGAATGATATGTGAAAACAACAGCTTCCTTTAGGCCCAGTCAGAACAGAGACCAAATAGTGTTTAGTTTTGAAACAGCATGATGTAAAGATGGAGCCGGCTCTGTAAATGTAACAAGCTTCAAACCAATCTAATTCACGAGAGGGCTGTGTAATGAACGTTTTAGACCAGGAGGTGGCGCTGTGAGGCTGCGACAAAAACGCACAGAAAACCCTCCTCTGTCCCTGCCCAGCTGGTTAAGAGAAGAGGAGGCCTTTTCTTCTTTCTTCAAATTAGGAGAAACATTTTGCATTATTCTTCAAACAGATATTTGAATTATATATTCTTGTATTTTCTTCCTGACAGTTTTCGCAGTGGAGGAGTGTTGTCATCATAAGTGTTGGGGGAAAATCGTTTCTGTTCAGTAAATATTTTGCGCCTGTAATTAAATCAGTGCAGCAGCGAAAAGTATTGCATTATTTAATTCAATAATTATTGATTTAACTTTTGTGATTTCTCCGAGTTTACTCAGTGTTTCATCCACAAGGATTCAGTCAACAACAAGTTCAAAGGAAAAGGTTTTTTGCACTACCCTTCTGTGTTTGCACTTCAGTGAATGTGCAGACCATAAAAAATGTGACATTTGTGTCAATATTTGTATTTGACTCGTAATACTCAATAATTCAATAATAATTGAATTGTGGCCCAATTATTGCAATACTATCGAATCGTCGCATTTGAACTATGTTGAAATAGTTCCCTATTCGGCTTAAATGCGGTGACGTGTATGCAGCGGTTTCAATATGATCCACTCTGGGACCAGGCTTCAAAACATTTGTTTGCAGTCTGCAGATTCACCAGCTCCGTGTAGACGAGAAATTAATTTGGCAAAATACTTTTTCTGATACAACTGAAATAGTCTCTGCATGAACAGGGCCTAAGAATACCCATCCTACATGTGACATCACATCCAGGATCCAGAGTCCTGGTTGGCGGCCTCTGTGTGCAGGCACCTGTGTCTGAGATGAAGGCGTGGAGATGCAGAGACTCGTCATGGCAGGAGTTTGACAGTTCATCCAGAGACTAAGAGACAAGATGAACAGAGGCTTTGTCAGTTTCATTTCACTCACATTCATCTGATTTTCAGTCAATGTTGGACGTACCAGGTTGAGACTTCCAGTGGGGGAGCCGTTAAAGGACTCCACCTCCCCATCATCAGAGCCCCTGTAGCTGGGTTCCTTCAGCATGTCGAGCTCCGCCAACATGTGCACGTACAGCGGGCTCTGTTTGAAGGAAGGGTAGAAGCGCTCGTCGCGGAGCATCATGTCATAGACCTGTCATGAACACAAGAGAACATGCTTCAGTTAAACATTCACTACGTCATTTAATCCTTTAGAGGATTTCAGGAGTACATTGATGGGTAATATTTAGGGCTGTCAAACAATTAAAATGTTTTAGTTGATTAATGGCATAGTAATGATGAGTTAACTGATGATCAATCGCATTTTTAACATTCTATTCAAAATCCACTCCACAGTTACAGTACATGAGATTATCAATGTAATGACACATTGTCATTCAAACCAAATGTACTCAAATCTATTTGATTCACAAATAGGGATGTAAAAAACTATGAATTTTCATGACCGACCACCGAGCCTCATTAACCGGTTGAAACCGGTTAACCGCGTAGTTTAAAATAGTCCACGTTCTTTGAAATAACAGCCATTTCGAGCCACGTACTTTTCATAAGTGCAGCTCTGAGTTCTACTGGATCAGAGCTGAGACAGCGGCACCAAAACCCGCAACAGCTCCGGCACCTTTGCGCACAGAGAACTGCTTTTTTAATCTTCCCATTCTGCTGTGCTGCGGGTTAATACCAAAACTTTCTAGCAGCAAACGACGGCTCGTTCACATGGTCAGAGCAGCGAGTGACGCGTCTCACAGGTCCTCACAAAAGTTTAAATACAAGTGATGTGTGTGGAGCTGATCCCGAGGACCATAAACACAAACATGTTCCATGTGCTTTGACTGGAGCTGCGTATCTGCGCGAATCCTTTGGGCTCCGTGACACAGAGGAGCGCGACAGACTGGTATGTGTGTGTGTATGTACGTGTGTATGTATGTGTGTATGTGTGTGTGTATGTATATGTGTGTGTGTGTGTGTAAATGTAAGCTCCAATGTAGTTCTGACCCGCGCCAGTGTGCAACTTTGACGGTAACAGAGGGGAGAGATGATGCGTGTGGATGTTACGTATGGAGAGGGGGAAAGTGTGTGTGTGTGTGTGTGTGTGTGTGTGTGTGCGCGTGTGTGCATATGTGGCTCGTGCGGCATGAGAGTCGTCCCGGAGTTTATAATACATGGGCGCACACAGCTAGATACAGACCCGCTCGTCACACCGTGCAAATAGGGCTTAAAATAGCGTTATTAAGAGACCTCCCCTCTCCCCTTTTTCTCTTTTTTAACCGACAGCTTTGACCGGTTAACGCTGTGACGGTCAACCACCGGTTAAACGGTCGCCGATTTACATCCCTATTCACAACCTTTTACTTTTTGGCACAACCAACATGAGCTGTTAATGAAAGGGAACATTTACGTACCCCTGCTTTAATTTAGCGAGTTTAGTTGCGTTTCAGGATGAGACACGGACACTTCTTGAGGCTCCATAGTTCAGCTTCAGCGGTGTATTTGGTTAGGTTAAGCAACATGCAGAGAATAGTTCTGTGCGTGTATGGTCTTGGATCACGTTACTGCGGCGCCATTCGCCGTGTTGTTGTTAGCGGCTCACAGCCGCTGGAGGTGGGAACTGCTGTCCAGGGCAGCCACAGCTGCCCCAGGTCAGAACGCTGCAGCCACGGAGGATGCGGACTTCAGTTCATAGCAAACAACAGCAAGTGCCCCGCGGTCATGCGAGTAATCTTTTAAGAGTCCTGCTCTGTCGCCATTTCACACACACACGTGTCCGCAGCATTCTGAATGATATTATTATACATGGGTGGGTCATTCGGACAGGCGTTAAACGCGTAAATCTTTTTTTTAACGCGATAATTTTGACAGCCCTATTATTTTGTTACTTTTACATTTCCTAGAAGTCTTTAGCATGAATAATTGTAGTCCTACAAGTCACACACAAAGACTCAGAATATAAAGGTGCTAAAGAAAAGTGCTCATGTTGTCAGCTCTGAGCAGGGAAATTTTTCCCAGGCTCTGGTATCATACAACATTTACATTATATATTATATTATTATCTAGACTAGAGTAGAAGTACTGTGCCACTACAGAAAAGTATGAATGTATATGTCTTTGTTGTGAGATCAGTTTTATCTCATCTTATTTAATCCCTGATTTAGGTCACGCACAGGTACGTGGGTATCTGGTAAAACACACATATTTCTCCGTGTTATGATCCTGGTTGAGATTGAGGACATTACGCTAGGGATGTTACTCAGCAACCATATGATAAACTGGACCAATAGTTCTCTGATACCCCCAAATTATTATTAGACAAAATAGATAAGAATAGCCTTATTAAGATGGATTGATTGATTGAATACTTTATTTTGAGCCAAATCACTGAAATCACAGCACCCACACATGATTCAATAAGGATCGTTAAAGCGTGATAACATGCAATTCTTCTAGTTCGTGTCATATTTATCCCATGATGCTAGGTGTTTCAAAGATTACCTTTTTTTGGATGTCATCAAAAATCTCAGGAGTAGGGTCGTCCTTCTGCAGTTTCTCTCCAAGTTTGGTGATGGAAACTTCATCCACTTGAACTCTGGGAGATGCCTGCAGATACAAAGCCAAGGAGTCATGCTGCCCAAAGAGATCTATAGATGGTAAGACGAGTGATTGAAAGACCTTTTCTGACAGGTACTGGTCAAAGACGCCCAGCGCTGCTGCCTTCAGGAGGCCCTTGGTGGTGGCTGGCTGCTTCTTCCCGTCTTTGCTCCACAGCTGCATGGCCTCCAGCTGCTGCTGCGCTGTCACCCTGTAGCCCTCCACTGTGAGCCAGAAAAACAGCTCTGCCTGGGCCCCAGCTGCCTGCATAAAGTCTGAAACCGTGCACCAGTGTGAAAAACGTCTGACTTGACAACTACAGTGACTTGCAAAAGTTCTAAAACAGCTTGAAACATTTGCATATTTGTCAAAGTTACGACCACAAAGATTTCCTCTTGGACGTTTTACAGAAAGCACAACAAGGTTACAGACAACTAAAGCAAAAGTAAAATCGTGCCTTCACAAATAAATAGAGCCCACATGAGAGAGTTTAATTATGTAATAGATCATTGTTAGAGTGTGAGTCCTCAAAGCTATGTGTAGAGTACGGGTCCTTTCGTCCAAGGGACCCCTAGAGAGTGCAAAGTGTAAAGTTTATATATAGACATTTCCCAAGCTTTGAATATCCCACTGAGCACAGTTTACTCCATCTGGGAATGGAAAGTATATTGCACGACTGCAAATATACCAACACTCAGCAGTCTTCCCAAACTCACAGCTCCCACAAGGACAACACTGATCACAGATGCAGAAACAAGGCCCATTGGGTGTCTGTGCAAACCAGTGTGCCCCAGGGCAGCTGTGCCTACAGTAGTGGTTTATCACCACCCTGTATGGACTGAATGAATAATGACGTGAAGGGTCTTTGAGTGTCCAAAAAAGCGCAATATAAAACTGATTATTATTTAATATTAATTATAAACAGACCCCCAAATAACCTGCTGCTGTGGCAGGTCTGTACTGCTGTAGTGCTCATTGGTAATGCTGTTGTAGTATTCAAAACTGCAGACTCGACAGGAGGACAGAAGCTCAGGAGGTGTGTGCCTTCTGAACTGAAGGACGCAGTTTTAATCATGATCCTGAATACCTGAATCTGTCCTGTGCATACTGAATATGATTGTATGTTTGTGTTTGAAGAGGAACATACTTCTTTTTGTTATATACAAAACGTTACCAACTAATAACAATTAGTACTCACCCATAAAGAACTGCAGTGCAATGTTGTGGACCAGTATGTGATCCAAAGGGATGACACAAAGCTTTCCAAAGTTGGCGGCCAACTTCAATGCATCCAACTCCTGTAAGAGTCAGCGGCACAAGTTAAACAAATGCATCCATAACTTCACTTAATTCATTCCACATTGAAACACCCATCAGTCCATATTGGTTCTTCAATCTTCTCACAATTACCTATTTATTAACTCATTCACTGCCCATGACGACAAAACTCGTCATGTTGAATTGTAACGCTCACTGCCCATGACGAGTTTGACGAGTTTTTCATGTTATTACACGGGAGGCTACAGTAATGTCTGGCGCACCTTGTGAATGACCCACAATACTGATATATAGTGCAAATGTACCTGTAATGATAAATCAACACCAGTAGGATGCAGTATTGCACCACAGGAGAGGTCACAAGTCAGTGGAGAGAAGGAGGAGGAGTGTGGGAGTGTTTGGAGAGCGTGCTGCTGTAGCAGAGCGATGATAGCGTAGCATTGAGACGGATCAGCGATCTAGTTTAGCGATAGTATAGCAAGAGTGATGGCGAAAAAGAATAGTTATAAGCAGTGTACACTGCTTCAGAGATTGACTCGCGGATCAGTGAGTGAGGTCGAGAGGGGAGAGAGTGGAGACCCCGGTGGAGGTCCGTCTCTGCAGCCACATTTGCGCGGAGCAAGAGCCCGGAGCAGGGACGCACCTTCCGCCTCTCGCAGCGTATCAGCTGCTGTTGTTACTGATGCCTCGGATTCGTTCAGAGAACCTGATCATGATTTATCGGATAAGTGGTTGCAGTCTCAATCCAGCAGAGCATCCTCTCCAGAAGCTCCACAAAGAGTCGAAGGTAAGAACTTGCTAAATTGCCTTGAATATGCTAACTTGAGAGGAGGGAAAGGCGCGGAAACTTGCTCTGATCTGCAAAGTAACACAGCTCTGAAATCCTACTGTTTCTTTAGTAAATGCCAGTTATGCGTTTTATCATTGTTGTATTTATTATTTTTATGTTTAGTTATTTCATACTTGAACATCTTGTTGCAGTGACATAGCTCTGACTAAATGAAATGTGTTCATTCACAGATTCTGATAAAAGAGCCCTCCCCCATTGGGGCTGACAGGGCATGGAGGTAAAGATAATGCCTCCTCATACCATTGTACAAATTATTGTATATATTCTCCTGGTATAGTGATTTACAAATGTATATTATTTACAGGTGGTGCATCAAGAAGCAGTTGCTGTGCACAAAAAAGGTAAAAGAACTACTATTTCTATTCTTGTACATCCCATGGCAATATAATATAATAATAATATAGTATAATATAATAATACTGTGTTTGGTCCAAAAGTAGTCAGTCAATAATGTGGGAGGAAGGCCTTCATTGTATTTTATGTATTGATTATTGTAACAAATTCACTGTATAATATAGTTATTGTGTGTATCCATTTTCCAGCACGTTCGTCACCCAGAAGCTCTGGGGAGGATGGCTGACAGGAGGATCAGTGGGAGCCGAGTCAGTTGCCCTTCACAGTAGCTCCTGGACCTCAGAGACTGCGGACAGAGGCTGCGAAGCTGGATTCATCTGATCCAGACTTTCTGGAGCTGGATTCATCTGATCCAGACTTTCTGGAGCTGGATTCATCTGATCCAGACTTTCTGGAGCTCTTCTTCACGGAGGGAGAACTACAAATGGTACACAGCGCGTCGTGTTCCGTTGCACACAGTGTTTCAACCTCTACAACTCAAAGCTGAACTACTGGGAGGACTGAAAAAGCAGATAAACTCACTCATACACACACTCACGAACACTCACACGCACTCACTCACTCACGCACACAGACACTCACTCGCACACTGACATTCACGCACACAGACACTCACTCACACACTGACAATCACACACACACTCAAATTCACACGCTTCATTCTATTTTATACATCTATAGTTTTATTGATCTTTGTGTTGTTGTTGTTTGACGTTTTGGTTGATGGTATAGAAGAAAGTTAAATTTTCTATCTGTGAATAAATTGCCAACAATTTGCCATCAAAAGTATTATTTCAGAGTCATGTTTTTATAATTTTTGTAATGGAACAAGTGTGAAGATGTTTTGAGTTGTCACTAAAGCAGCAAAAATGCATCTAAAAGTCTCTTTTCTGCTTGATATGTTCCTGTTTACATACAGCTCGTTTTCTCTCTTTTCTTGCTCAGACCAGGTGTTGTGGGCGAAAGTATGCTTTGTTCAATGGCGAATAGCTCAAGAACGGTAAGAGGTAGAAACAAACTGTTTTTTTCAGAGTAAAGCAGAGAGGTTAATCTTTAATTTGGTGCCCTTGGTGTTTACATCGTCTAAAAAATGAATATTCTGTGGCACTTCAAAGTTGGGTCAAATCACCTGAAATTGCTGGCAGAACGCACTTCTCAAATCAGAAAATGCCTGGCAGTCAGTGAGTTAATAATTACATTTCCTCCTCTTAAATCCTGAAATACACTACAGACACAATAAGGTGTTTTCAATGGACCGGTCTTGTGGCTTCGGCTCTCTACGTTTTAGTTAATCCCAGGTGTCCTTTGACCCCAGACATTTTGCATTGAATATAGTTTCAACCATCCCTCACTCCTCCGGTGGAACAAACTTGCCACAGCCATGGCTATTAACCTCAGCAGCCTGATGTCATGTGTGTCCTTCAATGTCCACAACAATGTACCACAACTGGAATGTCACCCTGAGGTTCACAACATTACATTAGAAAGGGAGTGTGTTTACCTTTCCGGACTGTAGCCTTTGGATGCGGCTCTCACACACTTTCTTCACAAACAGCAGGCTGTTGATCTGGTTCTTGATGACATTGATGTCTGAGAGACAACAGCCATTACTTTTGATGAAGCAGAGGGAACTAATTCTAACACATGGTTATACAATATATTTTGTGTAAAATATGTATCTGCTATTAAAAAGTACAAAAATAATCCAAATCAAAAAAGGTAATGAGAGGACACACCATCTCCTGCCGTGTCGAGCGAGCGCAGGTACTGCAGCTCCTCCAGCACCTTGTCTTTGACGGCCTCCAGCTCCGTCACTCTGTTGCTCAGCTTCAGGATGCTCATGAAGGCTTCATAGTTACAGCTGGAGTCCCGGATCTGAGGACACATGTCGTCTGCCTTTAAATACATGTCAGGAATGTTGAGGCAAAGAGATTCTTCTCTTTGGTCACGTTACACAGAAAATGTACCTGTGCTGGAGGTGCCTATGACTTTCCAATACGATACAACTCAGATTGTATCCACTACATTTTAACAGAAATATTAATGCATTTATATTCTAGTTTTATTCCAGTCCAAATATTTTCATTTTTTAGGAAAAAAATTAAACAATAAAAATACAAATATTGATAATACTAGATATTGAATAAAGATTGTATCTAATAGGGCCACACAATATATCAAATTAATATTGTTATCGCGATATTGGTGCGTGCAATATTCATATCAAAAAGATGAGCAATATTTTTTTTTATTCGTTATTTTTTATTTAAAACAAATAAATGTTTCCTTTATTAAAAGACAACAAAGCAGACAGACACATCAACATTCAACAAACAAACGAACAAAAAAGTATATATTGCGTTTTAATCATAGACTGTAAATATTAACGGACGTAGTCACGCCTATCCCAGCTCAAAAGTGGCCAAAATGACGTGCGCTGACATGCTGCAATACCACCCCGGGCCGATGGGGGTGGACCCAGAAGAAGAATTAGCCAATGCTAACATATAGCATTGGCAGACCTCTCAAAAACGTCTTTACAGGATGGACCAAAAGTTGGCTCTTGGCCCAAAGCTCCGTTCCACATGTGTGTCAATGCTGAGGGGGGTGGATTTTTTTGGTCCACTCTAGTTTACTTGCTGTGAATTTTTGAAGTCTCTCGTTCAAATGAATGGAGCTCTCGCCGGCTGACGCATGCGCAGATGTGTTTTTTCCCAATATTCTTGTGGGCGGGACCACTCGCGGCCATCTTGGATTGCTCCAGTAGAGCACATTTTTTGGCCCATTAGTTAGAACGGCGGAGATAGGCGTGACTCTGTCGTTAATATATACAGTCTATGGTTCAAACAAATGGGCCAAAAATTTTGCTCTACTGGAGCTATCCAAAATGGCAGCGAGTGGTCCCGCCCACAAGAAAACTGTGCATGCGTCAGTCGGCGAGAGCTCCATTCATTTGAACGAGAGAATTCAAAAATTCGAAGTAAACTAGAGTGGTCCAAAAAAATCCACCCCCTCAGCATTGACACACATGTGGAACGGAGCTTCGGGCCAAGAGCCAACTTTTGGTCCATCCTGTAAAGACGTTTTCAAGAGGTCTGCCAATGCTATATGTTAGCATTGGCTAATTCTTCTTCTGGGTCCACCCCCATCGGCCCGGGGTGGTATTGCAGCATGTCAGCGCACGTCATTTTGGCCACTTTTGAGCTGGGACCCGCCCCCACTGGCTTCAATGCAGATTGCAATTTTAGGTGAAAGACAAAAATATCTTTATCTAAATATTAAACACTCATATCGAATACCGCTCTAATTTCCAATATCGTGCAGCCCTAGCATCTAATAGAAATCATTACATCTAAAACTGTGACAGTAAAGTACTAATCTCCCTGCACACTTTGATGCATTAGTGAACATTTTACATGTCTAAGTTTTCATGTGAGTTCTGTGCGCACTTCTTCAGAGAGTGTAAACTGTGTGATGTCCATGAGCGGGTGTAACCATACCATCCAGATCACAAACTGGTTGATGTAATCCGGGTCACTGAGCTGGTGAATGAGAGGAAGGAGGACTCCACAGGCCAGGACTTCCTGCACACAGCACATCACACACAGGCTCAACAAGGTTCAGTTTATTTATTTTTCTATATTGTACATTTTAACAAATACACAAAAAGCAGTGAACATTTTTAGACCTTTTAGATGTTCAACCTGCAATTATTCCTTCAACCTGTAAAATATGTGACTGTACCACACCCCAGAAGCACAATGGATTTACGGGCTCTACACCTGGCATGGTGGATTATACCTGAACTATCTGCAGGAAGTCCAGAGTTCTTTCTCTGAACTGTAGAACTCGAAAAAGGTTCGTCCATGAATTCATGAGAAAAACTATTATTACTATTACGATTTAGATCAGTACGTGGAAGTTACCGTTTTTGCAGAATGGGACATTATCTGTGCAGTTATCTAAAGTGCAAAAAGTGAAAAATGTTTTTGCACACCATAAGAACATTTAAATGGACAGACAGCTATAATATATTTAGGTGTTTAAATAAATAAAGCACAAAAGGTAAAGAGAGTTGCATGATTGTTTACACAGTTCTACTACAGTCAAAAGTTATTTACAATGCAATTTTAGGTATTGAACATTTATTACAGTATTTTCAATTAGATATGATAGATATGATATGCTGGTCATTATACACACACATACACGTGTATATATTTACATATATATAAGTAGATGAAAATTACAAGCAAATAACTTGCATCTCGATCAGGGGTCATCATAAAGGTCTCACATATTTAATATTGTGTCGACGAGCTTTGTCCCTCTATGTATTTGTGCACCGTGTATGAAATGAGAATCCTGTAGTATTCACAAACAGTTGTTCACAATAGAACCAGATCTTCAGCAAATGAACCAGACTGGTTCATGGTTTCTGTCCTGAACCAGTCCAAGTGAACACGCCCTTAATAACACACACAAGTGTGAAATCTTTTAACAGGATTTTCAGCCCACACATCTTACATCATGTACATTTCTTACGGTGATTCCATGGATACATTTGTTTTATTACTCAAAGTGGAAGATACTGCTCCAGCTTGTTTTTAGTTGTATGTAAGGAGGAGTCCTGTTTGTAGACATGTAGGCAAACTCACAGTGAAATAGAAAACTTACTCTGAGGAAGTATCGCATATTTTTGTTGTGGAAATCTCCAGGAGGTAGTAGCAGGTAGAGAAGTAACTCACACAGGTCACGCAGGAAACCTGACACAGACAGGTGTGGTTAACACGGGCACTACACAGGGAGAACGGGATGTGCGTCATTTACTCTCTTCATCTTTGGGACTAGTGCACACCATGTCTCTGCACACCGTCCTCTCCAGCTCCACCTCGGCCTCAAAGAAGCAGTCCACCATCTCCCCCTGCTTGTCCCCTGTAAGCACATGTCCACTGTGTTACTCCTGGGGGTCCTCTAAACCACCCTTGCCACAAAATTCTTAATCTAAACAGTAACTTCTCACACATTTACTTCCCTAAAGAGTTGATAACATTATCTTGGAATACTGTAGGGCAGGGGTCTCCAACCTGTGGTTCGCCAGCCCCTTTCAGAGAGCTCCCCAAAGGATTTAGGATTTAACAAACGATCTTGAATGATTACATTTTGAGTCATCACACATCTATTATAAATATAGGGGTTTACAGTATTATGGTATATTTATGTGTTCTCCATGTTTTGTCATGATGTAGATTTTATATTATGAGCAGCTCTCTTCCTCTTCCAGCTCTCCGATTGAAAAAGGTTGGAGACCCCTGCAGTAGGGATTGTGGCCTTGTGGAAGGTATAATTTGGACATATTTTTCAAAAGTTTAGACATCTGTATAGTTTTTGTTCCTCATAAATAAATTTGACTCATCCTGCAACGCCACCAGAGCAACTTGTCAGAGGCAGGCTAAGATGTGGACAAATAGAACTGATATATGGTCTTCAAGTCAAACCTTTTTGAGCACAGATGAGTCATCCATTTGTGTACATGCTCTTTATAAGCCTCTGAATGGCCAATTCTTATCAGTTTGTTTTATAGTTGGAAGGGCATCTTTAAGGTGTCTCTCCTTCTGTTATTTGCTTGTTTTCCTCATTAAAATATGGCAACCTCCAAATGTTTGAGTGGTTTTGTTTAAGTAGACACTGTTTTTTTCCTTTGTGTTATTTTGAAAAAGATCACATTTGATGGTGATTTTATGCTGAAATTTCTCACAAATGAAAAAAATTAGGTACTTTTTCAGGCCACTGTAGGTGTTTGTTATTATTGCATTGCTGCATCGAAACTATTTGATTATGTGATCTGTTGGATATGAGTATAGTCTTCTTCTATGATTTAGAGCTATATAATAACAATAATAATATGAATTTAACTGAACAGATTGCACTAACCCTGCTTGTCGTCCCTTTCTGCAAGTCGGTCCTGGGCTTTTCCAAACACGCGTAAATGAGTAGCAAAGTCATCCACAAGGCGAGTGGTGAAGTACGGCTGCCAGTCCACCTCCTTGGACCTACGGAGCACAATATTAGAACTTGCTCAACCAAGGAACCTTTGTACCAAAGTGTGCAGACCTTGTGGAGAACTGCACCAGCGCATTCTGCAACGTTTGCCGAATCTCCAGTAAGAAGGACTCATCCTCGCTCAGAGTGTAGTACCAGTACTGGATGTAGTCTCTCAGAGCAAACTGGATCACCTGTGCAGCAAGTGGCATGAATGAGACACAATTATCAGAAATGTTTAACCACAATTCAAAATGATAGAAAATTACAGCAAATCTGGAACAAATCAGTTTTAAACCAAAGCCAAGCGTCTTCCCATCCTTCCCATCCTTACATGAGTTGCACTTTTGTAAAAACATGTCTAAATCAGACTTTAACATGTGGTATGTAACGAGATCAATGATTCCAAATTTTGCTCAAGACATGCGTGACACACACCTGGCAATAGCACAAGTTGAAAATCAATGATCTACAGGAGCAGGTTTGAGCAGGTTTGAGGTTCAGAGCAAAACCAGGACAAACTCTGGTCAACATTCAGATGAAATTACTCCAAGACTATTTAATTTTTCTTTTCATGTTATTTGAAAGGTAAATAATAATATCATCCTGCCCTATTCCTATACAACCACCAGGGAGAAGTTCCTGATATACATGCATCAAGAGTTTCGAGCTTCCGGTTCGAGCGCACGGCATTGTGGGTAGTTGGGTCGAAAAGGTGGGCATCAAACCACGACCGCCGTATTGGATTACTTGTCGCGATTGATTGACCTCTCTCTTGTTTCCGGCCCATAGATTATTTTAATGCATCTCCATGCTAATAACAGCCCGGTATTCAAAAAGCTTGGTCCAAATAGACTTAGCTCTAATTAGTTTGTTTTAGGATAAGTCAAAAGCCATGGGTGACATTAGCACTCAGAAAGTATGAATCACACAATCACAAAGCGGGACAGGATAGGATTTGACAAAATTATGGTCATGTTATCATCAACAGAAGATGGCGCTCGTCCAACTATCCTTCTGACTGTACTCAGCCCCAACCGTCTGCCCTCACCTGCTGCAGCGGCTCATCGATGAAACTTGAGCCTGTTAGTCTCCGATCGATCTTAGGAGGCTTCAGCTCCAGCTTCATCTCTTCCAGTGTCTGTGGAATAAAGCCAGGATTGGGGTTAAGTGCTCAAGGTTCAGAGCAATGAAGGACCAACGGGGATCGGCTCACGGTCATGATGCCGGTGGCTGTGGCCGGCAGGTACGAGTGCTCACAGCTCTCCAGGTGCTTCTCAGAGTTAATTTTCCCATAGAGGAGGAGGACAACAAAGCCCCTGGAAACAGGAGAAGGACATGTTGTGACTTGGGCCGGGTATTGCGAAGAACCTCATGACAATACGCATCCCGATACAAGGCTCTTTTTTAAATACACAACTTTCTCACCACAAAGCATTGATTGTGGATGTGTCATTAACATATTTCCCTCAACTCAATTTCAGAGTTTAACAATACAAATGAATAAGGTTTTTGTTGATGATCATAGAGAATTATGGGAGGTGAATAAATGTTTAAATGTGTCTTTGTAGTGTCGGGGGTTAGAATCACGCAAATGCCCATTTTGACGAGAGACTTCATTCCAACTATATTGCAGTTTTTTTTTTGTCTTTGATGTACACACGTTTGAAAAATAAATGACTATTTGTTCCAAGTGTTCCAAGGTCCACTCCGTTGTTTTCTTTCCTTATAGCTCAGAGCTGGCTCACGATGAACATGTCAAAACGATGCTGCAACTAAGCTACTGAAACTGCCCCATTGCGCCGACAGGGACGTAATCGGCCGTGAACATGTCTGAACGAATGTTGATCTTTTTTATCATTTAACCAGGAACGTCATCTGATCTGAATTATGACGTGATGGGATGTGATGGCAGGAAAATCCTATTCAAAGATGGAGATGATCCATGGTGTTGTGCTGAGGGCCTTAGGGAGAAGTACTTACAGGATAATGTTACACAGCCTACTTCTTCTCTTCTTAAATTGCGTCGCTAATTACATTGAACGTATGTTGTATAAAAGTAGGCTAGCTTCTCCTTTTCATATATGGATTATGTGTATTGTCAAGTAGTTTGTATGGATAATTTAGACTACTCACCCTCCAATGAAGCATAGAAAGTAGAAGGCCAGGTAGAAAATGGCAAAGGGTCCAAAAGTAAAGAAGAAGAGCACGACTCCGAGGCCTCCCCATCCCCAGAAGGACAGGCAAGCCTAAACACACAAAACACTGCATTTCAATCATTTGTCTCGAGAAAACTCTTTGGAGTACAGCTTATTGCTATTAAAAAATTACTTGAATAATGAATATTACTATGACTAATGGCATGAGCAATCTTGTACAGTTGTTAGCTGGCGCAGCAACATCACAGAGGGGGACAGAAAGAAGATGGAACCAAGAGAACCGCTCTTGGGTCTAAATTGTTTTAGAGAATTTAAATAAAGTTGATTTCATTCTTATTTTCTTAATTTTAATTGATTATTATTTTCAAGTTTAAGACTGTAATCTAAACTTTGTTAAATATATTTAAATTTGATTGTTTAGGCCATGAAAATCAAAGACATAATGATCAATAATATTGTGACATGCTAAGGAGTTAGGGTCGTTAGCCTCAGCAGGGTCGTTAGACCTGCTCCCTTCTACATCAAGCAGACCTTAGATTGTTTATGAGTTAGTATCAGGATTAGGGTGTGGCTAACCACACCCATAGGTTATAAATCTCCAACGCGCGGTCCGAGAATTCATTCCCTGAAGAAGTCCGCTAGGTTGAGGACGAAACGTCGGGAAAACTTGCTAAGAAGTACAGATGATGGGTGAGAAACCTTCCTTTGCTTTGACTAATCCCTGTACGACTGAGGGCTTACACAAACTTATGAGTCAAATTGGTAAATATAAAGTCAGCGTTAAAATAAAGCCCCAAGAAGCTAAAAAGCGGAGGACATAATCAACACGTGGAAGAAGGTGCTGTGGTCATATCTTTTTATTTTATTGCTGGCTGACTTAATACTTGTTTGCCCAACAGTAACTCATGCATCATTTTGCTTTTCCAACATAATAAAGTCTTTGTGGTAGTAACAGGACAAAGTATGCAAACGTTCAAGCTGTTTTATTACTTCCCCAATGCACTGTGGGTTGTGCTCGTGTGGCATCACAACATTTCAAGGAGCCTGTTTAGTAGTCAGATGACTCTTTCCTGGTAACTATGGAAACTGTTAAAAGTACGAAAGTAAAGTTGTATTTATATAGCGCATTTCACAGACCAGGATCACAAAGCGCTTCACACATTAAAATACACATACAAGTCAGATTAAAAACAAAAACACAGAAAAACAGTTCAGAGGCCTACGAACAGTGAGGCGAGAAAGCCTGTTTAAATAAATAGGTCTTAAGTTGGGACTTAAAATCATCCACAGTCTCTAAGATGTGCAGAGACTGAGGAAGCTCATCCCAAAGGTGAGGAGCCACTGCCTGGATCTGTCTGCTCTGGTTCAAGTCAAAGTGAATGTACAAATGTATATGAAAAAACTTTGCATTATGTTGACCAGTAGAACGGACAGACACAACATTAATATGGCAGCTTTGAGGAAAAACATTGCCTTTTTCAATATTTTTCAAAATTTCTTTGTTCCTCTCAGAGCTTTACTGGCAGTTGTACTTGACATAGACTGTAAATATAAAATCATTCTAGAACATGAATGAGACCACCGGCCTTTTGAGATCCAAACACATCCAAGTGAATCGATTCTCAATAGTAGTTAATTACCAGTAGAGTACATCAGGCAGCTTTCAAGCATTCTTTTGTTAAATTGAAAAAAAATCTTAAAAAACAAAAATTATATTTTTTTTTTGTGGCAGCTGGCTGAGAGGTCTGGGCAGTGGTCAGGCAGGTGCTGTGCCGGTCCTCCAAACCTGTTCATTTAACTTGCCGATCTTCTGCAGCTCGAGGAGCTGAGTCCCTCATCTACAGTTCGCCAAGCGTCTCTTTTGTTTAGTTATGTTGTAATTTAGTTGAGACGCTCGTTCAGTTTCTTTATCACAACTTCTGGTTCGGCTGCAAGTCCTTAGTAGCTCTGATTAACAATTTTTTTGTATTGCTTTTTCTGCCTGAGATGTTGCTGCAGTAATGTTCATGATTTTGCACTGGTCCAGACCGGAGCAGAGAGGATTCCAAACCAAGTGGATCAGGTGAAAATCCACTGAGGGAATGCTGACTTTTTGAAAAATGCTAATGAAGCATTTAGCATTTTACTTTGGACTAGAGCAGAGAAAATGGCCCAAAACCGCTGCTGCTGTGACCCATCCTGCTCCACCGAGAGGCAACTCCACCTCTACTGCTCTGACCCGTCCTGCTCCACCGAGAGGCAACTCCACCTCTACTGCTCTGACCCGTCCTGCTCCACCGAGAGGCAACTCCACCTCTGCTGCTCTGACCCATCCTGCTCCACCGAGAGGCAACTCCACCTCTGCTGCTCTGACCCATCCTGCTCCACCGAGAGGCAACTCCACCTCTGCTGCTCTGACCCATCCTGCTCCACCGAGAGGCAACTCCACCTCTGCTGCTCTGACCCATCCTGCTCCACCGAGAGGCAACTCCACCTCTGCTGCTCTGACCCATCCTGCTCCACCGAGAGGCTACTCCACCTCTACTGCTCTGACCCGTCCTGCTCCACCGAGAGGCTACTCCATCTCTGCTGCTCTGACCTGAAGGGCTGTGGCTGATTATTATCTTTTTTTATTTTTTAGAATGATCAATTTTCTTTTTGCTACTGCTGGACACCTGAATTTCTCCTTCGGGGGATCAATAAAGTACCTATCTTTCTAGTTACTTGTTTGTTAACATGAGTAAAAATAGGAATAAATATTTAATCAACTGTCATTTAAATTAATAATCTCAGTTACCATTTTGTTACTGTTTACTTGTTACTCCCTTAAACCTTACAGAGCCAGGTTATCATTAATACAAAAAGGCCAGACATTACCAGCCTTCTATGACAGAACATTTTAGAATTTCATTTGTGAGGTCTTTAGATGAGGTCAAAGTTTGGCCACAACTAGAGACACAGACTGTCAACTCCCACTGAACATTTTCCTGCTATTGTCGAAGCAGGATGTACGTCCTACAAATATCTTCAAGGTATAAAATGAAGGGACGGCTGTTAATAACAATTATTTGTGACAATCAATTTGGCCAATTAATTGAATGGGATTCTTTTCTGCATTTCACCAAAACAAATGTGTTTTTTGTGAGGAGTGGTGCTCTGTATCTTTATTCACCCTTATGTTTGTTTACTAAACATTTTCCCACAAAAAATCCCATTCCCAAATGGTATGCATTTATGCATGCCATGTCCAAAAAGACTTAAATGTCTAATTTTGTGACTGATATTTCAGCCTTCTAACAAGTCTCCAAAGCTTCTAATTGATATTTTAGTGATAACTACAGATCAGGGAAGCATGAATCTGTATTCAATGGCAAATACAAGGGCAATCAGGCGTAAATCGTGCCCCAAATGATTGATAGTCTAAGCCTGAAGAATATTTCAGATTTAATTCACATGGCTGCAGCTATAGTAAACACATGCGTCAACTTCAGCTGTTTAACGACTGTACATAAACGCCCAATATATCAGAGAGCATACAAGAAGCTTTCTGCCATTTTGTCTTGAAAAAGTCCTTCCGAGGAAAACATTGGAGAGCCCTGCTGTAGATGTAGAAGTCGTTAAGAGTCTGTCACGCTGACAGCTCCACTGTCATGTGACACTGATCTTTAATCAGGTCTGCATCAGGAGGATTCACTTCACACGGAACATGCCACGTTCCACCGGACTTAATGCTACAAGCTTCAAAGCAGAAGGAAAAGCTTTATATATATAGTCTGGACACTCTTCAGGAGACAGTCAAGCACAAAGATCCATGGAACATGAACATTCCTCTGCAGACACTCATGAGCTGTCCCAGACTGCTCTTTATAGTTTTACATGCGTCTGTCACGATGACACTCCCGTGGTACCTGTGTCTAGTGTCTGTGGTACCTGTGGTACCTAAGGCATGGCGCACCTGACTGAAGTGAACACACTCAGAGGACGAATCGTCTGGACACTAAGCAGACATTGTTCTCAGTCCGGTACAGTTCGTTTAGGACGGGTTTGGCCGCGGCTCTGCTCGGCTCATGGTATTAAGCAGTGCTAAATGTAATCCTGGGCCAGAGGCTGTCAGTGTTTACTTGGTGCTAGCCGCCAGAGGCTACGAGCTACGGCTCTGAAAACAAAGTGCTCGGACTCCCCGCTGCTGCCAGCCTTACCTCTGGGAACATGGTCTTCCAGCTCGGCCTCGGTGGCTGTCGTTAACACCAGCACATCCTGACAGACAGGCTAGAGGCGGATTAGAATGGAAAGCGCTGTTTTCAGTCGTGATCTCTTCGGACCGTCGCCATGTTGCAAGAAATACGTCTGCGGGGCCAGGTTCTAAACGCAAGCTTGTGATTGGCTGTCACCAACATGACGTCACACACGCCAGGGCAGCGTCAATATTGACGGTCGTTATGGTTTTACTTCTATAACCCCATCACTCGTTAGTACCTCAGATTGCACTGTAACATGGAGCCCAGTCTGTAGGGAAGGGCTCAGAGCGAGCAGGGCTTCCTACGGGAGCTGTCAGACAATGCATTATTCAGTGGAAATGGCCCGCGCCTTGGCTTTGCTGCCACCTACAGGTTTGTGTTCACAAGCTCTTGTTCCCTCACGAAGACGATCGACAACGGGGTGGGGCTGGTGGTCGATTAACTTAACAAATATCTTGATTCACACCATCCTTTTGGGTCGCTCTGACCCATGGCTACTTTGGACCAATTAAAAACTAGGGTCTAAAAGGATCTAACCGACCCGGGGTCGGTCAAATTAAGAGAAAAAAAATCTTTGAAAAAAAAATAGTTTAGGGTATTTTTAATCCCTGTGACAGGTGATGTTGACGCGAGGATAATGCAAGGGTTTTAAAGACATCACAAATATAAAAGTCAGTTATTTTTGATAATCATTCACCACCGAACTTCACACCAAAATACATTCAAAATAGCACCAATACCACCATAATATTGTACTACATAGTCATAATTTTAAAAAAGCGTATGAACGAAGTGTCTTTAAGGGTCATTTTATTTTTCTTCTCTGGATTCATTAAAATTCTTTTAAAAAACTTTCATTTCCATAAAAACTGACAATGCAAGAAAAAAATAATTTGACACCTACAGTAAACAGTTCATATTTTGAATACAAAACTAACAACTTAAGGTTGTACTTTGTGCAGTTGATGAAATAAATACATTGATAAGGAGTAATAAAGCTAAAAAAAAACAAAACCCAATGAGCAACAGTGCAGTTCACTAGAATCACTCCATGATGTCAGGGTCTGCCTGGGCCATGTAGGCATCCAGCTCTGCGTCCAGGTGGCCCTTCGTCTTTGACATGTAGGCGTCCAGCTGGTTGTCCAACTGCTCCCGGGTCACTGACGGACGACCCAGGCCACGGCCACGGCCTCTGCCCCCGCGGCCACTGAAACCACCTCGGCCCCTCAAGCCTCCACGACCTAAGACAAAAAGCGGTGAAAAACACATTCCATTACATGCAGAAAGTCTCAATGTCAAAAATGTCAAGACTTTTCAAATTATGTATCATTTACACTTTGGATTCATCAACACAGACTCTTGGATCCCTCTACAGCACTTGATCCAAGGTCATCATTTGAGTGAATGTCCAACAGGGACAAAAAGGTAGTGGATACATTAGTATACGAGTCTTATAACTAATTAGATTTTAGTTCATTTGATCTCCAAGAGCTTCAGAAGCACGCTTCCTGGGGCCATGATAAGTAAAGAAAAATGGAAATGGTTCAAAAGATTGGCAAGAACCAAAGCAAACAAAGAGGTAAAATTAAATGCAATCTGGAATATTTAACTAGATTTTGACAGATACATGGGATCTTTTCTTTTACATTTTGGAAAAGTTCGCTTTCAGCCCTAAATGCTAATGCCCCCTCCGGCCAATTTAATTTTATTAGTTTGACAGGGACATGGTGCATCAAAACACATTTCTGCAAATGCACCAGAAATAGCCAAGTAGGCGCTTATGCTACCATGGCATGTTATACACAAATAAAACTAATTCTCAGGAAAACCCCATCATTCCTTTTACTCTAAAGCAGGGGTGTCAAATTTAAAAACACAAGAGCTGGTTGGGGACAGAAGTGTAAAAGTCTTTTGATAAAATAGTTGTATGAGACATAAGTTTGGATTATTATTTTCAAGCAGGTTTGGATTCAACCACAACTGGGTAAAACATTAGTTAAAGTGATTGTCTGCAGTTTGTCACAGAGAGATACAAGCTCCCTCCCCCTTCCTTTCTGATTGTCTACGCCACGTTTCCGTAACACATTTAAATGTTAATCAGAGAACACATTATACACATACATTATTAATACACATGCAGAGGTTTTCAGAATTATTTGTTAAAGTTTTCATGAAAAAAATGTTTGGATGTACAAAAAACGGTCGTGCAAACCCGGAAGTAGCTCTTAACATTAATTGCACATTATAGGACACATCTGCAGAGGGTCTGATTTGGATATAGGTCAGTATAAATGGAACTCAGCACGATGTCAGATTCTTGTTCAGTTTCATGAGTTCCAGGCCTAAGGAGCTCCGCATTCGAGGCTCGATTGGCTCGATGGTTAACTGGACGGCATCATGGATTCTGAGCTATAGTTAAGAGCAGGGAAGGCGGGACTTGCGCGTAATATTAGAATTCATAAAGTGACTTATTTTATATCAACATTTAAGGCCAGGAGGTCAATTTAATACAATTCTTAAAATGTGTAATTCATTTAGAGTTACAAACTATGTTAGTTTGTAACTCTAAATGTTAAATAAACTCTGTAACATGCTTTTCAAGAAGACCAATAAACCTCTCCCTGATTTAAATCTCCACTTTCTAGATCTGTCCCCAGTCAAATGTGTGGACAACCTTAAGTATCTTGGTCTTTGGCTAGACTCAAATCTTTTTCAATACCCATAGTCACAAAACTGTACACAAAATTAACTATTCACTGAAAACACTTTATCAATCCATTGACTGTTTTAATTTATCTGCACGGAAAAGGATTATTTCACAACTACTACTTCCCATATTAGACTATGCAGACATAGTTTATCAAAATACCACCTCCACTTCTCTCCATCCTCTGAGCACTGCCTACAACAGCCTGTGCAGGTTCATTCTGCGCTGCCCTACAGGACCCATCACTGTGACATGTACCAGCAGCTGTCCTGGCTCTCTCTGTCCCAATTTTTTGGATTACCCTCTTTATTTAAAGCAATATTTAACCCCTTTTAATTCCTCTTATAATCTTCGTCACACAAACCAGCTTTTCTTTCACACTCTTCGTGTGAAGAAAGAACTTGGCCAATATGCTTTCCAATATAAAGCCCCAAACGACTGGAATCACCTTCCGGCCTCTATTCGCTCTTTAACTTCTTTTTCTCTTTTTAAAGTTGCTGTACAAAGGCATCTGTGTAATGTTTGTAACTGCTACTGAACTTTCTTTTAAATATTATATCCTTTGGTTTTCACTGTCCTAGTTTGAGGAGTAGGGTGACCTCTGACCTCTGAGAGCTTTGTGTGTGTGTGTGTGTATGTGTGAGCGAATGTTTCTGTCCTTGTATTGTTTGTTAGTTTTTTTTGTCTGTTATTTTATTGAATTTATTTACTGTAATTTGTTGTTAGGTTTTTTATTTGTTACACTTTACTGTAACTGCATTTATTTGACAACCGCTGCTGCTACTTGTGTTGCTATTTTTGAGGACCCTCCTGAAAACGAGATGATGCATCTCAAGAGGCTATTCCTCGTAATAAAGATATGTTAAAGAACTATCACTTTAAGAGACTACAAAGTGTAAAATAAAACAACTTCTAGTTGTATTTTAGTTAACATGTTAGAACAGATACAGTCACATGCTCATTTTCATGAGATATGACATGCCATAGTAGGCACCATCAATGATGCGAGTTACTGCGATAAGGATAATTTAATATACTTTCGGGGGCCACTTAAAATGGTCTCGTGGGCCAGATTTAGCCCACGGGCCTGAGTTTGACAGGCCTGCCCTTAAGGCCAATATGTATGTGTAAATACAAGTGCTGCCAAAGACCATCAGCACAAACATGTTTCCCATGAGTTTTGACTGAGCAAAAATACAAAAGTCTCAATTTTTAGGGGGTATGTTCGTTATCGCTAGTGATGGGCAGATGAAGCCCTGTAACACACTGAGGCTTTCTTTGCCAGATTGTTTCAAATGTGTCAATGCCTGAGCTCAGATCTGCTTGTAACACTGACATCTAGTGGACAAACAATCATTGCAGCTCTTGAATACTTGAGTGCACAACACAATTTCAAGATTGGTTTAATTGGGATTGTGGCTGATTTTTAATAACTGGAATTTTAGGTGTGAACAAGGCTCAACTTACACACACACACAATGGTTTTTGCATCTTCATCACATCCACATTTCTCATATGGCCAGTGTGCTACATGTAATTAGAGCACATAGAGGCCATTACCTCTGACAGGTCCTCCTCGAGCTGCTCCTCTGGACATGACTCCTCCACGTCCTGGCATGCCTCCACGTTGACGACCACCTCTTCTCATGGCCATTCTTCCAGCAGGACCACGGCCTCGTAAAGGCCCGCCACCCATACGCTTTCCTGGAGCAGGGAATAAAGCACAAAAGTGTCAAATGGCTCAAATGTATCCAAACCAGTGCTTCAGTTATTGTCTGCCAGGATTTAGATTGGCTCATAAAATCCTCGCATATATGCAAAAAATAAAACAAGACTGCCAGTTGTGGTCTGATTTGTTCACAACATTTTACTTTTGGGCAGAACCAACATGAATTAATGCAGGGGAAATTGTAGGCACCCCAGCTTTAATTTAGAGTTTCAGTTGTGCTTCAGGAAAAGACAAGGCGGAAGACATGGACACTTCCTGACACTCCCATAATCCAGCTTTGTTTCCAATTGCCTCTTTCTGCACAGACCACATTATGGCCACGCTACGGCAAACAGCTGCTTCTCCAGAATGCATCTATGGCCAGTCCACTACCTTCATTTTCCACTATGAAGGGAGAGCGTATTCATTCACTTCAAATCAGCCACAATCAGAACGGTGCAGCAATGGAGGATGTGGAATCCTTAGAGCACGTACAGCATTAAAAAAAACCTCAAAATCCAAGGACATGGTGCGCAACCTGAAAAAAGGTGCCTTGCCTTCTCCAGGTGAGTGGAGGGGTCCTTCCTCAAGTGGAAGAGTTTAAGTATCTCTGGGTTGACCGACAAAACTGATTCAGCCGCTGTATTGGACGAAGGAAAGTCAAAAGCTCTTGATTTACCGGTCAATCCATATACCCACCTTCCTCCATTGTTATTAGCTTTGAGAACTGACCAAAAGGACGGGTTTCCGCCAGAGTGGCTAGGCGCTCCCTTCGAGATTGATTAAAGAGTTAGTTCACATGGGAGTCTCTCTGAATAGAGCTGCTGCTTTTCTTCGTGGAGGAACGCCTTGGGATACCCCCAAAAGAGCTGGAGGAAGTGTGTGGATAGGGAGATTTGGCTGTCTCAGCGTAGGCTGCTACCCTGCAAGTTGCGACCAGTGTTGGGTGCAACCATGAATCTATAATAACTGGATAGGGTATTACTAGCTTGTAACTGTCCCACCCATGGGAACAGGCGGCGCCCGTGGTATTGCAGACTAAATTAAATCTTAAAAAATTGATTTGTAGGGATTTTAGTGTCCCTTGTCATCCTGAACTTTTTTTCTTAAATCCTTCAGTTCTCTTTAAATCCACACTTTACTGCCACAAACTACGCTTGTTTTCTTCCGGCTCTGGCTCCACTCTAACGCTGCTCTGATCAGCAGCTCTGATTGGTCAAAGCGCGACCGAGCATGAGAGCCACGTGCGAATTTGATACAAAGCATCATGGGAGCTGGTCCACTGCGCAGAACCGGGAGTTTTAGTGCAACGCGTCAACTATCCACAATTTAGTCATGTAAAGCAGTTTATTTTTTAATCCGCCACAACGTTACTTTTTATTTACCATGGGCAGCTGTGACTAGAACGCTCCTCTGCTGGGCATTACGCATAAGTCACGACTTGCGCGCAAGTTGGTATGTGACAGCAAGAGGCTGGCAGTGGTGAAGCTACGCATCGCACTTTATTCCACGATGAAGAGGCAGGGAGCGTCTCACAGCAGCACCAGTGAAATCTTTTGATGAGGAAGATGAAACGTACTTTAGTAAATAATAAGTAAATAATTGAGCACACATTGAGAACCATGATACGTTGGGTGTGACACCATCAGTCCAAATACATAAAACAATACATGCACACTAAAACGTAATCGTATCCCTGTCACTGGTCATGTAAACCAGTGACAGGATGCCACATCCTGAGGATGTGAGAGGAGCTAATGCTAACACGAGCAGACCACCAGACGACCTGCAGCTGCCATGTCCCACTGTTATAAACCAACTTCACAGAAAAACACTGCTACTGCCGTGCCAAAAGACCATGTTACTGCAGCTAGTCATTCAAAAATCAAACTCTTTTAGCCAAGAGCCTACGTTCAAGTTAGTAATCTGGTTGCAAAGGGACGAAAAACATCCAGTATCGGAAATATCGGAATTTTGCAACCCTGGCTCAATATATCACATACAGACATTTAATCATTTTGTAGATTACCAGAGAAACACATTTTAAATTAGCATTAATTTAATGCCATATATTGTATTTCATAACCTTAGGGCTGTCAAACAATATTGAATCATGATCATTGATTAATGTCAAAGTTAACTCATGACTAATCACAAATAGTCGCACATTTCTAAGTGTCCCTTGGTTAGTAATAGCAAAACGCTTCTACTAATCAAATCTCCAAACTGCAAGCTGTAAAACAGCGGCAGTACATTCAAAAGGCTGCAGCTCAGGTCCTGACGAGAACCAGGAAGTATGATCACATTAGTCTCTTCACAGGCTTCCAGTGGCTCAGAGAGTAGACTTTAAAGCAGCTCTGCTTCTGTACAAATCCCTCCATGGCCTCGCATCAAAGTACATCTGTGACATGTTGGCACTGACTCTGAAGAAAGAGCACTGGGACTGGCCTCCTGTTGATGCCCAGTCGGGACTAGACACGGGGTGGGAGCATTTCAGACCCATGCACTTCAAATCTGGAACAATCTTCCTGAAGGAAGGAAGAAGATAGTTTTTAAAATTGCCTTTTGTACGCGTTTTAATTTATTGACTGTTGGTTTTAAATGTCAGTGTGAAAGCCTTTAAATTTTGTAGTTGACAGTCACTAGTCCTGAGAGACGTGGCCACTAAATACATTTAAAAAAAGGAATAAGTCAACATAGTACATTTAAAATAATGCATTAGATAAAGTCCATCCCGTTTACCACCAACAGTAACAGAATAGGTAAGACCCATATGGAAATGCTCACCTTTCAAACAAGGATTTTAATTATTTTCCATCATTCAAGATGCAGGGGAGAGATCAACAATTTGAAAAGCTCAGTTTATTGAACACATTACCTCTGAGAGCCATTGCTCCTCTGAGTACAGGTCCTCCTCTGCCGCGCCCACGGCCCATGCTTCGTCCGATCCCACGCAGTCCTCTGCCTCCTACAGCTCCCCTCATCACGCCTATTGGTCTGCCCAGCCGAGCTTGGATGTTGCCCTTTCCCAGCCGCTGCTTCAAGCTCTGAGCACATTCAGTGTGTTAACAAATGCAACATTTTCTTTCTGATGTTTAAGGCCACACATCAAACCAGCCCACTTCGGTTTGATTCTGTACTTTGGAATGAAGTGGGAGCAATCCTTTTTCCTGTGCATTGACCACAGGGCAATAAAAGTTTATCTAAATGGGATTATAGCAATGTTCGGATTGCTTATGTGCTACTTCCCAGCATTTTCCATCTTCACAATTTGCTATGACAGAGGGTTGAAGTTTACATATTCTTGATTAGCATGTATCGATACAAATAGATTAAAAAAAAAAAGACAAACAGTGATGTACCTCTTGGCAGGTAGAAAAGGACCAAATGGTATTTAGTTTTGAAACTGTTGCATTAAGGTAATTTGGGCCTACCCTATTTTACATAACAGTTCAGAATATCATAATGGATGACTACTGATACACAAGAATAGATAGAGTAATGCATCAAGTCTTATACCGATCATTACACAGTCAATATAAATGTCATGATAGCTTAGAAAATAGTCTTGCTATCTAAAAACATTTTTTTTTCGACAAGTTTTTCTTCTGTGAAAAACAGATTGTATGAAAGGCCAGTTGAATGGAAATAAATTACTATTGTCTTTTTAACCAGGTTACTAAACCAAGCAGAGCATCATTGACATGAGTTAAAAACTAGAGACATTACTCACCTGCTTATGATTCAAAGCCGCTTGCACAGAGGGCCGGTTCTCCATTTGTTGTGCAAGGCGCCGATTGCGAGCACTTGCCATGTGTTGTTGTTGCATGGTGGCTCGAATGTTTACTGCAGTGGGCTGCTTGTTCATCAGCATGTTAGTAAAGCTTAAAATTGGGAGGAAAAAGGGAGGAAGTAAAAAGAGGACATACGGGTGGAGGAACAGGGATCCACATCATCGTTATGTCTTCATTTATTTGTGGATGTAGCTGCTTTTCAGCTTCCACTTGTATGCACACATTTGCGTGGTGTAGTTAAGTTGCCAAACGCAGTAGCAACATAAATGGAACTATACATCAGCATAAAGAGTGATAGGTGAGAGGAAGGGAAAGCACATTGTGCCGCTTACGGGCCTCAAGTTTAGTCCTTCTTGAAAGAGGCCCCGGACATGAGAGGTGCTTGGTAACCCAGCCACTTACAGCAAAGACCGTGGCTCAAGTCATTCCACATACTGAGGACTAGCATTGAAGTGCCTGGCCACGTCTATGCTCGGACTGGCTACTCCGTCAAAGGGACGTGGAAAGAAAGTCAGGAGTGAAGAGAAGTATGTGTGCTTTATTCAAGTGGCATCCACATATTATAGTTGCTTGAAAATGTCTTTCCATCATGTAGGAAAGAAGAGGGACGAGAGGTCACCTCATACACAAACAGGCGTGTAGATCAAACTAGTCAAACCTACAAAAAATAAAAGGCATTTTGAACAGTATGTGCAGTAGGCGCTGGGGTACACCACAAATCCACAGCTTGAGTTAGCTCATATCTGACAGGGCGTCTCACCGCTCATTCAGCGACACTTTGGTTGTGCTTTTCAAAACAACTTTTTGGGACGAAGCAGCACTCATTTTACAGGCTTCACCTTCCAGCACCTAAAAGGGAAAACAGAAACATACACATTAGCTACAGCACCACAGTTGCAATCCAACAGTGATAAAAAAAAATATATATAATTCCCAAAAACATTTTTCAAGCAAAAGTTGGAGAATTTTCCTAACTTGACCAGCTCTATCTCGTTTAGACCCTAAAGCAAGATCCCTCTACTTTTAATGAGTGTGAGGGATAATTTTGCCCTGACAATTATACAAGGGTTACATATAAGTTTACCATGGAACTATGTACTTTTGGCTATTAAGAATGTATTCAAATGTCTTTGGGTGTACCCTAGAGGTTTAACCTGGGTGCACCAGTAACATGTTTCTGCAGTCAGGACTGCATGTGGTGTTTAAGAGAAAGCCCGCACAGTTTAAAATTCCCCCTATTTGAAGATCCTATAAAGCGCGTATATATTGCAAATGGATGCAATATTTATTGGAGCTGGGATGGATGAATGAAGTGTAGTCTCACCCAGCGTTTGTCTGCAGAGGCCGTTAGCTCGTTAGCTAACGCTCGCCGTGTTCACTGTCCGCGTGGTTTGAGGGCAGGAGTGTGAAGCTCACAGGGTAAACCCGAAGCGCAGTGTTCGACTTTGTGTTTTGTTTTTAAATGAAAAGGTTAAGATCTGTTCTAAATAATTTGGACGACTTGGATGAGGCGATTACACAAATGGACCCGAGCCCTTTATTAAAATGGTGCACCCCTGACGCGCAGTCGCACTTTATAAAGTTACTACTTCCGGGTCCTGAGCAGGATGGATTTATTATGCACTAGAGCTAGCCTGGCCATCCGTAAACTCCGGTCAATCGATTGTTATTTCCCTACATGTATTCGACAGAGTAGACGAGAGCGCAACTTCAAGCATTTTTTTTTTTTTTATTACAAAAGGACGAAGACAAACAGAAATATATACACTATATACAGAAACAAATGACATGGGTAAAAAGGGAATAAGGTTTTATATATGAATTTGAGACTTTAATGACTAATATTAGGCCTATTTATGGGGAGCGTTAAAGGGAGACTTGAGTTTTTATGTTTGATGTATCAAGGTTTCGAATAGTTTGACTGTAGAGTTGGGGTTTTTTTGCTGTTAATGAGGGACATAGATCTAATGTAGTTGTTGATTTCGGAGTTGACTGCTTAGAAGGATGGCTTGGTTTTGATGTATCTGCTTCTATGTATGTGTTGTTTGCCAAATAATATGAATAAGTTGCCAATTCTTTCGATGTTTTTGTTTTGGTGGGAAAAATGAGTGATAACGTTTCTGTCACAGATAATTATGGAGGTGCGCAACTTCGAGTCTAGAGTTCCCAGACCCCTGTATTTTGAACATATCTATTTGTATTTAATGTGTATAATAACAGATAAAAGAGTATTACTGAAAAGATAACTCCAACTGTTTTAACCGTATAAATCAGGGTATATTTATCTGACTGACTGATATTTAACATTTTTAATCATTCAGATAAATATGCCCTGATTGAAACGGTTCATGTTGGCGATTCTGAACACGCAAGATGGCCGCCACTTTTGCCACATCGACAGAACGGACGCGTTTTCTAGTCTCAAATCGGTTTTGTCACATGACCGATGAGGATTTGAGGTTTGGTCGTTTTGATCCTATAGTTTGCTGATATGGCCTCTGCGGCGTTATTGGAGTGTAGTTCCAGCAATGATGTTCTAGCAGAGGGAATGATAGACCTCCTGAAGCCCGCTATTCAGCAGTTAGACCTTCACGTCCATTCTGTCAGGTAAATATAAACACAAATACATTCTGCTCACTGTGACAGCAACATCCTCCTCCCATCTGATGAGCTTTATATTCTCCTACAATATCTACAGAGAAAGTCAAGTGGATCTAAGAGAACACATAGACAATTTAGCCACAGGTATTGTAAACATGTGAGGTTATTATGCTTGTCTGCTCTGTGCTTATGATGCCCTGGTGTTTACAGAGCTGTGTCGAATAAATGAGCATCAGAGGGTGGCTCTGGACTTGGACCCTTATGTGAAAAAGCTGCTCAATGCGAGGAGAAGAGTAGTTTTAGTGAACAACATCCTCCAGAACGCCCAGGTATTTGTTCAACACACCCAACAGACTTCAAGGGTTCAGAGGCTTGCAAAAGTAATGATACATGTTCTCATGTTTACAAACACAAATTTTTTTTGTCTGAGGGTAACAAAGAAATGGTCAAAACGTTCAGTCTCTAGATGTGCAAAGCTTGTAGAGTCAAACCCCAAAAGACTTGACGGGGTTCCACCAACTAGGGGATCAATTACAATCAAATCGAAAACGCAATGGAAGTGGCTGCAAATAACTAAAGGTAAACTAAAGAATGCAATTATTTAGATAACATGTTTTTCTTTACAAACAGCATAGATCTTGATGCTTATTATAAAAAACAGGCTATTTAGCACGCTAAAACAGACTTAGAATTTCAAGGATCACAGTCACATGTCCAATAATAGGCCCTAACAATTGGCTTGTCATTTAATTTAAACAGTGAAAATATAGAAATACAACTTCTCATATTTGAAAAGTCCTGAACATTATTATAGCTCCATAAGCAAAATCGAATCATGAGCACAATGAAAAATCACCATTCCATATTTCTCTAGAATTTAGATAAATCACTTTATTTATTTTTTATCTTAAATTATATGTATTGTCTTGGATTAAACACACCCTTAAACATTGTTGTAGTTTAGATTATGATTATTTTGAGTGAGGAAGTAAATACATATTATAAAGATATCTGTGTCTACAGGAACGTCTACGGAGACTCAACCACAATGTTGCCAAAGAGACAGCGCGCAGAAAGACTATGTTGGAGTCATCTGGGGTGTTTGCCTCACGCGCTCCGAGTTTACCCTGACATCTTATGCCACTCCTGAGCTCCACCCGTGAAACCTGCACTTCTTTGTTTCAAACCCATTGTCTTCTCTGTGGTCCCCATGTGTCCTTCACTTTAGCCTAAAGTCCCATCTTAGCCTCTCCACACATGTGATGTCCTTTCTTAGCATGTGCTTAAGGTTTCATTTAGGTTGATCTGACATCACCACGTAATTAAAAATCCTGGATCAATATCAAAGTTTTTTGCCCAGGATCAATGCTATTGCCAATCAATCAGGGGTTACTGGGTTAGTGTTTGGATTAGGACTAGGGTTTGATAGGGTTAGAACTAGACCTAGATTATACATCCAAGATCAACTTTAGCCTTGATCCTGGACTCTTAATTACTTGGTGATATCAGATAGTGCCCCCATTTTTTCCTCTCTACACATCCGTCTGAGGCACCAGCTGAGCCTCCTCCATCAGGTCCCCTTATGCACTCTCCTTGTGATCCTGCTTGTAGTGTAAACCAATAAACATTTTTTTTTTGTGTATCTCCGAACCATGCAGCGTAGATCATTTGACAACTTTTATAGGCTTTACTCTGTTGCAAGGGATCCATCATGTCATTTTAAATTTATAGATTATAGTTACAGTTTTGCATTTCGGTCTTTATTTATTGTTTTACATTGTGTAGGTACAAACAGTACAGTTGTATTGTGTTAATTACATTATGGGTTCAATGTTTCTAATTACAGATATATGAGGATTTCACCAAATTTTAAGAAAGAACCACCCTCTCCACTTTTTGAACTAAACTCTCTGGTTTTATTTGATCCATGGTATCACTGGAATGATTAGCAATTGGGAGGACCAATAGTCTTGATGATCCACCCGGAAGTAGAATATGTGGTTGTTTACTTGAGATAGGTAGCTTTAATGTAATATGTATAACATGCCATGGTAGCCTATATAAACATCTTACTATCAAGGTTTGCACGTTATTCATATTTATCCATGGGTTTGCAAGGTAATCATATCCATAATTTAGGATCCTGCGGTGAGGTCCAGTCACCGCAGGATTCACATCTTGCAGGCAGTGTCTCTCTCTGGACTAACTCGTTTTAATGGATTTTTTACTGCTTTTAAGTCTTTTTAAAGTTACAGTTTAATGTATTTTTTATTGAAACTTCTTCACAAGCTCTTGAGAATTGTGAATTGGAGCCCAGAGCAAACTGAGACAATGAAGATGTGTTGCTGAAAACGTGCTAGCTCGGAGGCTACCACGAGGGCACCACGTCATGAGCTTTTATTAAACCTACACAGACATGGAACGCGACACTGCAATAACCACAAACCCTATAAACGACATTAGTCGCCTCACATTGGAGCTTCGTGAGAGGGACCGTGCCACTATTGCAGACCTCCGTAAAGAAGTCCTTCGCCTCACTGCAGAGCTGCAGGACAAACAGTCACTCGCAGCAGCGCCGAGATCCCTGAGTGGTAAATGGCTAACCAATGTTTTGGCCACCACAAGGGGGCGCCTCGAAGTGGCCAAATCTGTGGCTAACGCACCTTTTGCCACAGTTTTCTACACCTAAGCGCCCGGTTCCGAATGAGGAACCCGCGAACTGCGAGGAGCCATCCAGCGCCGTGGCCCATGTCCTAAGCCTGTCAAACCGCTATGCAGCCCTCTCCACTGACATCCCAGCCCCCTCAGCAGAACCTCTGGACTCTGCAGCGTACTCTGCCGTTCGTGGATCTAAGTCCACTGCGAGAAAAACGCTCCTAAAGGAAGCCGTCCTCAGACGAAAGAGTGGTCATTCCCCTTCTCTGACCCCAGTGCATCACCACCACTTACCTCCACCGGGTCAGCAGCAGCGACCCGAGCCTGCTCCTCACGCCGCTCCAGCGTCCCCGAGCACACAGCGTGGGTTGCCCGGAGCTGAGAATCAACACCCCCACTCCTCTCCATGTGTTCAGCAGCGCCCTGGTTCGGACTCATCCCTGGATGAGCCCGCTGGTTCTGGCCATGGACACCGAGCGCCCTCTCCGCGGCTACGTCCACTCTTCGCCCCGACTACTTTGATTGTTGGAGATTCCATCGTGAGACACGTCCGCTTTTTTAACGCGGTCACTCAGTGTTTTCCCGGAGCCACTGTGCCAGATCTGCTCATCCGTCTCCCTCCTCTGCTTCAGTCCCTGCCTGATACCATTTCAAAGGTAATCGTGCATGTGGGGATCAACGACATGAAGCTGCAGCAGTCCGAGGTCACAAAGAAGCATTTTATGGATCTATTCCGCCTTCTCCAGTCCTCCGGGTTGTGTGTTTTTATCTCTGGTCCAGTCCCGACTGTAAACCGGGGAGACTGCTTGTACAGTCGCGTAGTGGCGCTCAACATGTGGCTCCAGTCTGCATGCAGCACTTTTAACTTTATTTTTGTGAATAACTTTGGCCTTTTCTGGAAGCGTCACGTGGCTTATCGTCCAGACGGTCTGCACCCAAATAGATATGGCACCAGCTTGTTGACGGATTACTTACGCCACGTTATTCAGTGTTCCCCGAGGGGGGCGTGACTGTTTACATCGGAGCCCCCACCACCACCACCCTCCTCCTTCTTCTCCTGCTCACCAGCACCGGGTGAGTACTGTGGTGCAAACACTGACCCCTTTCCGTCTGGCAGTGAAATAACAGTCTCGCCTCTGAACCGTGCTGCCTCCTGCTCTAAACAACGAAGCAATGCCGTCCTGAATCCGGGACTTACACAGCAAAAGAGTTCACATGTTAGACAAATAGAAACTGTGTGTGTTCCTCGCATCAGTTTCAAAAAATGTTTTTATTTGAATGGAAAACAAAATCATAACAGAAGGACAGCAGTTAGACATTCAAATCTAATTCCTGCTCCTTGTAAAAATCAATTAACTAAACCCACTGTTACTGATATTAATTTTAAAATTGCTATGCTTAATGTCAGATCACTGTGCAACAAATCATTTTTAATTAATAATTTTATCCGTTCTTATGATCTTGATTTTATGTTTCTGACTGAAACTTGGCTTGACCAGAGTACAGGTAATGCGGTTTTAATAGAAGCAACGCCACCAAACTTCAAATTTGAATCTGAAATCCGAGAAAATAAAAGGGGGGGAGGCATTGCTGCCTTATTTAGAGATCGTATTATCTCTCATAGAATTCTCCTTGGAAATTTTCTATCATTTGAGTACATTTCTTTTAAAATAGAACAAAAACAATCTCCTTCTATTCTTATCATTGTCCTGTACAAGCCACCGCAGTCTTGTCACAATTTCTTGGATAATTTCACTGAGTTGCTTTCAGTTGTTTGCACCGATTTTGATAGTTTAGTGATTACAGGTGATTTTAATATTCATGTGGATAATGGCAATGACAAAAATGCAAAAGAGCTGAGTTCTGTACTTGAAACATTTGGTCTCACTCAGCACGTGAGTGGCCCCACCCACAGCAAAGGGCACACTCTAGACCTGCTGGTTACAAAGGGGGTTAATATTTTAAATGTAAATGTGGTTGACGTGGCTCTGTCAGATCACTTCTGTGTATTTTTTGATAGCAAACAACCATATATATCTGAATCTGCAATTGTCAGACACAGACACATAAATGAAAACACAACCGAACTATTCATGGGAATGATAAACTTTGAGAACACATTGTGTTCTACTGTTGACGAATTGTTTAACTCTGTCACCGCCAATGTTATAAATGTTCTGGACATCATCGCTCCTGTGAAGGTTAAAATGATTACAAATAAGCCAAAGGCCCCCTGGACTAAAATGGACTCAGTCATGGTACAGAAGAGAGAGTGCCGTAGGGCCGAGCGGAAGTGGCGAAAATCCAATCTCCAGGTTGATCATGATATCTTCAAAAATGAGTTGTGCAAGTTTAACAGGGTGCTACGTAGAACAAGAGAAATTTATTTTTCTAAAACCATTGATGGCTGCAATAATAATCTACGACTTATGTTTTCAACAGTTAACGGATTAACAAACCCCCCTGTTCAGCTGCCATTCGAATTTGCTTCAGAATCTAAATGTAATGAGTTTGCACAATTTTTCAATGACAAGGTTCAGAGCATCAAAAACGCCATCACCTCCAAGGCAGAAATAACATTACAACAGCCGGTGAGGCTGTTTGAGCTATCGCACTTTGCACCAACAGATAATGAAACTGTCCAAGATGTTGTCTCTAGCCTTAGTTCCTCCACATGTAGCCTGGATGTACTACCCACTAAATTTTTTAAGTCTGTTTTGAGCAGTCTTTTACCTTTGCTCACACAAATAGTGAACATGTCTTTCTCATCTGGAACATTTCCAATGGCCCTGAAAACGGCAGTCATCAGACCCCTCCTAAAAAAGAGGAGTCTAGATGCCACAGTTCTTAAGAATTATCGCCCCATTTCAAATCTGCCGTTTATGGGAAAAATTCTGGAAAAAGTTGCTTACCAACAACTTACAGAATTCTTAGTAACTAATAGTTCGTTTGATGCGCTCCAGTCCGGCTTTAGAGCCAATCACAGCACTGAGACTGCACTAGTGAAGGTTACAAATGACATCCGACTTAACACCGACACAGGAAAAGTCACAGTTTTAGTAATGTTGGATCTGAGTGCTGCGTTCGACACAGTCGACCACGAGATCCTCCTGCAGAGACTAGAGCACTGGGTGGGTGTCACTGGGACTGCCCTAAGTTGGTTTAGGTCTTACCTAGAAGACAGGAAATACTTGGTTCAGATAGGAAACTGTGTCTCAGATCATATGGCTCTGACCTGCGGAGTGCCACAGGGATCAATTCTGGGGCCTCTTCTGTTCAATATTTACATGCTGCCGTTAGGTCAGTTAATACGCTCCAACAATGTATTCTACCACAATTACGCTGATGACACTCAAATTTATGTCTCACTTACTGCAGGAGAACATGGACCAGTGGAATCACTCCTTCACTGTACTCAACAGATTAGTGATTGGATGCAAAATAACTTCCTTCAGCTAAACGCAGACAAAACAGAATTGATTGTCTTTGGTCCTCAGAAACAAAGAGAGAGCGTTATTCGTCACCTCCAGTCTCTCTCCCTGGAACCTGTAGGCAAGGTCAGAAACCTAGGAGTTATAATGGACTCAGACTTAAATTTTAACAGTCATATCAAATCAGTAACATCAGCAGCATTTTACCATCTGAAAAATTAGAAACATAGTGTCTAAATCAGATCTGGAGATTCTCATCCATGCATTTGTCTCCAGTAGGTTAGACTACTGCAATGGCCTGCTCACAGGTCTCTCCAAACAGGCTGTAAAACAACTGCAGTATGTCCAAAATGCTGCAGCTCGAGTCCTGACCAGGACCAGGAAATATGACCACATTAGTCCAGTTCTCAGGTCTCTGCACTGGCTTCCTGTGGCTCAGAGAATAGACTTCAAAGCAGCACTGCTTGTGTACAAGTCTCTCCATGGCCTCGCACCAGGGTACTTAAGCGACTTGTTAGTCCCATATGAACCGACCCGGACTCTGAGGAGCACAGGAGGTAGCCTCTTACTGGTTCCAAGGGTCAGAACTAAACATGGGGAGGCAGCGTTTGAGATTTATGGAGCTAAAATCTGGAACAATCTTCCTGAAGATGTGAGGCTAGCATCTACTCTGGCAATTTTTAAATCGGGGCTAAAAACTGTTCTTTTTAGCTGTGCATACGGCTGAAGGATTCTATTGATACATACATACTCTTTTTTTTTTAATGCATTGTGGTTATTTATTATTTTAATCCCGTGTGTGCTTTTAATATTTTAAGTTTTTTTTTTTTTTTTTTTTCCATTATTTGTGATTTTATTCTGTTTTTAATGTATTTATTGATGTCTCTGATTTGTGTGATACTATGTGGGTTGTGAGGCGCTTTGAGTGGCCTTGTGTTGGAAAGGCGCCATACAAATAAAGTTGATTGATAATTTACCCGGATGGGAAACACTGGAGGACGTAGGATGGGGATAGCGCTTCCGGTGCACGTGCTACCACAGAACATGCTAGCTGGAAGAAGCTAACAGTTTGAGCAAGTCGGATAACACGTCTATAAAAGCTCCATGGTTCGGTCCTGGTCTGCAGGTCCAGTCTGACAGAGGTCCAGGGAACACATGTGAGTGAGGGTGAAGAATGGAGTCGTGGGTTCGCTTCAATGCGCAGAGCCAGGCCAAGGAGAGACTCTTCAGGTACACTTCAGCTGATCCAGAGCAGACCATAACAGACCTGCGGATGAGTGTTGTTGAAACTGATGTCAATAAAGATCCACAAAAGTTCGTAAACGTTAAAACTGCAGACGTGACAGATGTGACTGGGGAATGTTTTAACACTATTTAGTTTTTGTTTGTGTTCCCACAGAAAGTGTGTTGTGAACAAATCAGATCATAATATACACAACACGCTGCTTTCAACTTATTTGAAACATCTTATCTGTAAAAGAGCTGCAACTAACGATTATTTTGTAATCGATTAATCTATCGATTATTTTTACGATTAATCGAGTAATCGCTTGGCTGTGAATTGTGTAGAAACAAATTATTTTTTCATCACAAAAAGCTAAAGTGGCAACACTCGAGGACGTATTGATGGCGTAAACTTAAAGTAAATGTTTGTAACAGGCTCTTTGTGCTAATTCTGCTATCTGATTGGATGAGACAGACAGACAAAGTCGGTTTTAATCAAAAATACTAAATTTTCATGTCATTTTTGCTCTGTTTGAGTCCGTGTGAACCAGAAAACGATTAATCAATTACTAAAATAGTTGTAGACTATTTCAATAATCGATTAGTCGTTGATTAATCGATTAGTTGTTTCAGCCCTAATCTGTAACAAACTTGACACTAAGACAACAGAACTACATTTTTAACTTGGAACTGATTGGTAAAGCAAGGGCGGTCCTCTCTTTTCACTTTTCTGTTTGGAAAATGGGGTTCATTATATTCTAATCCAGGCCTGTCAAACTGAGGCTCGTGTGCCAAGTCTGGCCCTAGAATGATTATTAGAATCAACTTGCAGCATTGATGGTTATGGGCGACCAAGGTTTTACATAATGTATTTTCTTAGAATAACAACCACATTTAATTTATTCAAACAATTTAACCCAACACATCATTAGAAGTTGAATAATGAAATATAAAACAATGTGCATACATTTGTATTTGGTCCCATTTTGGTTAATTTTAAAATGTAACCACCGTGAGAGAGGGACGGACACACATTAGAACCAGGTATGAGATCGTCGAACCAGGATTAATAAAATAAAAACAAACTCTTTAGTACTAAAAGGATCATGCCAATTATATTTCAGCTTCCCCAACACATTTGACGTAGTTTTTATGTTATCTGTGTGTAAATATTTAGTGTCATCAAAGAACTGCTAAGTTTGATGTTCTGTAAAGCAGTCCAGAGACGTAAGAATCAAACCGATAGAATTTGAGAGTGTCAACCGTTTCTACTGGACACCAGGCAGGTCACATAAACTTGTCTCAAAAACACACCAAACTGTGCTCAGTTCATTCAAACAGCAGTAATGAGGGGTAGAGAGGAAGTGGTAGGAAAATTGAAAACTTCTAGGACCCCACCAGCAAGAAAATGGTTCACTGAAGCAGAAAGAGTACTTTTATCTGTAAGAAAATGATAGATGAGATGAGAGAATACCTTGTGAAAGGGGCAAAATACCTGAAATATATTACAAAATACAATTTCCAAATAATCTCATATGACTACTCACAATGCACCATCTATAATAAACATTGCATATGAGAAATCTATAGATGATAGAGCTGTGGCGGTACAGCACCAGTCCCTCGCTGCTGCTCCTGCAGGTGATGGGTCCACGAGATGGTTGCTCCGTCAGCGATAACAACTTGATCTTTCAGCGGGGTAGATATATGTCCCTCTGAAAGATCGGGGGATATTTATATTCCCCCCCTAAGAATTATTTTTCTTTGACATACTAACACATACTAATACATGGATGTATAGCATTATTATGTGCTTAAATCGTTAACGTATATGTGTATATTATACACTAACAATTATTCATTTTTCATGTTACAACTGTTGAAGATTGAGAGCTGAGGCAGCGTCGTTTATGCTCTTTTTATTGTTGGATAAGAGCGTAATGCCAAGTCGGTTTGCTGCGGCCCCATTAGATAAGTTTGCTTTGACCTTCAGATAACCAAAACATCAGTGGAAAATTACTGACTTTCCATCTGTTGTAATGACCAGCCCAGTTAACTTTTAACATAATTGCACAATAAGTGCCATAAAAGATTATATTTTGGATTTTTTTACCACAACAAAGTTTGCTTTCACAGTTATTTACAATAAAAAAAAAAAAAACTGAAACGTGGGGCTTGCATATGTAACCAGATAGCATGAGTCAATAATGAGATAATCCCCAGTTCCTGTTTTCCAAAAATGTCTCGTATTTTGCTTGATCCTTAATCTCATCAACTCTGTCACTCTTCCCTGTACCTGCTGAAGAAAAGCAGCCCCATGCCATGAAGGCTGCCACCCATTTATTTGACACGGTGGACGATGGAGGAGGAGCCGTGTTAGTTTTGACCACAGCACCTTCTTCCCCCACTTCTTTTCCAAGTTCTTCAGACATTAATTCATCACCGGCTTTCTATTTACCACTCGTCCATAAAGGGCAGATTTGCAGTAGTAGTGTATGACTGATTTGCTCCATGTACAGATTCCCCCAGGTGAGCTGTGAATAATGTCTGTAACCATTGGCCTCGTCCCTACATCTGTGATTAGTGTTGTCCTTGTTCGAGCTGTGAGTTTAGGCAGACAGCTGAGTGTTGGTAGATTTGAAGTTGTGCCCTACTCTACTCCCAGAGGATGGAGTAAACTGGGCTCTGTGAGATGTTCGAAGCTGTAGATAAGCCTACTTCAAACTTCTCCACTACTCTATCCCTGCTTAATAATGTTTGTGGTTGTGTTTTCAGAGCAGCCCAGTACGCATGCACTCTGCTGGGATACACTGTTCAGAGAGCGGGCTCCACAGAGCTGAGCCTCACCATCTCTCAGCTGGAAGCTCACATGAGTCTGAGCCGCAAGCGTGAGTGACTCCACCACAGCACAGCACGCCGCTCACACACACCGCTCACACACACCGCGCACACACACCGCGCACACACACCGCTCACACACACCGCTCACACACACCGCTCACACACACCGCTCACACACACCGCTCACACACACCGCTCACACACACCACGCACACACACACACCGCTCACACACACCGCTCACACACACCGCTCACACACACACCCGCTCACACACACACCCACACACGCCACACACACCGCTCACACACACCGCTCACACACACCGCTCACACACACCGCTCACACACACCGCGCACACACACGCTCACACCCACACACGCTCACACACACCGCCACACACACCGCCACACACACCGCTCACACACACCGCTCACACACACGCCACACACACCGCTCACACACACCGCTCACACACACCGCTCACACACACCGCTCACACACACCGCCACACACACCGCTCACACACACCGCTCACACACACGCTCACACACACCGCTCACACACACACACGCTCACACACACCGCTCACACACACCGCTCACACACACCGCTCACACACCGCCCACACACCGCCACACACCGCCACACACACCGCGCACACACACGCCCACACACCGCCACACACACCACACACACGCTCACACACACCGCTCACACACACACCACACACCCCACACACACACACACGCTCACACACACACACCCTCACACACACACTCACACACACGCTCACACACACCGCCACACACCGCGCTCACACACGCCGCTCACACACGCCGCTCACACACACACGCTCACACACACCGCGCACACACACCGCGCACACACGCCGCTCACACACGCCGCGCACACACACGCGCACACACACCGCTCACACACACCGCCGCTCACACACCGCTCACACACACCGCTCACACACACCGCTCACACACACCGCTCACACACACCGCTCACACACACCGCGCACACACACCGCTCACACACACCGCTCACACACACCGCTCACACACACCGCTCACACACACCGCTCACACAAACCGCACCTGTCCCACATTGTAATATTGAAAAATGTAGCTCAAAAACTTTCATCATGTCTTTTTACTGTGAGTTTGAGTAAGAGTAAGAATCTTCCAGTGTGAAGCAGAGAGGTAAGGAGCAACATCTACTGGTCTCTGTTCACTTTCATGTCTATTGAGAGTGAGGAGTTGTCGTCATAGCACAGAGCCCCTCCCCGTCTCCGCCATGTTGGTAGGATCCCAGCGGCAAACAGTTGTAGTTAACTCGGTAGCAAAGGAGGTCATCGCTATTTCTGTTTTACCATGCCTGGAGCTCATTGCTGTGTGAAAAACTGCTCCAGTACCTCACACAATAAGAAAGGAAAACGTAGGAACAACGGTTTACAATTGTTTAGGCTACCAAAATGGATACAACATCAGGGAGCGCAAGTGTCTGACCTGACGAAGAGACGCCCGATGGCTTGGTTGGCTGCAATAAGAAGAAAGGACCTTACTTTTGATCTCACCCCCAGTCGATGAGAGTGTGTTCTCTGCATTTTCACTCGGGTACGTCCTAAAATGTCTTTATGTCGTTTTTTTAAAGTTAAGAAGTGTAGGTTACCTAGCTGTTAATGTTGCAAACACTGAAGTGCATCTTAAGTTAGCTGCCTAGCTAACTATCTAACAAACTGTTGCCTCTATGAAAATGCTTAATGGCCAACCATTAATGCTAACTAAGAATATTTAAGTTTCTGCTCATTATCCTACCTTGTTGGTGGAATATGGGCACTCAAGTGCGTTTGTCTCTGTCTCTTATGTTCTCTAAACCAGTTGTGCCCAAACTTTTTTTTTGTCTTGTGTTGCCACTACCCCCTGAGCCCCTTTATGAAACCATGAATAGCGTTACCTTCTTGTTTAATATTTCTTTAGATTCCAGATTGTTTAATAATCTTATTAATCTGACGTAAGTAAACCATTATATGAGATTGCTAAAAATAGTTGAGATTCTGTTCATGACATTATGCTACCTTGTTGCCAGTTTAAAGCATTGACTACATAGATTATTCTGTTCTAGGTAAACCATCATATGAGATGTTGGAGAATCACCCTGACTGGACACCATCCTTGCGGTTAGGCCACAATAATGTTAAAGAAACAGATGGAGCGCGATATCAGCGGCAAGTAAAGCGCAGGACCCAGCATCTGGAGCAGTCATCACTCCCAGCCCAAGCCCAGCAGCCTCCATCGCCAGCCCAAGCCCAGCAGCCTCCATCGCCAGCCCAAGCCCAGCAGCCTCCATCGCCAGCCCAAGCCCAGCAGCCTCCATCGCCAGCCCAAGCCCAGCAGCCTCCATCGCCAGCCCAAGCCCAGCAGCCTCCATCGCCAGCCCAAGCCCAGCAGCCCCCATCGCCGGCCCAGCAGCTGCCTCAAGGAAGGATGAGGAAGCTCTCACCCTTCCAGCTTGTCCTATTGACTGTAATGCGCCTCAGATTAGACCTTCCATCTCAGAATTCACGTTGAGAGGGTGATTGGTGTTGTGCGCAACAAATTCAAATTCTTACATTCAACTGTACCTGTGCATATGCTTCTCAAATGTGAGGGTGAAAACCTAATGCCTTTGGATAAGATTGTCACTGTTTGCTGTGCCTTAACGAACATGTGCAAAAGTGTTGTTTGAGTGCCTTGTTCATAACTTATGAACCAACCAGAACCCCTCATGTCATCTGGATCCGAGTCCAGAGTCAGAACCAGACACGGAGAAGCTGCATTCAGCTTCTATGCTCCACATGTCTGGAACAAACTCCCAGAAAGCCTCAGATCAGCTGAAACACTCAGTTTGTTTACATCCAGGTTAAAGACCCACCTGTTCTCAGCTGCTTTTTAATATTTTTTATTCTAATGTACAAATCTGCACGGCTTCTTTTAACCTGGAATTACTTGTCTGTTATCTTTTTATGAATTTTTGTTTTTAATTTTAAATCATGCTTTTTATTTTTTTTATTTTTAGTACTTTGAATTGTTTTGTAACATGAATTGTGCTGTACAAATAAACTTGCCTTGCCTTTTTAATTTCTTTGAAATAAATGTTTGAAACACCTTCATGTGGCAAAGCAATATTTATTGAGAAATTAACATTTTTTTGGAAAAGTTAACAGTGCAAAAGAACGTGTGCAGTCAACGTATAAATATTTCAGCATGAAAAGACGGACAACATAATAATAAAATAGTAACACTGCTGATAGTGCAAAAGAACCAAACATACCAACAAAAAAACACTATTTGGCTCAGGAAAAGAACGTGTGCATTAAAAGTATAAATATTTCCAGCATGTAAACATAAACAACATAAGTAATGTTATTAGTGCAAAAGAACAAACAACATCCAAACAATAAAAAAATGGGGTTTTTTTTGTATGTTTTTTGTTCTTTTGCACTAATTATAGTATTTCATTATTATGTTGTTTATGTTTACATGCTGGAAATATTTATACTTTGAATGCACACGTTCTTTTCTTAAGCTGAATAGTGGCACTATTCGGCTTAAGAAAAGAACGTGTGCTGTCAACGTATAAATATTTCAGCATGAAAAGATGGACAACATAATAAAATAGTAATACTGCTGTTAGTGCAAGTACAACGGTGTTTTCACCGCCTGGAGGCTTGTGTGAGATTTCATAACACTTTTAAGCAACTTTTGTTAAAGTTAAACTCATCATTCTATCAATGTGCAGAAGCCAGTACTTTTCCCTTGTTTTGTCTATCTGAAGGCCAAGCTACAAGCACACCGTGGCAGCTGCTGATTGGAGGTCTCCATGCCTCCGCTCTGTATAATACACTTGCATTCTGTTGTATCTGTGGATTGTGCTGTCTCTACCATTGACAATAAAACATGTCTTCTGTCTGAATTAACGACGCGATCCCAGACTATGTCATCTTCTTCAGGTGGTGGAGAATGCGGGCATTGTCTGTAACATCTAGAGAACAGAAGACTACTTTTTTTTTACACAAAAAGTGTTTTTTTTTTTCAAGCCAAAACTGAGAAACCTCAAGAGAAACCATGCATCTGGACCAGCACACTTGGACTATCTGCACAGCCCCTGATTCCAGTCAGGCTGTGAGCTTCTGAGACATGGACAATACCATCGTCCTCTTTTGCATGGACATAATTTGGAACAATCTGGATTTCTGAATTTGGACATAATTTGGACTGAATTGATTTGCTAAATCTGGACACTGAAGCTGAAACGTGTGATTCAAAGACACGTCACAGAAGAATTCATGGCTCGACACAAATGCAGCCTGAAGAAACCAACAGGAGAAGTGGGAGAGACTGTTTTCAAAGCAATATCTGGAACCACCATCGACTGATGAAGTTTGGTATTTTACTGAAGATTGTTGACAAGTTTTATGAAAGATCTGAACATGTTTTATGAGTTTTATGAGTTTTTGAAGTATTCCGAGTTCTGAGTTTTTTGAAGTACCGAGTGAAGTACCGAGTTTAAGTATTGAGTTATGATGTTATGTTGCTGTTTATCGATCCTGATGGTCACACGTGAATGTATGACCAGAGGGGGGAATGTGAGATTTCATAACACTTTTAAGCAACTTTTGTTAAAGTTAAACTCATCAATCTATCAATGTGCAGAAGCCAGTACTTTTCCCTTGTTTTGTCTATCTGAAGGCCAAGCTACAAGCACACCGTGGCAGCTGCTGATTGGAGGTCTCCATGCCTTCGCTCTGTATAATACACTTGCATTCTGTTGTATCTGTGGATTGTGCTGTCTCTACCATTGACAATAAAACATGTCTTCTGTCTGAATTAACGACGCGATCCCAGACTATGTCATCTTCTTCACTTGTAGATGGCCAAGTCCTGCACCCAACCAGAGCAGAAAGCCTCGTAACTCTCCAGTGACTTGTGACTTCTAAACTCCTGCATTGTATAATAACTAACACCGAAAACAAGGTAATTGACTATATCCATGTACGTGCACGGAGGCAAAAAGTCAAGGTCTTTTAGCCACTCCGCTGCAGGAAGCTCGTATGGGTCTACCTGTTGTATGTCTGAGAGCTTCTCCAAATAACGTTGTTTTGCTTTTCCCTGTACGGTCCATTTCCTTTCGCCTTCACTTTCCCCATTAACTGTCTTGCTAGTGTTGTAATCGTAGATGTATCTACTGCCGAAATAATAAACGCGCTCAAGTTAAAGACCTCTGGAGCGTTAGCATAGACTGTATATATTGAGCGTTAGTGGCGTTGCCCCTGGCAACCGATAGAGGATCCTATCAACATGACCGACCGGATTAGACCACGCCCAAATTATCACGTGACTCCTCATTCTCAATACAAGGAACCAAAACTACTGCCATAACTATTTATTATGAGATATTTACACAAAGATATAAGTGAGGACTTAAAATTAAGCCGCACCTTACTATAAGCCGCAGCCCTCAAAATGCTATTTTCGCACACATTTTACAACATTCCTCTGTGTTCTCTCCCTTATCTCCATCCTAGTTGATGAGTCGTTGGGGGAAGGGCATTGTAAAGACATTCCTACACACAGTGAGACGTGAACAAAGAAAGGGGGTTCACAGACACAGTGGAGGCAGTCGTTACATTATTTATATTCTTGGTCAAATTCAATTTTGATCCTATAAGTAAAGTCTGAACAAATAAGTTCATAAATCTCTCTATACGATAAATGTTCTGGATCAGGAGAAGGTCATCTTGGTTAGGAAGTAAGTACTTACCTTGGTTATCCTACACCAGAGTTCATTTTGAGTGTACGATATTTAGGTATTTAATGACACTTTGAAATAACAATTGTAAACCGCTTTGAGACTCCGATGTGCAGTGAAAAGCCGGTATATAAATAAAGATTACTACTACTACTACTTGAAGCAACTGTGGTTAAAGTTCTAACTCATCATTCTAACATATGCAGAAGCCAGTACTTTTCCACTTGGTGTTTTGGTTATCTCAAGGTTGAAGCCACTGGCACCGTGGCAGCTGCTGATTGGAGGACTTCATTCCTCCATGCTGTATGATACACTTTCGTGTTTGTGCGTCTACCATCTACAATGAGACATGTCTTCTGTCTGAATTAAAGACACAATCCCAGACTTTGTCATCTTCTTCAGATATATAGGGCAAAAAAATGACTTGCACTGTACACACTATGAGTTCTGTGTCTGGACACTGTACAAAGACTGGACAGAGGCTTAAACGAGAGATGCATTTCCACAGTGATGCTAAAGCAGCAGTGTGTTGTGTGTTCCTCCTGCAGTGCTGCGCTTGGGGAGCTCAGTGGAGGCTCTGGAGGCGGCCAAGAGGAGCATTCATCTGAAGGATGGCGTGCTGCGCCTCTGCCTCACGCTCAGCCACCTCAACAGAGCCATGTACTTCGCCTGCGACAACTTACTGTGGGCCTCGAAGAGCGGCCTGCTGCCCACACTGGAGCAGAGCAAGTGGAGCCAGAGGGCCTTCAGGTCAGCTCAGAACTCAACTTCATCTCTTTCCAACTCTAACCTAAAGGTTCCATATTGTGCTCTCCTTCATGTGTCACAGTGCTATGCACATTATACAGCATAACTGTGAGATTATAGCCATCTCTTGCATAGAAATGATGTCACCTCAACTCAAACAGGCTGACCATTTTAAATACAACAAAACGGGCTTATGCACATCATATTTGTCATGTATGTTGAAATCGTCACAGATGTGGACCTGGGCGTTTCACTGCCTCTCGACGGTGAAGGAGACAGATTGCTCTCTAACTAAAGCTTGAAGGAATCAATGAAATGAGTATGTGTATGAAGGCCAAGTAGCACTGTAATCATGTTTAAAGCAGAGAAAAGTCAAAAATCCTAATATGGCATCTTTAATAATATGCAACGTCTAGCCGAGACTCAAAGTAGAACTGAATGTAGTATATTCAGTGTGGAACTCTTTTGAATTGTGATTACCTGGACGAACTAATTTAATTAACATTAATTTCAAGAACATTGTCATTATATCAATGACTTCCCTTAAACATAATCTTGAGACATGTTTTGTGGATGTTGGATGTTTTAGAATGTGACATTGTTTCTTAACATGGGACAGCGGATGCAAATTAGGCATAGGAACAATCTGGTATATTTACAGCACTGTTGCATTAATACAGAGTCAACTCAAAAAATCTTGCATTGGTGAAGAAATGATCTTGTGTTGTGAAACATCCCCATTTATTGGGGAGAAGTGGAAATATACATTTACATATCGTACATGACATTAAAATGTTGCATCTGACATCTTTTACTTTCATGACATCATGCTAGAAATGTGGCCTAACCTGGTATTAAACTGGACTCAATTATGTCAATTAAATGAAATGATAAGTGTATATGTATATCGATAATTAGTGTCATAAAAATAAGTAACTTTAGGATGAGTTTTTTTTATCCCTAGCATGCTATCCCCACCCTTTTAAAATATGTTCAGATTTTTAATAAAACCTTTAGGTTATTCCAGATTCTTGTAGTCAGAGCTCCACACAAATGAACCACTGGCTCTCTGCAAGAACAAACTCGTATGAAAACGCTTCATGAACTGGTTGAAGGGTGCTACAACAGAAAGTGACTCTATAATGTTATTTTTAAAAAGAGTAATTACAGTTGTTTGTTGAATTGGATTTCCCCCACCACAGGTTTTTATCCTTCATATTGTCCACAAATGTGACAAGTATTCACAGTGTGTCCTGGTGTGTGTGTTTGCACAGGTATTACCTCTTGGCTCTGCTGTTGAACCTGGTGCGGGACGTGTACGAGCTGCGGCTGCTCATGGAGAGTGAGAGTCGCTGTCGGGCGTCTAAAGCAGAGGGGGCGGAGCCAGAGCAGGGGTCCGGGCTTCAGCTCATCCTCAGCGTCTTCCAGCACAACCCTCCGCTGCTGCTTGACCTGCTTAAGAACACTTGTGACGTCTTCATCCCTCTGGACCGCCTGGGACTGCTCTCCACTGGCCCAGGCTTCGTGGGAGCGTGTGGCCTGACCTCCTCCGTGCTCGCCATCCTCACCATCATGCACCCCTGGCTCAAACTCAAGCCTTGAGGAGAAGCGCTCGGAGACGGTTTACTGATGGACACAGTGAAGCCTAAAAGTGAAGGGCTCATGGGGGAAGTTCTGCTCCTGCCGCCTTTGGCTCTATTCACTTTCATGTAAACTCCTCTCACTGGTTTCATTCACTAAGCCTGAAAATCGCTCGCCTAACACAATCTGATGAATCGGATATTGTTCGCTCGTGCACTTTAACTGTGAGATTCCTAGTAACGATGTAAATAGCAGGAAACAGCCATGATTATATTAGAAGTGTCTGTATTTGGAGTATTTAGGCCACAGTCCCTCTGCACGGTGAAGCTGTATGAAAATCAAATTCTCAAAGTTACAAGAAGTTGTGTGAAAAAGTGTGTTATACAGTATGGATAACAATTACAGTTCCAAAGTGCGAGTGCCAAGGCAAAGGTACGAGACGGTGTCACAGGGCTCAGCGTTCAGGGCAGAGCGGTTTGAGGCGGAGCTTGAAGAGAGTCTGTATTGTTCACGTTCTTCATATTCTTATGCTTTGTAAACAAACTCTCTTACTGTTTGTCGCTCTCACTTTGGGATTCTAATGTTCAGGTTTATTCGCTCTCATCCTGGTGTTTATGTCGGCTTTGACCAATCGGGTGCCCGCTGTCCCTGAATTCTGTTTTGAGCAGTGGGAACAACCTCACTGCTGATCAGGCTTTCGGTTGCTTTGAGAAAATATGAATCCAGAATCAAAAATGCTAGTTCTAGGAAAATCCAATTGCTCCACTTGTCTCTGTGGTCAAGAGAAACATGTTGGACTATAACTGGCTTAACGTTCACTTAAATATCCCATTCAAACGAACACTATTGATCTAATGGTTTCTGAAAGAAAGAGATTTACAGATGTGGTTCTAAAGAGGTGGCTGTTTGTGATATTTTATAGATTTGTTTGTTACTTTAGCATCTTATTTGAACCTCAGCTGTAAGGTTGAGTTATTTTAGAAAATAAACTAAAGCCTGATAAACTGTTTATCATTGCCCATGTTTGAATGCAATTTGACCAATTTAACCAATAAAAACATTTAATTTTTCAATTGAATGTTTAATGTTTTTGGATTGTATCATCAGCAAACAGCAGCAGTAATGTCTTCAGATTCTAAGATTTTTCACTGAAATATCCTCTGCCCCCAGAAGCATCCGTTTGTCGTATTCAGGGACGTACAAACACAAACGATTCTGTATATCTCAACATGCAACTTATGTCACCTTTAAATGTACAAACGAATACATAGTGACTTCTTTGAATAGAGAAAAGCAGTATCTGGGACGCTCTGGGATATCAGCAGGAACTCAGTGTGACAGGTCTCAATTGCCTTAATACTTTCAGGTCCTTAGATGTTTGACGTTCTCAAACATAAACCGCAGCAGATAAAACCTGGAGCAGTCTCTGGTCTTTCTCTCCCTCTTGTGGTCCAACGGTGACAGTCTTGTTCTGTTTAAAGCCGTGTAAGTACTGTACACTAAAGTCCGTTATTTAAAGAGGACTAGGCCTGTTCAAATGGCCGTTATGCGCTTTGTCAAATAGCGGGTATTCTCTAAATACAAGATCCTACTTCATTCTGGGTACTTTTATGCTAGTTTGCATAGTATTGTGGCAATACAGAATAGATTCTAACGACCATTACATTTGATTGCTATTAAAAGGAATATATTTGAATACTAAAATTAAATGTTTGCTGTAATTGAAATGTTCAAGTGACTAACCCTTTTAAAAGCAGTGAGGCTCAGAACATGATCATAGATCCTCATTCCCCTTCCTCCCCAACATAACAGCGAGCAATTGTACTGACGAGTTGAACTGTGATGTTTATGTACTATAAAATGTCTATATCAATCTTTTCTACGCATGTATTGCTATTAACCTTCTGCTTAAAGACATTTCCCCCATTAAACAGACCTATAGGTTTTTGTGAGTAGTAAATCAGTCGTTAAAGTCCATCTAGAGTTATAGTTCATATGAAGCTAAAAAGTTCAGCTTATGTCTTTTTGTGGAGCGACCAAGAAAATAGCAATAATCCAGGTTAAGTTAAAAAAAAAGACTTTATTAAAATCACCAACTTCACCGACAAATGTAACAAATCAAACAAATAGCAATTAAAACATGTCCAAAAAAAAGTATTGCAGCTTGTGTGGCAGTCACTCCTGAGTCTCCATGGTCTCGTCCTCTCCATCCCCTCCCTCCTCCAGGGCTTCGTCTTCCTCTTTCCGCTCGGGGGGCTTCTCATACGCCTTCTCTGACGGGGTCACGATCACTCCATCCCACGTGGACATCTCTGAAGCCAGGTCTGCACACACCACATACATTTCTTAAAGGACGCTCTTCTGAACATGCTATAGCTTTAATGACTTATGAATCTACGCACATCAGAAACTGCATCAGCCACTGCCTAAATTAGAGGTTCCAACCCACCGCAAAGCATGCTTTAAACAGACCCGATGGCCCCTCCTTTTGTCTCCGCCGATCCAAAACCGGCATTAAGTAGGAGTCAAGGTTTCAAATTTCAAGACAACCAATTCTAGTAGCAGCACAAAGAACATGTGCAGTTCATCCACAGAAGAGACAACTTTTTTAATAAACACTTATCAGGCCAAATATACTTGAATCATAAATGGAGAGAGTATGGCACTTATCCACTCTTCACAAGGAAACACGTAGAACACAAATAAGTGTTCCAATAGTCCTTGATTGTCTACGCACTTCAATAGTCAAAGAGGCGAGTGACGTGCTGCTAAGTCCAGTGGACGTCTGACAACTCGCCTCCGTATCAGAGCGACTGAAGGATGTGAGCGTGGACTGCACAGTTACCATTTAACCCACATACTCAACATCCCACATTGGGCCTTACTTATTCAAAGACCACGTCGATGCATTTTAGCAGTGCTGATTGATTCATACAGTTCAGTTTGATTTAATCCTTGGACATTAGTAAGTTTATTCATATAGCGCCTTTCACAGACCAGAGTAACACAGAACACTTTACGATTATAGTGGGCATGTGTCCTCTCACTCCACAGTGATGGGAGTGAGGTCGCCATGCAGGAGGCGCGGACCTATTATACATGTAGTAATAATGGGATCCTGCTTGGAATTTGCTTCTAGTTTAGATGAATAGTACTGCCCTCCGTTGTCCTGATGAGTATATTATTCACTAATGACCAACACAATGAAAGCCTGCAGGAGGCGTGAGTATGAAAAAGCATGAGCAGTCTTCATGTGATCTGACAGAATACTTACAGCTAGCATCTCCCTCCAGACCCAGGATCTTTCTGTAGCCTCCATGAGACAGGACTCGGACCAGAGTCTGAGCAGTGAAGCACACCATGTCCTGCACAGACACAGATAAATAGGTAAACGCATTATGTATGTAGTACTAAGTCTGTTTAATTTTGAATTAGCTGGAAACGGCAGCAAGTCCTGAGAAGCTCTGTAACAGTTGTTTTGTTTTTTGCTGAAGCAGTGTTCATGGTTTGCTCCGATCTGGACCAGTGCAGGAGAGGATTCATGCTAAATGATAATGAAGAATTTAGCATTTTACTTTGGACCAGAGCAGAGAAAATGGCCCGAACCCAGCGGCTACTCCACCTCTGCTGCTGTGACCTGAAGGGCTGTTGCATTTTATTATTACTATTGTTAGTGTTTGACCAATTTATTTGCTTTGTTTTTGCGGATAGATGTGTGTTTGCTGCTACTGGACACCTGAATTTCTCCCACGGGGATCAATAAAGTATCTACATCTATCGAGTAGAAGGGCGTCAGGAACGTCCCCACACTCACCTGCTGCTCCAAGGTCATGACTGTGTGGACTCTGAAGTTTCCGCTCTCACATGGGTCTGTGATGCCCACAGAGCCGGGGAGGAAGAGGCCTGCAGCCAGCATCTGCAAGCAGCGTCTACAAAACAGGGATGGTGCATTCAGAGACTATCCCTTTCAAAAGCAAACTCCCACTTCCTCCACTGTCACACAAAACTCTCTTCATGCAAACATTCCATTTGGATACACTGGCTGATCATGCAACCATTAATCCCTCCCTTTGTCCCTCTTTTTATTTATTCTCTGCATTTGCCCAAACTATTTATTTACATATGACTCTGCTCTACCAGCCAGGTCACCTCACACACCCTTTCTCTCAACTGTTACATCCTATCCTTCCTGACCACATCTATCATACTGCAACGTTTCATTTCAAATTCATTAAGATTTCTTCTTCACTTTCTTTCATACTCCATGTTTCCGCACAACCACCCTCTCATACAAACACTTCTTCACCTTTACATTCTCACCTCTCGCTCTTTTCACAGCACAACTTTGCCACCCTCCGTCCTCCTGTGTGCAACCTCTTTCACATCCACTTCAAGCTTCAAGCAAACATTCAGACCTCAGCACTTTACTCTTCGAATTTCAGCATCAGATCCATCCACGGCAGACGCTTTACCCTCTTTACCGCATCTCTTCCTCCTCATTGATACTTGACGATTCAGGTCATCCACCCTCATCACTAATGACATTCTCATTGTCATCTTTTACCGTTTTTTTCCCTATAAACTTTTCACTCACCATCCTTCACCATCTTTCCTCTGCCCTACATTTCTCCACTTCAATTTCTCTCCGCCTTGTGTGGCTCATACTTCTCTACAGTCTTCTTTCTTCCATCTGCCTCTTTCACTTTTCTCCCCCATTCACTACCTTTTCTGACTTTCTCACCCACTTTTTATCTACCACACATTTTCCTTGCTGCGCGCTAAAGCTTTTTTGAATTTCCTCCACTCAGCTTCCGCACTTTCAATTATAATAATAATAATGATAATAATAGAAATATAAAATGAAGAAACTCCAGAAAAGCCCACATAGATTCAATCTTGCATCATCTCCATGTTTCACTGAAGTCAGAGCCAGTGCAGCGGACTCACCTGTACGCCACGTTGAGGGACAGTGGTTGTCTGGACGGGTTGTTCATCACAGCAGAATGACCCTACAACACAAGCCGCACTTGGTCAATAGCCGCACGCGCACACACAGCAGTGATGGGCACGTACCAGCAGATCCAGGATCCAGGGCGTGAGTGGCTCAAAGCCGGGGAAGCGCAGCCGCATGTCCTTGAGCAGCCGGATCAGCACCTTCACCCTGACAACAGAAGGACGTCAGGACTCCTGTCTGGATTCTAATCTGAGTCAACGTGCCTCTGGGACTGGGCCGTTTTATGAATTGTAGGGCAGTGTGTAAAGTGAGTTCCAAAATATACATTAAGATAAATATTGATAACACTTTGATTTGATACATTGATTTTAATTATTATTGCATTAATTTTTCATGAGTCATGCATTAACTCAAGAACATACTGCAGCCTGTTCCTACAGGGCACATCTCTACATCACAATTTTGGAAACAACCACATATGATGATATTCCTTTAACCGGAATATTTTCTTTCCATATTTTCTTCAATCTGTTCATGTTGAACAGCAATGGACAATGTCACACTGTTTTGCTATTACTGTATTTTTCCCAATGCCAAGTCAAATGAAACGTAAATCTCATTAGATTTGCAGGCTCTGCCATATTCTCAGACTTAGTACTTTCCTGATGATGCTTGAGCCAAAACTTACGTTGACTGCGAGGCGTTTTCTTCAAACCAGCGGGCATGACGGATGGCAGCCAGGGCACTCTGGAGAACCTTGATATCCACTGAAACAATAGGAGACAGAAATCCTCTACCATTACTGAACAAAGATGAGAAAGTGTGGACATTTATCAGCTAAAAGACTGCCAGACATTTCTCTTCTTTACTGAGAGAGAAATTTTATTTATCCAACAGCAGCAAAATGATTCAATTCACAACATGATAAACTGTATAATATACTGTAAAAAGTCTTTTTTCCATTCACCATCAAAATATTATAAATTACTACATATTTTCCAAATATTACCCAAAAAGTTTAATTCAGATAGAAAAAAATGGCGACAGGTACAGGGCCTAATCAGGTGAATGACTTTCATAGATTGTGTTAACAAATAATCATTTGTTTTAAGTCTTTTCTGTCTGTACATCCAAACATGGATGTACAGAAAAAGATGTAGGACTGTAACTAACAATTTTTTTGTTAATCAATTAGTTATCCAGATCCCAAAAGGTCAGACAAACTGGGATTATTTTTGTACCTTGGACCAAAACAAAGTGATGCCCTTGAGGAACATCTTCAGAGACTACTTTGGGTCGTTAGAGCCTTAATCACTGCTCCCCAGTGAGACGAATAAACGATTTCTTCACCTTAAACTGATTCGACAGAGTGTTGCTAATCTCAGCTCGGATGGAACCAAACTGCTTAGAAGACAAGGAACTAATTACATTAATTTAATTAGAGTTCCTGGTTTTTATGGTTCAAAAGTTAGGTACCCCAGCTTTAATTTAATAAACGTGTCGACATGCAAGAGGCTGGGAGCCTGTGGGGGTTCTTACGGTGGAGCTCGGGGTCCAGTTTGCGCAGGTTTGGAGGAACCGTGGTGATCAGGATCTTGACCGTGGCGTCTGCAGAGCTGATCTCGAAGCCGGTGTCGTTGGTGAGCATGGAGAGCACTGCCAGGATAAACACGCTGATCATTAAGTGTATTCAGGCTTTATGACCAAAACTACACGAACAAAGAAAAGAATCAATCGCAGAACCAATCATCTCATTGTTGATAGGAAATATATACACATAAAAAGATGCCAAATCTATACACACACAATCTATAAATACATTTTGATTTGATTAATTTGGAACGACAGCACAATCTAAGTAGCTCTGATGCAGTTGTGCTTTACATAAGAGAACATTTGCTTTAAAATTAGGTATGACATGCCGTGGTAGTATTTTTGCTGGATGGGGAGAGTTTAGGGCCAATATCAGATTTGTCTAAAAATATAACAAATTAAAAGGAGCTATATGTAACAATCTGGCCAAAAGTGGTACTGCAACCACGGTCGTAATTCTGTAGTCCTCTCCCTGGTTGCCGTACCACAATATCTGAATAGATTAACCATGCATCTTCACTTTCAGATGCTATTAATGTCACCAACACTATACAACAGTCTCCTCATTAGCAAACATTGTGAAGAAATATTGCTACAGTATTAATTTATTCATCAAGTTATCCACTACAGTCTATGCTATCCACTCAAAGCTGTCAAACCATGGAGGCGCGTCAAAATGCTCGAAACCAAAGGCCAGGGCGAGTTCTTGCAACTTCACAAGTTTGTCATTTCATATCAACCTGCTCCCTGATGTGCTAGAAACGAACTGATGATAATGAACCCACACAGATATGAATAAAAAACATTGTGAGCAGCATGTGGGGGAAGTGCAGCGATACCTTCAGTGGGGTCCTGAGCTCGGAGAGTCTCCACCACTTTGTTCCCCAGCGCAGCTACAGCCTCCACTGGGAATAATAAAACATCAGCTGAACAAATCATTTATTGTAGCTGGTTTCCAAGTGTTTTATTATATTTAATCCTCCTCCATTAGAATATGATACGGCAGTTATGTTGGATTGTGTGTGAGGCACTTACATGTGGGGAGGATCTTGAGAATTACAACAAGATCTGCAACATTGTGTCCAGTGGTCATTGTTCCCTTCTTGTAGGATCCAACCTGACGCACTTCTTCAATTTGCTGAAAGACATTTAACATGAGAGCCTTCCTTCACATACGGTTACAGTTACATACTGTGTGTTACTTACCACCTCGAAGTTTCCCGGTGCCACTATGAGATTGTCAATGACATTATTGATCTTAGTGACCAGAGACAAGATGGACGACTATAAGGGTGGAAGAGAAGAGAATGAGTATTTGGCTCTGGACACAGGGCACGACTCGGCGCTCTTACCTGCTCCACTGGAGTGGGGCTCAGATCCTGGTTTCTTTTCAGCAGACATTCACTGAAGGCAGTCTCGTCAGGGGCAGGTTTGACGCGAGGGAAGGCCATCTCACACTGAAAGAGCAGCACCACAATCTACTTAAGAACAACTTTGGCAACGTTTAGGTGCTACGTGTGTCATAGAAGTTGTAGTCCTGGACTGTTTTATGTTTCTATCTATTTTACGTATGCAATAAAAACTAAAAACTAAAAAGGGAATTGGGTGCAGCTCTGACTCCCCCTGAACCAGTACGGATTAACGGAAGAAGATGTATGGAATTAGAAACATGTATTGATCTACACTATCTTTTCTTCATACATTATCTTGAGAAGCTCAGTGGGTGAAATGTATTTTTTCTCGAGTAGCTCCAATCAAGTTTATAATAATCAACGATTATCAACAGTCATTTTAAGGCTCTTTGGTTAATCTCTTCGTGGGCCAGAAACTTGGACTTGCATGAAGATGAAATATTAATCATGAAGTCTGACATTTGTGGATCGCATTACACCACTAGGAAATTCTAAAAGAAAATTTCAGCTCAAAAATATGAAATTAAAAAGAGTGCTCACAATGTGAATCATTTGTTTTTCATACTCACCACATAGAAATCAAAGGGAATGTGTGGGACAAACGGCCGATACCTGAAAGCACAGATAACAAAAAAGAAAGGAAAGAAAACAATGTTATCGTCTTGTGTTTATTGTAGTTTTTTGTTTTGCTTTTGTTCTCACGGTTTTTTATATTTATTCTATGTTCAAATAAATATAAACATGTATTTGTGATGTGCTTCTCAATCTGGGCTAAAAAAAACATTCCTGTAATATAAATTAGGCCATTTCCCCTGGCTGAGCTCAGAATTATTTTCCGTTTACAATTTTAAACCATATTGAATTAAAGAGCTCAAAGTCGAGCAAAGACAACTAAAGTATGTCACTAGACAGTAACCAATAAAAATCTAATGTCTCTTCAAAAAAGGTCATGTGATGGAGTTTGAGCATAGCAAGTTTCTCTTAATTTTCCTGTGTTTAATAACATTCAGACACAGGTGATGAGCAGTAGGTATGGTTTAAGTTTAATAAAGAGAAAGAACCCATCTCTAATGAAGACAAGAGAACAAACTGAGTACTTATGCTGTAGAAGTACTCACCCCTGCACCAGTCCTCCTCGTGCCCCGAAGCGGCCACCCCGGCCTCTACCACGATCACCTCTGCATCAAACAGAAACATTAGACACTCATCAACAATACAAAATCCCACACAAATAAAAGGAGCATGATGTTCTGGAAAAGCAAGATGGCCGCTAGAGTTGCCACAGAAATCCTGCATGCTCTAGTCCATTATGTTCCCATTCAAAAGAAAAAACATTAGGAACTATAATCACTGTGCTCACTCATGAGAAACATACGGAACGAGCTCTGTCCTCCTCGGCTTCAAAGGACAGTGGTGATGATCCAGGACTCGAGATTCAACAACGTTATCCTTGTTGAGCAGTGAAGTCCTTGCACTGGCTCCCCATCTCACACAGAATCAAAATAAAATCCTAGTGCTGACATTTAGGGCTCTTCATGGTCAGGCACCTGAATACATCCAGGGCCTGATCCACCTCCTCCAACAGGAGCCTGAGGTCCTCCACTCAGAACCTGTTGATGGTCCCCCGCACTCGCTTTAAAACCAGAGGAGACAGATCCAGGCAGTTGCTCCTCACCTTTGGAATGAGCCTCCCCAGGGTCTGCGCATGTTTGAGACTGTTGATGATTTTAAGTCCCAACTTCAGACCTATTTGTTTAGACAGGCTTTCTTGCCTCACTGTTCATAGTGTTTCTGTGTTTTTGTTTTTAAATCTGACTTGTATGTGTATTTTATGTGTTTTATTGTGTGAAGTGATTTGTGATCCTGGTCTGTGAAAGGCGCTATACAAATAAACTTTACTTTCTTACTTATGGATTTTATCAACACATATGGACATTGGTCATCCACTCGTTCCTTATGGACCAATGGCTCTATGCTCTATTTTTTAAATCACTCAATGTCTTATGTTTGATCATATCTGTATTGGTGAAGTCCTCTGCGATAACTACCGTTTTGATTCAGGGAAATACTCAAATAAATTTAGTTAATTGACATTTAAGTTACATACAATAAAATACCGCAATACAATGCCGGTCAACGCGTAACACTTCAATAATCAGAAATGCCTCAGCATGTTAGATATCCAATCTCGTACACAGAGCTAACATCAATCATAGCAGTGCAGCTAGCTTCATTCATTAGCCTGAGAGCTAGCTAACACGGAGCAGTGCTAACAAAAGCCGTGCTAACGCTAAGCCTATCCCCCAGCCCCCCGTGCAGTGAAGCCGGCCAGCGAGGCACATGGCATCGGGGACACCTCACCTCATTGCGTAAGACGTTTTGAAGACTTTCTGTCCAAACCGTACGAGAGAAATAGAAGACACTGGATGAGAGACGCTGGTGTGTTCTACTTCCGGTCTGAAGCGGAAGAGGAGGAGCCCGACAGTGGCACTTCCTGTTCTCATGGCTAAACCATCATGGATCTGTAAAAATATCTGTAGTAACAACCATAGACTGCAGATTTGTCTTTATTAATGAACTGTTTTATTGTATGAATCAGCAATTGAGCGACTTTCCCTTGACGGATTAATGCATGTGGTTTGTACTTAATGGTGAATACATTTTACGTGTACACAATCTGGACAATAAATATTTGAATGTTCTCTCTTTTTTGTCTGATCACTCAAGAGAAGTAGAAGAAATGCATAAATGAGTGAATGTAATGTTTATTATTATTTGTCTCTTGTGTCTTTTAGATTAATAAATAGATTGAATGATTATAACCACAATTGGGGCCCCTATCTGGTTTACATTTAATTAATGACGTCTTCTAGCTCAAATACTTCAGGCATAGGTTTTTACTGATATTATTTATTTTATTTATTGATACGGATATATGTTAAACTGCATAGTTTATCAGACCCTTTCGGTTTTGTATTCCTTTATTATTTATTCTTTATGTTTTATTTTGTTTTTTTGTATGTTGTTGCAATTCACTTGAAGTCCCTTGCCAAGGACCGAATCTGATATTATGTGGATTGTTGTTTGTTTACTATTACTTCTTGAAAAAACTAATAAAGTTCAAGTCATTAAAAAAAATTTTTGTCTCTTGTGTGGATGCATTATATATGTTGTTTATTTACATTTTTTTTAAAGGAAAATTAATATAGCGCCTTTCTATGGCAAAGAGCTACAGTTGGCTCAAAGAATGAATATTACGCATACATTTTAGTCATGGAAAATGACTATTTAGTCAAATGATATCGTCCTTGGAAAATACATGGTGAAACAAGTGTCAAGGGTTAGAATAAAATGTGCCTGTTACTTGCTAAGAAGTACAGATGATGGGTGAGAAACCTTCCTTTGCTGTGCCTGTTATTTGTTTTTTTCTAGACATGCCATTTTTCGATCAATGCCATCATTTCACCAGAGAAATTGTCCAAATTAATTAACTCATATTATCTTTAATACAACAAACTAGTCCAAAGTACAATCCAGAGTTTAACATCTTCCTTTTTATTAGTTCTGTAGTCCTCTGTGCATCTGTCACAGTCTATTCATTGGTTTCAGTTTTCTGGTACTATGTCACAATTTAAATTATTTTTTTTCCTTAAGAATCTTCTATTCTTAAGATGTTTTAAATGAGTCCTGAATTGTCATGATTTTGAAACCAATGTATAGAGAGTGAAAACAGTCGTATAGTTGAACAGAACATCCTGGGCTACATAAAGGCCTACTTTTACATTTATCCATAATCGTACAGTGATATTACATGGATACATCATACTAACACCATTTGATAAAAGATGCCATATTATACAGCTGCAATCATTCCACATTTGTCACGTGTGTGTGAGCTCCGTGACTCGTGCAAACATGAATCAGTGCCATTAGCTCCAGATTGTTGTCATTCTTTTGGGGAAATAAATGTGGTTAAACTGTTGATGAAAATGAGTCCCGTAGAATGTGGATGAAATCAACTTGCAACCTTCAAGTGAATAAAATGTAAAAATTAAAGTCATTATTTGAACCGTCAAACGTGCTACATTCCAAGCCCCACACTTTGAGGACCATCATCATGATTTAAAAAAGGCTTTTTGGTTTTCAAGCCATCAGAATCTTTTGGTGCTTATTTTAGCTGGTATTTTAAGAATTAACCTGAAAACATCGACAAATCACATAAATAAATAGATATAGAAAGAAAATAGATAAGAAGAAAGAAAATAGATATAGGGAAGGATGTTGCATAATTGTAACCAAGGGTGCTATACAGGGTTAGGGCGACAAAACTGTACTTTGATCTGAAAGTAGTAAGAAACCTTAAAACCATGTCTATCAGTGAAGATTCATATTCAGCGTTGTGAAGGATTCAAGCAAGTTCAAAAGTTTGACAACATTTTGTACTGAATAAAACTTTATCTGGACTCTGTGACTTTTCTGTGATCGTAGCAGGAACGTGGAGCGTTCAGGGCTCAGGAGTGATGACCTCGATGGGCTCCACCTGCGGCTCTGTGGGAGGAGTGGAGAGCTCCTCCACCGGCTCCGAGTCCACTTCAGTCACCACCACTGCCACCTGCTGGACATACACATATTTAGAGACAACGTCAAAATGAACCCGTAGAACGCCGACATAAATATATTTGTTGAAAAAATATATCTGTGCTATTTTTTGGTCATGGAGATGGATAAGAAAAAGATTTTTGAAACGCAGCATTCACTGACCAAATTTGGCAATGTAGCATATTTGCGTCATTGGGTTCTTCGGCACATAATATAGTCATGAACAGTTATGTTATGGCAAAAAATGTTTTGCCATAACCTTTGAAGTTTATGTTGCATATTTGTACTGGAGGTGCCATGGGGTTAAGACAGTACATAATTAAAATAAGTGGAATCAATCAAATCAAGTATATGTATATAGCGCCTTACAAACAGCCGCAGGAGGCGCTTCACCAACTGAAGCTGAAACTGGCTACGTGAAAATCACAACAACAAATTATCCAGTGTTAAAAGGCCACGTGTCAAAATCTTGTCTGAAGTTTCTCTAAAGCTGCATCTTGAAAAGAAATGGCAGACTGCAGATGAGGGAGAATTGAATCACAACCTGCACCAGTACTTGCAGTGATGTGTTAGAGATAGTCTGGAGCGAGACCATCAACAGTATTTTAATGTCCACCCTAAGTGCACTGGGAACCAGCAGATGGAGTTCAGGACTGGGCTGATCTGTGAGTGCTTTTGAGTTTAGGCGAGAAGGTGAGCTGCTGCATGCTGGCCAGCAATGACAACTGTCTGTTATTTTTAGTCTGGGCTGTGATTGACAAGCGAGATGTCAATCACAACCCAGACCACGTCCAACTCAAAGCCCCTCAAAGCTGGTCCTCCGGGCAACGTCCTTTTCAGAGAGAATATTCAACTGTTCATGTGGCCGGAGTAAGGCTGGGCACTGATGTTTAGTTTCCCTTTAATAAAATCTGTTACCTGCATCTTTGGGTCCACCATTCAGTTTGTCCTCACAGTTACTATGTGTCCGACACCCAGTATTTAAATGGTTGTGTTTTCAACTAATCTACATTGAACATATCACCATACTATCTAACCAAAAGGAGGCCAATGGCCAATTATTCATTTTTTTTTTGTGGGGGAAAAGAACTGTGATACATAAAAAAAAAAAAATATACATATATATATATATTTTTTTTTTTTTCTGTTATTCATGGATAATTATTCATACACACACCAGACTCATATGAATGTATTAGAGTAGTACAGTAGGCCATGTAGTATTTACTCCTCCCACTTAAAAAGGTGCGAGATTCCTATGATTTCTATCAGAGGTTTATTTCAACTATGAGAGTCAAAAGGAGAAAAGATAATCTTGAAAATCTCAAGATTTTAAAAGAATACATTTGCAATTTAAGTTTATGGGATTGCGCTAGCCACTAAACATTTGACTAATATATTGGCACACTACAACAGGAAGGAGCACTTTTCTATTGCTCAGAAAACTCAGAAAGCAGGTGTTCTCATCCTGCACTTGCACTGCCGTCACAGGCGCAGAAGATGGAGCCTGGAGGAAATATAATATATTTCTTACAAACACAGCTGTCTCTGGTGCAGGCCACATGTAGCTCTCCACACTGCTCCCAACAGGACCACGTGTTTCTGTGATCTGTTATTCCATAGTCTGTGATTCTGCAGCTCTGTTCTGTGCAATCTTTTCTCTGTTCTCAATCAGACACTCCTCTATATCTGTGTCTGTGATTTGCACAAAGTAACTGTATTTTAAATGCTGCCAAAAGAAGAATGAAGTGTATCTGTGTTCTGAATACATTCTCAGTCATAATGTTCTCCCTCACACTGCACATGGACAACGCCACGAATGTTGTAAGATCAGAAGAAACCATTTAGTCTCTGTGTGTTGTCTGGGACTGTAGTGAACATTAGACACCTGGGATGGACTGGCCTGGAGTGGACTGGCCTGGAGCGGACTGGCCTGGAGTGGCGTAGCTGGGCTGGTGGACACAGCGGGGGCAGGAGGAGGCCTTGTCTGTGGGTAAACCGGCCTCTGGGATCCAGACTGCAGGACACACATGTAAACACATTCAGAGATTAAAGATGGGGCAGTGGGAAGTATATCTATTTGATGATGTAGATGCGTTGTAGCAACGGCCACATAATGTTGGGTCTGAATGTGTGTGTGTGGTATACAAACGTATGTGGACGGTTTATAAGTATTAGATGCGGGGTTTACAAGCAAGGGAGCGCGCATGGCCGGTGATTGAGATATAGGCAGGCAGGTGTGTGCGCGCGGCCCGTGGCGTCCCTGCTCCAGGCGCAGACAGGGGAAGAGGCGACTGTCTGCTGTGGGAATTGACGTGTTTCCAAGGACTGTTCCAGGGATTTGGAAGGGTTGTCCTCCTCCAAACACGTGGACCAGCAAGAACTGTCGTCTATACCGGTGAGATCTACCCATTATTGTTTTTTTTACGCGTGCATGTTTTAATCTGTGCCGGCACGAAGACGCGCGTATCTCTCCAGATAAACTTCCTTTTTTTTGCTTTACGTACAGGACAAGTGGCTTTCGGTTGCGGAAGATCCCAGGATTCCTTTGCATTTTGGATTAACTACAGACTTTTCAGCCGGGTTGGGAGCGTGCCTGTGCCGTTTGTTCGGGACATTAAAGGGGACCTATAGTGGATTTTTTTATTTTTGTTTTTTGTATCACTGTGATATCCTAATATAATTTGGAGCAAAAGAGGAACTGTCTAGCTATTTGATTCTTGCATTACACTTCAGATTACTGAACAGCACGTTGTTTAATCACGAACTCAGTTATTATTATATGATTGGTAATTTCTTACATACTGCGTGAGTGTTACAGCATTACACTACTTCGAGTTACTTCACACGCTGTTAGATAGAGGTCCCTCAAACATCTGCGTCTGTTATGTATATTTGTGAAAGTGTACATTTATTGTGAATATGCCCAATTTAACCATGAAGGCACAGAAATTGAATTGTAAAAACGTAATTTCACTTTGAATTAAATTATGGGCAATACCTTTATAAAAAAAAAAACACGTCAGGACTGAGACAGGGGCTTTTAAACAAAAGGGGCAGATCTACATGTTCCTTCCACTATATAAATATATATATAATACTGCAGACATTCTTCAGGGACTTAAAGAGCAAAATCCTTCATTATTTGTCCATCTTAGCTCGTACATGTTATAGAATGTGAAATTAAAACATTTAAATTCATTTTGAGGGGTGACAGTAGCTCAGTTGGTAGAGCATTGGCCTTAAGGCCAGAAGGTCGTGGGTTCAATTCCCACCTCTACACCTTCTCCACCGACTCCCACTGATGACTGCTGTTGTTGTGTCCTTGGGCAAGACACTTAACCCCACTTTGCCCAAAGCCCCCACTGAAAGATCAAGGCTATGCTCACACTCAGAGAGCAGCCGTCCTCCTGTGGACTCACCACCTGCAGAGGGTCAGTGAGGGGCTGGTGCTATGAGACTTGGGTGGCATCTCTGACTGCCACCCCCCTGACCCAGAAATGGATTAAAGGGTAGAAGATGGATGGAAATTCATTTTTGTGATTATTCAATTACAATAATTGTAATTAAAATGTGGCATCATTACCTCCGCCAGGGGCTTATGTTTCCATAGAGTTTGTATGGACTTATGTTGGTTGTTATCTTTTTCTTGTATCATCAGTGTCAGGCTGAGCACTTGGCCGCATGACACTCATAATAATAACAATTAAATGTCTACGGTTCTGTAATGTGCACTGCAACACTGACATTCACTGGAATGAAAAAAGGTTCTCTTATCTATGTCTTTGTTTGTGTGCAGACAGTAGGATCATAGTAAGCTCTTAAAACAATAAAAACAGCAGTAATGACATTAGAATGTGGATGGTCTGACCTGGCGCCCCCCTGCGGCAAGCACACTGAGGCCAAAGAGCATGACTGTGATGCAGACGAGCAGCTCCAGCACCAGGAAGATCACTAAGGTTCCCAGGATCCCATCGATGAGCAGCTGCAGAGGAAGCCCAGAGCAAGAGTGAGCGGAGACAGAACCAAAGCCATGTCCAAACACTGAGCTGCCTAAGCATGGAGGGAAGCAGCACTTACTTTACATTTTTGCTCGATCAGCCCGGTGCATTTCCTGAAACAATGTTGCTGTAGTAGACAATAAAAAGAGACACATGGAATATGCGTCAGGCTTTTGTCACAACACAAGGGAAACGTCACAAGCCGATCATAAAGTATTAACGTGTCACTACAGAGAAAACACTGTCAGTACTGTCTGTGTGCAGTGAAGACGCAATGTGTGGCAGCGGTGGAGGACTGGAGCCCCCATGTCGACATGGATTTACATTCAGCTCTTTTTGAATGTACTTAAAGCTGGGGTACCCAACTTTCATGCCACAAAAAATGTAATGTAATCAAATTCTATCCAACTATTTAAAAGAAAATATGTATACTTTCTATATTGAAATATTGGTGGAGCAAATACAGCAGAGGGCGCTCTGGGAGGGGCCTCTGCTTTCAGGCTTAAAAAGAAGCCAGAATCACGGTTCAGGTGTGGTGCTGAGGACACCGTTTTTCTTACCGCGCTTCATGTGTTACTGTTAAAGAGCGACTAAACACCAAATCAACTTTTTTTTAAACTTGGAATGGGTTTATATAGCCAGTGATATAAACCCATCCAACTCACACACGCCCCAGGAGCAGGTTGGAGTATTCTGGCGACATCTAGTGGTTTAAAATGAAATTACATGAGTAATTCTAAGATAATTGTGTGGATTAGATTCAGGTGTGTAGCTTTACAATTATCTTGGTGTGTAAACAAGGGTGGAATGAGACTTTCTGGTCTGTAAACTATCGCTTTAAGCAGCAATGACAACTGTCTGGTTTTTTTTTTTGTGACAAGTGAGCTGTCAATCACAGCCCAGACCACGCCCAACTCTAAGCCCCCCTTCTTGTCCCTTGATCCTCCAGGCAACGGCCTTTTAGGAGAAAATGTTCAAATGTTCATGTGGGCGGAGTCAGGCTGGGCACAGGTGTTTAGTCGCTCTTTAAGGATTTAAGTTCAGTCATTTATTTGTTATTATTTTTTCTACAAATGTATTATTAAATGGATGGACATTCCAACTTGACACAAGAGTTTCACAGTTCATTATTTTATTTTAGGTATTCTTGTTTTGTTTCAAGTGACACTAAGCGCGCGTCATCTCCAGCGTCAAAGCTTTATTTCTTTGTTTTGTTCTTATGAATGCATGTGTTTCTTCTGCTACTGGACACCTGAATTTCTCCTACGGGGATCAATAAAGTATCGACATCTAATATGGGAATTCATTTTTTCTTCTTTGATAAACAATACGATACAATTTGTTTTCATTTGTGTGTTTAATCACCGGATGTGTTTCTCACTCTCACAACAGTTTGCTTCTATCATTAGTTTTTCTCATGTAGTTTTCGCTCCGTCACATCTTTTTTTCAGACAGAGAAAGTGAAATAACCTTCAGCCTATCAGCTCTCAGTCCAAGGAGTCAAATAGTGACTCACACGGCTCTTTTGGCCCTGGGCCTCGGTTTGAACCTTTTTACCTCAGAGGGTTACCTTAACTGAATGCATGTTGGCCTGGCCTCCTCCATCTACACCTGCGGACTGCCCTGCCCGACCCGCCTGGGAGTGCTTCGGTCCTGCACCGGACCTGTCCACGTTCAGCGGCCACGGGTCCACGTTCTGTAGCTAGCTTAGGTCCTAGATCATTAGCCTGTCCGTCCGGAGGAGCGGATCCCTTTCTCATATGGGTCTCCCTCCCTGTGGGTTTCCCTAGTTCTCCCCAAGGTTTCTCACTTTTTCCCACTGGGTTTTTTAAGAGTTTTTCCTTGTCGATGCAGGAGGGTCTTGTTGGACAGTTAGTGTCCAACAGAAAGGATTGGTGATGATCAGGACACTTTAGCATTCTACAACATGTATGGACATTTTCTTCTGTGTGTGCTTTATATTCTTTATGTGTTTTAACTGTTGATTCTCTGACCTGTGTTGGTGATTTCAGTGGTTTTGTTAAGTCCTCTGAGATGACTTCTGTTGTGACTTAGGGCTATACAAGAATAAATGGTATTGTATTGTATTGTATTGTATTGTTATTAGGATTAATATTTTATTCATGTCTAAATCACTGACTACTCTGGTCATTACCATTCTTTTTTAATCATGAATGCAATACTGAATACAATGAACTACAGAACACAGGGGGACCAGTAATGCAGCTCACCGCCTGATAATGTGACATCAGTGCAAAAGGTCTGTTTGATGTTGGCTGTTAAACAATAATTATTGACACATGTGTCATAATGTATCAGAACATGAAACCAGGGTCTGTGTCGCCCTCTCCCTTCACTTCAAGCCCCATCATTACTCAACACAGAGCAATCCGAACTACAACATTGTTTCAGTCGTGCACCAGGACAGACTCTGAACTGGAATCTCTGCTCAGGCCATAAATAGTTAGGTTTGGAGCATTGTCTCTGATTGTCCTAAAGTGATCAAATGGGATTGATTGATTATGTCATTCTAACTATTTGTTTTCCAATTAATAAAAAGTGCATCTTTGGTCCATTCCTTTCCTACTACATAGCAATAATGGTTTTTCCCTCCACCTTATCAGGAAAGTGGCACCGCAAACTTTTGGATACTACTTATTCTGTAGGTTCCCAGTTTCCCGGCTTCCTGTTAAATTGCACTGATAAACCTTATTTTGAGTCGTCATTTGAAGTGTCAATTGTTGATGTTTCTGAGGCTATGACTTAAAGGTACTGTGTGTAATTTTTACAGTTGCTACAAAAGAAAAAACATGTTAACCAATGACAAATATGACCTTTTTAAGAATATTTACCTCCGCCATGTTATTGAATTGTTGTCATAGTCTTAGAATTTGACTTATAAATGTCCATGTGGCTGGAAGACTCTACATTTCAATGCCCCATCTTGAAATACAGTGGTTGATAAGGGACAAAAAGGAGTTTGAGCGGGAGTTGGGGACCACTGTCAATGAAGACATATTGTCCTGTGAAGCTACTGTAGTACCGTAAATTACAATATATGTTCCACGTCATGGTGCTATGTCCCTTAGGACTTTGCTAGTGGGATATCACTCGTGACCCCCAGGTCACACGCCAGAGAGATCAAAATAATTTGCTCCAATCACCAGCCACCCTCCTCTATAAAGGCCCCTGCACACAGCCGCACCCCCTCTTTCACTCTGGCGCCGTTTGAGATCTACCACAGTACTTACTTCATTCTGAGATGTCTTCCTTGTTCGTCCAAGTTCCCTTCGCCCTCCGGCGTCGGACGTCATCGCTGGATCCAAACGGTGGAGGACTTCACCTCTGTGGGCGCCACCACTCGAGGGAGGAGGAGCATACAACCCACGTTGTGCCCGCGGATGGACCCGTTCGTCCATTACGCGACACGTGAGTGGCCAAAGCCCCTAGCAGCCAAGAGGCCTGCTCTGGGGTACAACTTGTACTGCAGCGTGCAGGACTGGTCTTGGACCGGTGATCGAGGATTCAGTCCGCATGGCCCTGCAGCCCTCCGCATCCGTGTGGCCCGGCACCAGACCTCTCCTTCCCTCCGAGCGGGACAGGATGTCTTGCCGATGCTGGATAGATGTTAGGCCAATGCGGCACAGGTCGTCGCATTGGCTAACAACATGGCATTCATCACGGGGGCCCTGGATAGGTCGCTCTCCTCTGGCCAGGCGCTCAGTGGAGACCTGCTGTCACAGGCGAGGACCACCTCGGCGGCGATCCTGCGCATGTGCCAGACGCTAGCCGTGGATGGTGGCCCGGACACCGAGGATTCAGTCCGCATGGCCCTGCAGCCCTCCGCATCCGTGTGGCCCGGCACCAGACCTCTCCTTCCCTCCGAGCGGGACAGGATGTCTTGGCGATGCTGGACAGATGTTACGCCAATGCGGCACAGGTCCTCACATTGGCTAACAACATGGCATTCATCACGAGGGCCCTGAATAGGTCGCTCTCCTCTGGCCAGGCGCTCAGTGGAGACCTCCTGTCACAGGCGAGGACCACCTCGGCGGCAATTCTGCGCATGTGCCAGACGCTAGCCGTGGACGGTGGCCGCTCCATGGCTGCAGCCCAAGTCGGGGCCAGGCACCTTTGGCTTGGGCTGGCTAATATCAGGGAGGCGGAGAAGAGGCAGCTGCTGGACCTGCCCATCTCTCAGACGTCCCTCTTCGGCCCGGACATGCAGGCCCTGGTGGCGAGACTGGAGTCTGCAGCCAACGACTCGGCTAGGCTAGCCCCGCACCTAGCACCGAGGCGCGAGGCCCACCAACCATCACGGAGCCGGGACAGAGGCAGAGAGCGTTCGCCCGGGAGGCATCCTGACCCGTATCCGCGCTCTGTTGTCCATCGTCCCCCCTCGACGAGGCCCCCGGGTCCAGACAGACCCACGGGTGGCTCGCGGGAGCAACGCACCCACCGCCGACCTCCCTATGGCAGAGGAGGTTGGGGTGGAAAGTTTTCCTTCAATAAAGGCCGACCGGCATTTCATCATTACTCGTTTCTGAGTCTCATTTGGGGGTATGTAACATGTCAAATAATCTTGTGAATTCTGATTGTGTTACTTCTTGAGCACATAACGTTGCTTCGCTAGGCCTGCAGCCCCCAGAGCAGGGTTTGCAGTGCGCTACGCGAGCTACGAGCTCCGGATCTCTGGTTCATGCTATGCCCTCCCAGAGAGAGGTCAGGCGGAGGGATCTGGTGAGTAGTGGTGTGTGTGCTTCGGCCGAACGCGTGTTAGCATCTCTGAGCTACAAGGCTAACACGGGGTCTCCCACTCCAGGGGCTCGCCCCCCCCTCCATGAGGCAAGAGCCAGGGGGGGGCACAGCAGCCGAGTCACGTGGGATGAGCAGTCCCGTACTTATGACGTCGGGCCTGCAGGACACGTGACCGCCCCCGGCGCTCAAGGTGTGACGCAGGGGGCCCCCCGGCCCTTTCGTCCACCCCCCCTCCCTGCGAGGAACACCAGGAGAGGGCGGGGCCGTGACGTCTCGTGTTCCAGCTCCCGTTCCGCCCCTCACAGACTTCTACAGCATCTGGAGGGAGCAAGGTTTGCTGACAGATCTATGGCTGGAGAAAACATTGCGCAGGGGTTACGCACTGCAATTCTCCCGAAAGCCACCACCATTCCGAGGCGTACGGGCAGCACGCTCTCAGGTACGGGGATCATTAGAGGCACTACAAGCGGAGGTCTCCTCTCTGCTGAGTCGAGGCGCAGCAGTGGAGGTAGACCCGCAGGACGCCAGCAGGGGCCTTACTTCTTAGTGCCAAAGAAGTCAGGCGGGGTGCGTCCCATTTTGGATCTGCGCATTTTGAACGAGTGCATTTCCAAACGGCAGTTTCGGATGCTGTCCACAAAGCAGCTCCTCGAGTGTGTCAGGCAGGGAGATTGGATGTCCTCCATAGACCTGACAGACGCTTACTTCCACGTGCCGATAGTGCCGGAACACAGGAGGTTTCTGCGCTTCGCAGTGGGAGAGGGGAATTACGAGTACTGTCGTCTCCCCTTTGGCTACGCACTCGCGCCTCGCACTTTTTCCAAGTGCGTGGAGGCAGCACTGGAGCCGCTCAGACGCGCAGGGGTAAGAATTTTAACCTACATAGACGACTGGTTAATTCTGGCCTCATCCAGGGAAGTGGCCGTGAGTCATACGCACTGGGTCCTGTCCCACATACAGGACCCAGGCTTTGTGGTAAACAGGGAGAAAAGCAAGCTGCAGCCCGCTCAGCGCATGATTATCTCGGCCTGCAGCTAGACTCTGTGACATTCCGTGCTGCATTGTCCGTGGACAGAGGAATGAACATTACCCGTCTGGCCAGGGAGGTTCTGGCTGGCCCCAGAGTCCCCGCTCGGCGCCTCAGGTCCCTGCTGGGAATGATGGCGGCGGCTCATGCTGTGGTGCGGCTAGGCCTTCTCCACATGAGGAATTTTCAGAGGTGGTTCTCACGCCTGGTTCGCCTTAAGGGCCGCGGACGAGCCGCCCTTAGGCGTGGACGCTCTGGCTCATTACCCCTGGCCAGAGGGCCTGCTGTACGCTTTCCCACCAGTGCGTCTCCTGCCGGTCCTGCTGCGGAGGATCGAACAGGAGAGGAGGTCGGTGATCCTGGTGGCTCCGGACAGTCCGCATGCCCGGTGGTTCCCCTTCCTGAGGGGCATGGCGGTGATGGAGCCCTGGGCCCTCCCGGACGAGCCGGGGGCTCTAGTCCAGGGGGGGGGAGCCCTGTTTTCACGCCCAATAATCGGCCGCAGGCTCTGGATTTGGAGGCTGAGAGGCGGAACCTCGTAGACCTGGGTCTTCCCCCTGCGGTGGTGGAGACCATTCAGGGGGCGAGGGCGCCGTCCACTGTGAGGGCCTACGAGGTGGAGGCTCTTCAGCGACTGGTGCGGTTCTCGTTCCTGGGATCCCAGGCGTTGCCCGCTGGAGGGGGTTCTGGGATTCCTACAGGAGCTTTTTGACAAGGGGAGGGCTGTCGCCACCTTGGCGGTGTTCGCGGCAGCCATTACCTCGGGTCACGACGGATTCGGGGGGTTCACAGCCCGCTCTCACCCGTTGGTTAAACGTTTTCTGCGGGGGGCGCGCAGGAGGAGGCCCCCGCTCCAGAGAACACCCCCAGTTTGGGACCTCAGGGTGGTCCTTAGGGGGCTGTCGGGTCCGCCTTTTGAACCGGCGGCGGAGGCGAGTCCCGAGTGTGTCGCTTTTTAGACGGCCCTCTTGCTGGCGTTGGCGTCTGCTAAGAGGGCGGGCGACTTGTGTGCGCTTTCTGTCCATGCGTCTTGCCTGTCGTTTGGAGAAGGCGACGGCATGGTGGTATTGTGGCCCAATCCGGCCTTTCTACCCAAGGTCATCACGTCGGCCTTAGGTCGAGAGTCATCAGGATTAGGGCTTTCTATCCGCCACCGCATGCCTCCCCCGAGGAGGAGCGGCGGCACCTTCTGTGTCCTGTCAGAATGCTGAGGCATTACCTGGCCATGACGTCGTCATTCAGGTTGGGTGGTCAGCTGTTTGTGTGTCTGGGCCCCAAGAACAGGGGCGCCCCGCTGTCGGCTCAGCGGCTGGCGCACTGGGTCGCCACGGCTGTGCGGCGGGCGTATCAGACGCAGGGTCTGGCCCCCCCGGTGGGTTTCAGGTCGCATTCCACGCGTGGGGTGGCGGCCTCTACGGCCCTCCTCAGGGGGGCATCGGTCGAGGACGTCTGCCGTGCGGCTTCTTGGGCGTCGTCCTCTTCTTTCGTCCGGTCTTATCTTTTGGATGTGTCGGACCGGTCGGTGGCCCATTCCGTGCTGAGTGCAGCGGACTGAGTTAGACCGTTAGGTCCCTCCTCTGAGGGGGCCTTCGGTTGACTTTCCGCCCTGGTTCAGGAGCTCTTGGGAGAGGCGTCCTACAGGTGTGGTACTTATATGTGTGTTTGGTCGGTCAGGTAGTCCACGTCAGGAGCTCTTGGGAGAGGCGTCCTGGGACTACGGGTGACCTACGGTCTGTGTTACTTGGGGGTATCCTTGGTAGGAGTGGCCCTGTAACACGCATTGTTTCTTCTGCCCTGAGTCCTCTCACTGTGTGAGGGTCTTGCTCGGGCGGAGCTCCAATCACCCTTCGCTGGCCTGCTGGGAGTACATGTTCCTACGGCCTCCGCGTTGTGTCCCACTAGCGAAGTCCTAAGGGACGTAGCACCATGACGTAGAATTAATAGTTACCTAATGTAACTTTAGTTCGACGAATAGGTGCGTAGTCCCTTAGCTACGAGCCCATCAGGCCAGCCCGGCTTGGCAGAGTTCAAGAGGGGGTGCGGCCTTGTGCAGGGGCATTTATAGAAGAGGGTGGCTGGTGATTGGAGCAAATTATTTTGATCTCTCTGGCGTGTGACCTGGGGGTCACGAGTGATATCCCACTAGCGAAGTCCTAAGGGACTACGCACCTATTCGTAGAACTTAAGTTACATTAGGTAACTATTAAATCTCAATGCTAGATGGGAGTAAAAATTACACTGTGTACCTTTTTAAAGAGTCTGCCTTTCTGTCTTTGGAGGCATCCCAAACAAAATGATGTGTTCCCCCTCCGAGCAAACGGGTAATAGAGTGATCGTGTAGATGTTTGGATCACTAAGTCATAGATAAACTGGTTCTCACTAGGAAAACCAAATTAGCGCTGCAGTTTACTTGTATCAAAAAGTAAAAGTAAATTTCAGCAGGTTTGAAATTAGACTGTTTCTGTTTGAAGACTCAGCTAAAGCCTCAGTCCTGGACTCAGCATCAGCCTCAGACCTGGACTCAGCATCAGCCTCAGACCTGGACTCAGCATCAGCCTCAGACCTGGACTCAGCATCAGCCTCAGACCTGGACTCAGCATCAGCCTCAGAGCTGGACTCAGCTACAGCCTCAGACCTGGACTCAGCATCAGCCTCAGACCTGGACTCAGCTACAGCCTCAGACCTGGACTCAGTGTCATGTGCTCCTCATTCCTTTTGTTCTCTAACCTCACAAACACACATATCCCCACTGTATGGTGAGAGCATGGTGAAATGGTGTGAGGATGGTGAAAGTTTGGTGTGAATATGGGGAGAGTATTCAGATTCAGTTTATTTGCCATTTGCAGTAAAAAAAACCACATTGGAATACATTAGCAAAAGTCTCCAGTGTGCACAGACAAATACAGACATAAAACAACATTAAAAGACAAAAATAAAACAAATAAAACAGTAAACAAATGTCACTGTGAAATCGATCGACTAAAACAGTTCAAAATAAGTGCAAATCATTAAAGTGCTCTGTTCACACTGATAACAGCTTGTGGATAAAAACTGTTAGCGTAACGAGATGTCCTGCATCTCAGAGAGCGATATCTTCTGCCAGAGGGAAGAAGCTGGAACATGGCTTTCCCAGGGTGGCCAGAAGAGTCATTAACAATCCTAAGAGCTTTGTTTAAAAGTCTGGATTTATAAAGAACCTCCAGAACAGGAAGCTCACAGCCCACAGTCCTCTTTGCAGAGCGGAGCACCTTGTTTAAAGCTCTCTTTTCTTTATCTGTGATGTTTCCAAACCACACAGACACAGAACCAACAAGTAAACTCTCAATGGTGCAGCCATAAAGGTTAAGCAGAATCTTAGAGTTAGTGGTAAATTCTCTAAGTTTACGCAGAAAGTAGAGACGCTGACGAGCTTTCTTAACGACTCGGTCAGTGTTTTTAACCCATTTCAGGTTAGACAGAGTTAAACCCAGAAACTTGCACTCCTCTACGATCTGCACCTGGGAGTTGTCGATTACGACAGGCAAATGAGAACTATTGCGACTGAAGTCGTAGACCAGTTCACATGTTTTGGATGCGTTCAACTGGAGGTTGTTAGTTTGACTCCACTGAACCACATTTTGTATCTCTGCTCTATAAGAGGATTCATCATTGTCACTGATGAGACCGATAATGGTGGTGTCATCAGCATATTTAATGATCAAGTTTGAGTCAGAGGAGGACACACAATCGTGGGTGTACAAAGTAAAAAGCAAAGGACTCAAAATACATCCCTGAGGAGAACCAGTGCTCACAGAAACAACATCAGAAAAACAGTCATTGATTTTCACTCTCTGAGATCTGTCAGTTAAAAAGCTAAAAATCCATTTACACATGGCAACACTTAAACCGAGAGACATGAGCTTTTCAATCAGTTTACCTGGGACAAGGCAGTTAAAAGCAGAGCTAGAATCGATGAAAAGCATTCTGGCCACAGATTTACTAGTGTCCAAATGAGTGTAGACAGAGTTCAGAGCAAAGGAGATGGCATCCTCCACACTCCTGTTCTGTCTGTAAGCAAACTGGAGCGGGTCAACACTCACAGGGATCTGGCTCTTAATGAAGTATGGTGTGAGTATGGTGACAGTATGGTGTGAGTATGGCGAAAGTGAGACAGTACCACTGCGTGCAGCTCCAGCCGGCGGCAGTGTTCGCAGTGGTATGAGTCCTGGCGGTAGGGCAGGTGCTTGGACAGCAGCCCCAGGGCAGCTGTGGCAAAAGCAGCACTGACCAGGTGGAGGACCAGCATGCATTTCACCTGCCCACACAAAGAAGCCACACAAAACATTACACAAAGCACATCCTGAGAAAACACTGAAACATGTCTGGTTCCCTGCTCTCCCCAAGTGGTTGAAAAATATATTTAACCTTAGACTTTTCCGGATCTACTTTTAATTTATAATACGATTAATCTAATTCAAGAAAACAATTGCACAGTTTGAGAAACGCATCTGTATAATGCAAACAAAAGAATCTAACCTTTTTTTTCCCCCTATTGTAATTGTGCACTTTTTTGAAAAATATTCTAAATTACAGATTCAACTCCTACAGTCGCTCCAAAACGGTTCACTCCCCACTTAAACCAATGACTTGTGTTTTATTGTTGCATTTCCAAGTGCTAATTCTGCAACATCCTCCGGGAGAACGGCTGTTGTGATATTGAATAAGGAAGTAAATGATCCCTAATACGTTGTCTTTAAACAGTGTCTTTAAACACCCGGAGTTTTCACACTCTAGGAACCTTTTCTTAGTTCTTGTTCCTTTCTTGGAGCACACGTAATAAGAAATAGATAATGGGACCACACTTTGGAGTTAGTTAGCAGGTTTTCTGATACAGACAGAAACAAGCTTAACACCAAAAACATTAATATGTATATAATATAATAGTTACAATGAATGAAAAATAAAAACACAAACATATTTAAAACGGTAATCCACAGAGCACCACACAACTCACGTGGTGTTAAAAGTCAGGAAATGGAAGTGGATCTTAAGATGAGATAAAATATTCCACTGAGGGAGCTGTTTTGACGTGGGGGAGCAACAATGTGCGATATCCCACTTCTTTGAAAAGAGAAAACTCACCCAAAACAAAGTGGGCCTCCTCGCGCTGTGAATCAGCACCGACCCTGACAGCGTGACCTGCAAGAGAGAATTCACGGGTCAATCTATGTTTTGTGTCCTCTTTCTTAGACGATGAAAATAGAGAATACAGAGCACAGATCCCACTAATATAAAAAGGCAGTTTGTGATTTCAACACGTTCTGGATCATTTATCTGTATTCATCTTAAATAGGCTCATGTACGAATAAGGCCAGAAGTGATTGTGGCGAGGACCAGAGCAAAGGACAGTGGACAGAGGACAGAGGAGAGAAGAGAGAGGAGAGAGGAGAGAGGAGAGAGGAGAGAAGAGAGAGGAGAGAGGAGAGAGGAGAGAAGAGAGAGGACAGAGGAAATAGGACAGAAGACGGGGACAGAGGACAGAGGAGAAAGGAGAGAGGACAGAGGAGAGAGGACAGTGGAGAAAGGAGAGAGGACAGAGGAGAGAGGACAGAGGAGAAAGGAGAGAGGAGAGAGGACAGTGGACGAAGGAGAGAGGACAGAGGAGAGAGGAGAGAGGACAGAGGACAGAGGACGGAGGAGAGAGGACAGAGGAGAGAGGACAGAGGAGAGAGGAGAGAGGAGAAAGGAGAGAGGACAGAGGAGAGAGGACAGAGGACGGAGGAGAGAGGACAGAGGAGAAAGGACAGAGGACGGAGGAAATAGGACAGAGGACAGAGGAGAAAGGAGAGAGGACAGAGGAGAGAGGACAGAGGAGAGAGGACAGAGGAGAGGACAGAGGAGAGAGGACAGAAGAGAGAGGACAGAGGAGAGAGGACAGAGGACAGAGGACATTGGACAGAGGACGGAGGAGAGAGGACAGAGGAGAAGACATTGGACAGAGGACACACCTGTACAAAGGTGACGAAGAAGAGCGCGATGTCTTCATTGAAGTGTACCTCGTGAACATTCAGGACAGAGGAGCTCAGACACAGGATAAGAGCTGCAATCACAATCTGGACAGCCTGAGGACAGAGGACAGAGCTGCAATCACAATCTGGACAGCCTGAGGACAGAGGACAGAGGACAGAGCTGCAATCACAATCTGGACAGCCTGAGGACAGAGGACAGAGCTGCAAACCGAACGGAACATCGCTAAAATCAGGAATATCCTTCCTAAAAGTGACGCGGAAAAACGAATCCACGCCTTTGTCACCTCAAGACTTGACTACTGTAACGCTTTACTGGCAGCATGCCCTAAAACCTCTTTGAAGAGCTTCCAGCTCGTTCAGAATACAGCAGCTAGGATCTTAACAGGTACCAAAAGGACGGAGCACATAACTCCGGTGTTAAAATCCCTCCACTGGCTCCCTGTGGAGTACAGAATAAAGTTTAAAATTCCTCTTTTGAAATATAAAGCCATAAATGGCTTGGCTCCTTCTTATCTTCAAGAGTGTCATATCAACAAACCCGAGCATTGTACTCGCAAAACACCAGACGTCTGCTGGGTCCTAAAGTCTCAGAAAGCACTGTCGGTGGCAGAGCATTTAGCTTCCAAGCTCCTTTACTGTGGAATCAGCTTCCCACCCACGTTAAGGAAGCAGACACAGTCTCTACATTTAAGGCCAGGCTTAAAACATTCTTCAATTTAGCATTTTGTTTGTTTGTCCAGTCAGGGAAGGCTAAACTCTTTAGATTGTCAGCCAAGCTGCATAGGGAGTCAGTTTTCTGGGAGAAGTATGGTAACTTGAGCTCTATCCTCCCCTCCTTCTTACTTTATCTTTCTGCATTATCAGGATTATCAGGATTTTGACTGTAGTCTGTTCATTGCTATTCACCCGTTGTCCCATTGTCTGCTTCATGGTGCGACGACGGAACCTCTGAACCCGGCCTCCTTCGTCTACACCTGCGGACTGCCCTCCCCGACCCGCCTGGGAGTGCTTCAGTCCTGTACCGGACCTGTCCACGTTCTGTGGCCGCTGTGTGGCAGTGGTCCGGATCTGCAGCCCGTACGTCCGTGTGGAGCGGATCCCTCTCTCAATATGTGGGTCTTCCTGAGGTTTTTCACTTTTCTCCCACTGGGTTTTAGAGTTTTTCCTTGCAGATGCAGGAGGGTCTGTTGGACAGTTAGAGTCTAACAAAAAGGATGTGGTGATGATCCAGGACATTTTAACATTTTACAACATGTTTGACATTTATCAACATGTGTTCTATATTCTTTTGTCTCTTAACTGTTGATTCTCTGATCTGTGTTGGTGATTTCAACGGTTTTGTTAAGTCTCTGAGATGACTTATGTTGTGATTTAGGGCGATACAAGAATAAATTGTGTTGTATCATTGTATTGTAGGACAGAAGTGCAATCACACTCCGGACAGCCTGCGGACAGAACACAGAGGAGACAACAGCCTTTTTGGCTCTAAATGATGTGACGCGTACATTTTTTTTACGCTTTTAACGCATGTGCCAAGTGACTGGCACCCTGCGCGCGTGACCACGGGGCTATAGCTGTGAATGGGAGTCTGCAGCGTTCTCCCGAAGCGAAAAAAGACGCTAAATTAACTTTTCCTTTTCACTATAGCATTTCATGTTGTTTTTCCCCAAAAGTGAAATGTTATGAGCAAATCAAACAGATTTAATGACAGCCATTGGCTGACATGCATTTCAGACTTTTTTCAAAAGTCCCATTCTCATCCCTGTAACAAACAATAGTTTGCAGAGGCACAATAATGAAGAGGATCCACAGCCTTTATGAGACAGAGAAGAAGAAAGAGGCTTTAGCAGATGTGGAACATGTCGAGCTGAAAAAATAGTGTCTACAGAAAGACAGAATGTTACTAATGTTAATAATGTTAATGCCATTTTATGTGGATTTATTGTTATAATAAACAAATACAGTACATATGTAAACTATGTCGTCATTTATCTTTCCATTCAAACAACCATTTACAGAAAAATATGGCATCATTTTGCCGATAGTTCAAAATGCGATTTATTACGATTAATAATTTTTTTAGCTGTAATTAACTCGATTACAAAATGTTATCGCTTGACAGCCCTAGTTTTTAGGTGAGAGTTGTTTTTCTGTACGATTTGTTTCTTTAATGCACAGAGCTACATTTCGAGAACATACAAACTCACTATTCATTAAGTCCAAATTGTAAAAATCAAAAAGTATAAAAGAATTGCAGACATTATTGTCATGTTTAAAGCTAGAAATGCAGCTCTACCAGAAAATATACAAACACTGTTTATTGTTACGTCAGAAAATTAAAACTCTAGGTTTGACTTTAAACATCAGTTTGCACGAACAACATTAAAACAAATGTGTTTATCTGTCAAAGGTGTAAAACTGTGGAATGCTTAGGAAAACGAATCAAAACGTTTTCAAAATATCTTTCAATTTAAAAAGTTGTACACTGCAAAACTTATTGAATCATATAAACTTCTTAATTAAAAATGTGCAACAAAGCATCTGTGAATTTTATTGTTATTTTTGTTTTGTTATTTTGTTGGTGAAAACTGTACCATTTGAAAGGTCAGGGTAGATATGATTTTGAAAAGGGGCAGAAGAATATATGAATTGTATTCTTCATTTCTGCTCCTTTCCTTCATGTAAACGTTTAAAATATATATTGTAACTATTATTATGTGAACACAGTATTTTCATGAAAGTATAATCATATAAAGGAGTGTGTTGTTGCTGATGGAGCAGCCTTCCTCCTTTGGAATGAATTGTCGCTCTGATTGTCCCAAATACACCCCCTCCTCATTACCACCACTCGCACAAGAGAGTTGGCTTTGTTTTCCAAAAGGTGTGTTTCCAAAAATACATGATTTTCTAAATTAGTTGCAAGTTAAAGTTAATGAATAGGATTAAAGAGAAACTCAATTCAATAATTTGTGTTTAAACACAAATAATCAAATATTAGCCCAATAAATATACTTCAGATGACAACAATTGAATTGGTCATTAAAAAAATAAAACAAAAACAAATATTATTCATTAATAATATCATTTAGCTGTGTCCCAGATCTGGTGATGGACCAACCAACACAATATAAACAACGCAACACACCAATACAACGTGTTCAGGAGGTTATCACATTATTTTATACTAATATTTAATTATATGGAGCCTAATTGAAGCTTGTTCTGAATTAATTTAATATTAACTCGATGGAGCGTTTCAGCCTAAATAATGAGTGCCTGCTCACCCCCAATGTTTTGGGCTCCATCTTGAGGTGGGACTGCAGTTGTCCGGGTGTGAGGACAGGAGGGGGGTCCTGTCCGGGGACAGGAGGGAGGTCTTTGTCCACCTGAGACATCCTGCAGAGGACACAGCGAGAGACACATGAGGGAAGACAGTTAAGAAGCCTTGAGCTTATCGTCGACCGAGATTCTCATAACAACCTGACATGGGTGGATGTTTCTGATACCAGCCAAAATTACTGTATATCAAGTTCTATCTAGAAAACAAGAAGTACTTTGTTGAGATTGGAAACTGTGTCTTAGATCATATGGCCCTGAGCGGATCACACCCTCAATGTGGGCCTCCCTGTTGAGGGTGTGATCGTTTCTTACTTTTCCCCCACTGGGTTTTCAGAGTGTTTCCTCGCTTATGCAGAGGCTCGACATTCAACAACATTTATGGACATTGGTCATCTGCCTCTCGAACGGGCAATAGATCCAGGACTCAGGTTATAGAACGAGGACTGAGGCCACATGGTTCAGGACTGAGGTTATAGAACAAACGAGGACCGCTGCCTGAGGTGCATGTCTGTGTGGGAGAAGGGTCTCTGTTACCGGTCCCATTCGCCCAAACTACTATGGTCACCAGAACGCCTGAGAGTACTGGAAAGCCAAATTCTGTGTCATATAAAACAAAGAACTCTAAACTGCAAATTCTTGCAGTTTAGAATTTAGAGTCAAACTAACAACCTCCAGTTGAACGCATCCAAAACATGTGAACTGGTCTACGACTTCAGTCGCAATAGTTCTCATTTGCCTGTCGTAATCGACAACTCCCAGGTGCAGATCGTAGAGGAGTGCTGGGTTTAACTCTGTCTAACCTGAAATGGGTTAAAAACACTGACCGAGTCGTTAAGAAAGCTCGTCAGCGTCTCTACTTTCTGCGTAAACTTAGAGAATTTACCACTAACTCTAAGATTCTGCTTAACTTTTATGGCTGCACCATTGAGAGTTTACTTGTTGGTTCTGTGTCTGTGTGGTTTGGAAACATCACAGATAAAGAAAAGAGAGCTTTAAACAAGGTGCTCCGCTCTGCAAAGAGGACTGTGGGCTGTGAGCTTCCTGTTCTGGAGGTTCTTTATAAATCCAGACTTTTAAACAAAGCTCTTAGGATTGTTAATGACTCTTCTGGCCACCCTGGGAAAGCCATGTTCCAGCTTCTTCCCTCTGGCAGAAGATATTGCTCTCTGAGATCCAGGACATCTCGTTACGCTAACAGTTTTTATCCACAAGCTGTTATCAGTGTGAACAGAGCACTTTAATGATTTGCTCTTGTTTTGAAACTGTTTTAGTCGATCGATTTCACAGTGACATTTGTTTACTGTTTTATTTGTTTTATTTTTGTCTTTTAATGTTGTTTTATGTCTGTATTTGTCTGTGCACACTGGAGACTTTTGCTAATGTATTCCAATGTGTTTTTTTACTGCAAATGGCAAATAAACTGAATCTGAATCTAAACTTCTCCACAACAGTATCTGGGACCTGCCTGGTGTGTTCCTTTGTCTTCATGGTTCTCTCTGCGCTTTAAACAGAACCCTGAGACTATCAAAGAGCAGGTGCATTTATACGGAGACTTGATTACACACAGGTGCATTCTATTTATCATCATCAGTCATTTAGGACAACATTGGATCATTCAAAGATCCTCACTGAACTTCTGGACTGAGTTTGCTGCACTGAAAGTAAAGGGGCCGAATAATATTGCACGCCCCACTATACCGTTTTTTATTTGTTAAAAAAGTGTAAATTTCGCAAGGCACTGTAGATTTGTATGTTTCTTTTCTTGTTTTTGACTGGGAACTTTGAGTTGTGAATGAATTGTGCTTCAAATAATCTTCCCTTGCCAAATGTATATTATATTTTTGCTTTAATGCAGAGTCACGTCGTTTGAGGCCATTTGCTGAACACATATGAAATAATGTGTGGAGAGAAACAGCTCAGGTGTGTTCAGTGATGGGACATTTAGCTGCTCTAATTCCGCAGTTCTGTTATCACTTTATTACACAACTCTAAGCAGATAAAAGGCCCAGCGTTGTGCGATGGCGGTGTGTCCAGGGCGGGTCGTCCCGTATGACTTTCAGAAGGAGACGCTTCATGACGCTGCAGTTTGGTGCAGAGGACTCTCATCACCGCCGCCTCCATCCTCCGCATGTCTGTCATGAAGAGCTCCCGCAGAGAATGTGCAGTGCAGTTATTTATAAACAGTCTGTGACCGAGGAGCTGCAGCCTCTGCTGCGTCTGACACACGCACACTGCGTCCCAAACATGAGCAGGTCTCACCACAGATGTGCTTACCTGGAGTCAGCTGTCTGCAGATTCTTTCACTGGTACTAGAGAGACCGCTGCGGAAACCAGCGTCTTCGGATCGGAATAGTCCAGGATGGTCCGGAAGGATCAGGATAGTCCAGGATGGTCCGGAAGGATCCGAATAGTCCAGGATGGTCCGGAAGGATCAGAATAGTCCAGGATAGAGAACAGTGATGCCCGCCGCGCTGCTGCAGCGGATGCTGGCTCAGGACTTGTGCAAAGTTCCCGAGAGGCGGTGCTCTCTGCTCACTGCGGACCGCACTGAGCTGAGCAGCCAAACGACTGTATCCGAATGTGAACAGAAGACTCCTGTATTGGTTCCTTTTAACACTAATGTAATCAATCAGCGTATGAACATTTTTGGTCCTAACGTCGTTACTTTTTTGGATCTACGTGTAGTTTATTTCTATGTCATTGTTTTTTTTCTGAAATAATCTTTTATTTCTTAAGTGAGTGGTTCTACCATTAACTCCCAAAGTGTCATTTTGACTGCTTCATTCATTTGAATGCACAAGTTCAACAGCCATGTTCGGTCGCTTCGGTAAAAACTTTTTATTCCATTGACTGCTTTAAACTTCATTGGTTTGAAGCAGTCAAAATGACGGCTCTGGGATCTTTAGCAGCTTCATAGATGTGGCAGTCGTAGTAATGTGATAAGAACAGTACACTGCTGACTAACCATCAGACCTGTGGGGGTGTCATGATAAACTAACACCAAACAGCACTAAATGTAGTAAACTCTGGATCTTCTTTTCACGTGATTGAGATGAAATGATCTGAGAAGAGGACACTCCTGCTGAGTGCTGCTTCTACATTATGCTAGAATAGAGTTGAGCTGATAGAGAAAAAAACAAACATGTGTGGTTATTTTCTGATGCAATTTAGAATGAAGTGGTAGTTAAATATTATAGTAAAATAATAAAAGCTTCACTCTAGTGCATTCATGTGTTGTTCTATTTGGCACAGTAGTTGGCGCTTTACAGTCCATTAAAGTCAGTATTTCCTGGGTTTGATTCCTCCAGACAGGGCTTTTCTGTGTGAGTTTACATGTTCTCCCCGTGTCAGTGTAGGTTTCCTCCAGGTGCTTCTATTTCCCCTACTACTAAAAACATGTACACCAGTTCAAGTTGAATGAGTGTGTGTTTGGGAGTGGGACAATGGATGGAAACAGCCCAAGGTAAACTCTGGTGTGTTTATAACTGGATGAACAGTTGCAAAATTAAAATGTAACAGAGACTGAAATACGCTGTTGTTGAGAGAGTTTGTGACAAGTCGTTTGTAAAACTACAGCATGTTGTGTTTCTTACATTTAACTTATTAACATAAGCTGCCATTTCCCTGCGTTACTTGGTTGTATATTGCCATTTATGTTAATTGTAATTTAATTCGATTTATTAAAGCTCGTTACTTCACATGCAATAAATAATCATGAAAGTATCCAGAATAGAGCACTCAGAGAGAACCCGACAAATGTTACAAAGAACAGTTTAATCCAGGTATTTAGTTTTGTTTAACAATAGTGTGGAAGTAACGCCTCTGCTCATGGATGAAAATAATGCATCTCCACTGCCGCCTGGTGGCTGTCGTTATGATTTCATGTTACTGTGATCAATCTTTCGTCCCTGTGACAAAAACAGCACAGAAGGGATTCATAGAAAGTGTTTTCTATGGATAGGAATTCTTGAAGATGCAGAAAAATATGTGGTTTGATGACATATGTATTTGGAAACAAAAGACCTGAAGTCAGAACCCGGTCATAACTCAGGACCAGGTCTCAGGACCAGGTCTCAGGACCCAGTCCCCCCTCAGGACCCAGTCCCACCTCCGGACCAGGTCAGGACCCAGTCCCACCTCAGGACCAGGTCTCAGGACCAGGTTGCACCGCAGGACCCGGTCAGTCCCACTCGTCCAGGATACGACTGAAGGTCATGGGAAACAGACCTTTGAAGCTGCGCCTGTCTGTGGAATGCCCTTTTTGACCGCTTTAGGGCTCCACAGATGTTGGAAGCTTTTAAAAAGAGACTTAAGACCCACAATTTTTAGATTTAAATCTGTAATTGTGTATTGATCTGTTCTTTAGCCATTGTTTTTGGTATTTTACTCGTCTTTAAAACCTGCAGCAGTTTGATTTAGGGTCAAATGAAAAGTATAATTATTATGTTTTTTATTAGGCCCACAGTGCACTGTACGGGACAGGTCTGTGCATCCAACAAAGCTCTGTCATGTTAACCAATAGGAAGGGGTCTTCTTCAGTCCACAGCATCACTGCACTGTCACAGCGTGAAGGCTGTGGTTAGCACTCATCAAGTGTGATCCCCATTTCTGTGTACAGTTTGTATGTTTCCCCCGTTCAGCGGTTCACCACAAAAGCTGCAGATAACACAGTGTGAACACCAGGTGGACGGACGGCTAATGGCACAGACTGGCTGCCACCCTCCAGTCACCACTGAGTGTGCTGAGCCCATTAAGTCTCTAGTTTATACTGAAGTCGTGTACAACAGGAAGGCATTACAGTGGAACGTTGGGCAGGTGTCCATTGGAGCTGTTGGCACTGTACTGTCCTTTAGGCTGCGGCTCCAGGGACCCCCTGTGTCGGGGAGGTATGGGGGGCTGGGGGCTTCCTCTGTGTCTGATAGGCTGGGGATGAGTCCTGTTGTGGCAGTGCAGGCGGATAGTGTACATGAGGAGAGTGAGCAGCAGACTGACACACAGCACCAACAGCCCGCTCACTATGAGGAGCTCCTTCAGGTAGCAGGGGCCCCCAGGAACCCACTCTCTGAGCACAGACTTGTCAGTGTGGATTGTGGGAGCTGTGGGGAGGATAGGTCCACGTGGCTGGGACCGGAGCTCTGTGAGGGGCCGTGTGGAAGGAGCGGGGGACATCGGGGGCCCACTGTTCTGTCGGACTTGGTACACAGCCATGGTCTGCTGGAAGCCGCTCTCCGTCGACACACACAGGTAGTGTCCCAGTGTGGCAGGTGTGGCTACGAAGCTCAGGCTGCCGTTGTGCAGCTGCAGGTAGAGCTGCTCGGACAGACGGCTGTTGGGACGCTGCCACTGCTGCTGGGACAGCAGGGACAGGGCGGGACAGTGCAGGACGACCACCTCATTCAGAGACACTCTCACCAACACACCGGGAGGACACGGGGCTGCAACAAACACAGACTGTTACACCTTTCAAACTGGATCCTTCAATTAATGTAATAAACATTAGCAACGCAATGTTTTAAAGATTCCCCAGGCCCCACCAGACAATCGTTCTAGTCCTGGTTTAGTCAGGGTTTAGTCCTTGTCTAGTCCTTGTCTAGTCCTGGTCTAGTCCTGGTCTAGTCCTGGTCTTGTCCTGGTCTTGTCCTGGTCTTGTCCTGGTCTTGTCCTGGTCTTGTCCTGGTCTAGTCCTGGTCTTGTCCTGGTCTAGTCCTGGTCTAGTCCTAGTTTAGTCCTGGTTTAGTCCTGGTTTAGTCCTGGTTTAGTCCTGGTTTACTCCTGGTTTAGTCCTGGTTTAGACCTGGTTTAGACCTGGTTCATGCTGCCTCTTATTCAACACAATGACCAGTGTTGAATAAAAGTGTTGATTCAAGTACAAAACCGTTGTGTCCTTGGGCAAGACACTTCACCCACATTGCCTAACAAGACTGGTGTGTGCAGAAACTGGCAACACAGGTGAACATTGCTTTCACTGGGGTTCAAAATGGTTCCTTTAACACTGGAACTCTCAGCGCCGCCATTTTGACTGCTCCCAATCAAACCAATGGAATTCAGTCAAATTCACCCCTAAAATGTTTAGTTTTTCACCGGATTTAAAAAATGCCATTTATAATGTCTTCTACCTTTTCCTCACTTTTAATTAAGTGTTAAAACTGGTGAATATAACTAAGCAAAAAAACAGTTTGTTGAAAGGCTAATGCTAATTGCTCATTGTTCTAGGAAAACCAAGCTGAACCAGGACCAGTTGAAAACCAGTCCAGGATCAGTCCGGAACCAGCAGCTCCAAAGGATGACAGAAAAAAAGCAACTCCTCACATTTCAAAAATAAAAATGATACTACAAACAGGTACACTTGACTGCTCTGGGAGTTCTAGTGTTAAATGTGAGTCTCTGCAGTGGCACTGACCTGTGGGTATGTGAGGCCCAAACGGAGGCACACACACCTCGTCCACCTGCGCCCGCTCCATGTCCTGCACCCTGCACACACACAGTCACCATGGCAACATCGCTAAGGAAGTCTGTCTGTAGCATCTTTTACTAAAAATCAGCTAGATTAGCCTAGTTTTCATATTGGGACAGAGAATAACAACATTTTGACCTTTTTACACGGCACACCACAACAATTTTGTGTGTGTGTGTGTGTGTGTGTGTGTGTGTGTATGCATGTATATGTATGGTTTCTGTTCATAGTTCTGACAGTGGATTCTAATTTTGTGATTGTGTTGCTGTTTAGTCAAACTTATTTTTGGCTAATGCCTTAACTTTGAAATATTATGATGATGACAATAAGAACAGGTTACCAATTAGTTTTGAGAATTCTAGTGTGAATGAGTGAATGTATGAGTTTGTTTGGGTTGGGTGGGATGAAGATTAAGACAAAGAAACAAAAAGCCTGTTCTTTACTTTTTGTTCTGTGTACAAGAAATATTGATATATTTGGAGTGAGTGTCAGCTTGAAGTTTTATTTAGATCCAAATAGGGGGAAGGTTGTTGAAATTACGGCTTCTAAAACAATTTTTATGAGTGTTTCCGGATTTTGGAAGCCTCAGAAGGATTGCTCAAATGGCTGCGGAGCTCGTCCAGAGTCTATGTGTGTTTGAGTGTTAGTGATTGAAATATTTTGAAAAACAAATATTGCAGAAATAACAGATGTCACATTATAAATAGCTCTTGGAAAAATACGTACAGTATATATACAGTAACTGCACATACAGTAATATTAACTCGGCTCATACTGATGCAGGCTCAGGTGTGTAGTCCTCAAATTGAGTTGTAATCACAATATTGCAGGTTACAATTATGTTGGTGCAAAATCAAAAGAGGAATTACGTTTTTTCCATTCAAAAGCCACAACATGAAAAGGGCAGAAATGACCCACACAGACTGTATTTAGTGTAATATCTACAAATATGATTGTTTTACATTCCAAAATTTTATGCTGTATTTGAAACATGATTTATAGAAGAATATTGATAATGGCAATGTGTTAAAATTATGAAAACACTGATAAATAAATAAGATAAAAGATAACATATAAACAAGATGACAGGCCTGTTATACCTCAAGATTATTTTCTCGGGAAAACAAACTCATGTTTTTTTCTATAACCAATAAAACAAAACATTTTTAATCAATAATTAACTAAAAACATAAATCTGTACAACAGCTTCAATCTAACAATAACATCCGCTGTGCATGGAAACGACCGCTGTGTGCAGTTCCTCAGAGTTGTCAGTAAACGTTTTTAAAAATCCATTCTGGTTTAAAAGAAATGATCCTTTTGCATCATCAGAAGACAGTCAGCGCAAAAGAAAAGCAATTATCGAACAGTCCAGACATACAAGATAAAGATGGCGTCTAATTTAGTCACTGTGTAAATGAGACACACTGTTTCCTCTGTGGCGATGATGACTATAGTGCCTCAAATGTGGTGTGTGGTACTCACAGAGCAGGGCCCAGGGGGTGGACCACCTCCACACACTCTCTGCGGCTGCGGTCCCAGCCACAGAAGGGGTCCCGGCTCAGCACGCACTGTGCACAGGTCCGGTAGATGGAGCAGTTGGTCAATGGGAGCCTCACGATGCCTTCAGACGTGCCGATGAATATGACGCCCTGCAGGAGAGTCAGGGACGTCACACATGGAACTATCGTCTGAACATTTGATCAAAGTATTTCATTTAGGTTTGTTTGTTTTTGCACAAACGGCAGGGCCCAGGGCCCAGGGCTGACATGTGCAGAGTATTAAGGATTGTCTCCTGAGCTTACCTCAGAGAGCTTCATGCTGGTGATGGCCTGAGGCGGCTGGAACACTTGGATCTCTTCAATGACATGGGCTCCAGTCCCCAGCAGCACCACCTTGTGGACGAACCCCGAGTCTGACGAGGAACATAGTCACAGGGATTCATCTTGTCCTTTAAACATTATGTTGAGACTTTTCACTTTGATATTCCAAATTTAATAATGAAAAATATTGTATTTATGAAAAGAAAAAAATAATATCCAGTAGATGGTGGAGAATGTCATTATGCTTAATATCCCACGGCGCTGTGTGTTTTGATGAAACCACAAGAGGGTATATTTCCTTTCATAATTCAATTGCAATATTGTATTAAAATATATGACACATTTACTTGTAATATATAATATATAACAATTTAATGTTTTTGAATCCAATATGGCACTTATTAGGTGACCATCGACACCCGGCTGACCAAAGTCCTGATAGATCTAACACCATCATGAGATCCTCGAGACGAGAGGACTGGGTGGGTGTCAGTGGGACCGCCTTAAATTGGATTAAGTTCTATCTAGAAGACAGGAAGTACTTTGTTGAGATTGGAAGCTGAGATCATGTGTTCCTGATTTGATCCAACATGAACTACATGAACAGACCACGCTCAGATCTATGTTTGACTGACTCCTAGAGAACACGGACTAAACTCAAACACAACAGAAAATATATACTTGATCCCCAAAAAAAACATTAGTCCATGGTCTCAGGTCTCTGTCCTGAAGTCCTCTCACATTAGTCCTGGTCTCAGGTCTCTGTCCTGAAATCCTCTCACATTAGTCCTGGTCTCAGGTCTGTCCTGAAATCCTCACACATTAGTCCTGGTCTCAGGTCTCTGTCCTGAAGTCATCTCACATTAGTCCTGGTCTCAGGTCTGTCCTGAAGTCATCTCACATTAGTCCTGGTCTCAGGTCTGTCCTCAAATCCTCTCACATTAGTCCTGGTCTCAGGTCTGTCCTGAAGTCATCTCACATTAGTCCTGGTCTCAGGTCTCAGGATTATATCAGAACTCTTTCATAATTTTTTTTTTTTTTTTTTTTTTTTATTGGTGCAGGATTTTAATGTTTCTGTGCGTTTGGCCTTTTGAGTTGCCTTGTGTTATACAAATAAACTTGTCTATGCCCCTATGGAACATACCTGTGAGCAGAAAGAGCGTGGTGTAGTGCCTCCCATTGGCCACACGCACCCTCTGCACGCGGATGTGGCGGTACAGGTGCTGGGACACTAAGGTGAGGCTCCTGTCCAGGGCCCGCACGCTCTCTTCAGCCAGAAAGTTCTCTTTGACGAATCGCAAAGCAGAGTCCGAGGCATTGTGCAGCCCACACTGGGAAAACAACACAATATTAACTCTCACACAGTCACTGCCGGACTTTAGAGACAGAAAGGCCAAAGCAGGATGGTCAAGAAGGAGCACTACCGCAGGGGCTTTATCCCCATCGCTGTCAGACTGTACAATAAGTCACTTTAAGTCACTAATGCACTAGGACTGAGAAAAACAGCACTGCTATTGCCACTATTTCCTCTTTGCCTTTAAGATGTTGAACACTTCTGTCTTTTACACAATCTGAGTGATTCTATCTGTGCCAAATGTGACATGTGCATTTCTCCAGTGTGAGATCAATAAAGTTTATCTTATCTTAAAAAAGTGGAAATAAATCAAGTACCCACATATTAAATGTATACATGTTTTAAGGTTGACTCATGGTTGACGGTTTCATTGCAGTTGACCAAACCTGTCCAGTGGATATTTTGACTTTGAATAATGTTAATGTAAACATAGTGTAAAATGTTGATCAGGACGGACCTTGCAAATGAGGCTTGGCTATAAATGTTGTAGTGCATCACATTTGTACTTAGAAATTTAGATTTTATTTTGACCTTTAACAAAATCATTGAGGTTTGCTTCAGCACTTCAAGTTGGAAAAAGGTAAAACATGAAAAACAAAGATTTTTAGTCAGAATTTATATTGTTGTTATATTGAATATTCAGTGGTGGGATAACAATGAAGGTACTCAGAAAGGAATTGTAGGCATATGATATAATAATAATAACAATATCAATAATGCATCAGTTTTATATAGCGCTTTTTTGGACACTCAAAGCTGCTTAACATTCATTCACTCCACACACGGTGGTGATAAATTACTACTGTAGCCACAGCTGCCCTGGGGCACACTGACAGAAGCGAGGCACCCAGTCTGTGCCATCAGCCCCTCCGACCACCACCAACCATTCACACACACACCAGACTCATTCTAGGCAATGTGGGTCTTGCCTAAAGACACAACAGCAGTTTGGCACTTTACAGCCGCAGCCGCCCCACTGTGGCTGGTGTTCCCAGAGGTTAAGTGTGAAAGTGTGTCGATGGTGAAAGTCTTAAGGTGGGCTCGAACCCACGACCTTCTGGCTCAAAGGCCAATGCTCTACCAACTGAGCTACTGTCACCCTTTGATGACGAAGATATACTATGATATGTAAGAAGCAACCAAACAGAGGCATAATAGTCAGACTAGTTGCGGTCTCCAGAGATCAGAACAGTCGCTGACCTCTCCGGGGCTGGCGCTCTTCTCCTGCAGCCTGGACGTCCACTGCAGCGTGTCCCGGTTCAGGGCCTTGTAGCTCCCAGAGAACACGGCTCTGATGCTGCGAAGGCTGAAGGCACAGACAGCGGAGCGGCCCAAACGCAGAGGCCTGGATCACACACACACACACACACACACACACACACACACACACACACACAGCATTATACTGTCATATTCTCAATGCAATTTTTTCTCTATTTTGCCATTTTGAGACTTGAATGAACTTCTCACCACTGGGACGTGAAGACAGCGTAGAAGAGTGTGTCGTCAGCGCCCTCTAGTGCTGACAGCGTGTCGATGTCCTGGATCAGGTTAAAGGGCAGCTCCCCGTCCTCCTGACACAGCAGCTGAGCTTTAGCGAAGGTGGTCCAGCGCTTCTGCAGGGTCCGCTGCCCCCCCACGTCACTCTGTCACAAACAACACACACAGCACCACAACAGCACACACATCACCACAACAGCACACACACACACATCACCACAACAGCACACACATCACCACAACAGCACACACACACATCACCACAAACAGCACACACACACACATCACCACAACAGCACACACACACACATCACCACAACAGCACACACACACACATCACCACAACAGCACACACATCACCACAACAGCACACACACACATCACCACAACAGCACACACACACATCACAACAGCACACACACACATCACAACAGCACACACACACATCACAACAGCACACACACACATCACAACAGCACACACACACATCACAACAGCACACACACACATCACAACAGCATACACACACATCACCACAACACACACACACACACACACACCACCACAACAGCACACACACACATCACCACAACAGCACACACACACATCACCACAACAGCACACACACACATCACCACAATAACACACACACACATCACCACAACAGCACACACACACATCACCACAACAGCACACACACACATCACCACAACAGCACACACGCACATCACCACAACAGCACACACGCACATCACCACAACAGCACACACACACATCACCACAACACACACACATCACCACAACAGCACACACACACATCACCACAACAGCACACACACACATCACCACAACAGCACACACACACATCACCACAACAGCACACACACACATCACAACAGCACACACACACATCACAACAGCACACACACACATCACAACAGCATACACACACATCACCACAACAGCACACACACACATCACAACAGCACACACACACATCACAACAGCACACACACACATCACAACAGCATACACACACATCACCACAACAGCACACACACACATCACAACAGCACACACACATCACCACAACAGCACACACACACACATCACCACAACAGCACACACACATCACAACAGCACACACACATCACCACAACACACACACACACACACACACACCACCACAACAGCACACACGCACACACACACGCGCACACACACACACACACACACACACACACACACACACACATCACCACAACAGCACACACGCACACACACACGCGCACACACACACACACACACACACACACACGCATGTACTTAAATGGCTTTTAACATAAACGTGAAATAATGTGTTTTATGCCTAATTTCTAATGTTCTTCTTTTTTGAGATATTCAATAAGAACATTTAATCCATCTCACATTTACTGCCATCAAGAAACTGTCACATTATTTTTTTCTTAATATTTTTTCTTCTTATCTTTCCTATCTTTATTTTTTTAAAGATGCCTCACTTTTGCAGCGCATCAAAACATTGGATAGGACTCTTATTGTTCCTCTCCACTGAAATATTTATTAAAAGAATACAATCTGAAGAGAAACTTTTAAAGACTGTATTTTAGTCTTTTCACAAAAAGACAGAAGTTTTGAACATGTTTTTTAAAGTCCTGAGTGTAGCGCTCTTTCGTATGAACTGGCATTGAGTTCCAAAACTGGATGGCACGCACTGAAAAAGCTGATTGGCTGAAAACACTTTTTTAATAAGAATCTGTGTAAAAGTGGTGGTGGGACCAGGCAATTCAAGATTTTTAGAAACCAGGCAAACATCTTGGAATCTCACTTAGTTTTAGGTTTCAAGTTGGAGTTGGTCAGATGGTCTTTTCTTTATGATGAAGCCTGGGACTCACCGTGCAGATCTGAGCCACGCGGGACACCATCAGCCGCTCCATGAAGTCAAACTCTCGGCCCACTTCACTGAAGAAGAAAAAGACCTTCTCCTCCTCAAGGACGAACACGGAGCCGCTGAAGGTGGGCTCTGAAGACAGGAGATTTCATTTGATGTCAATTTTACCTGTATAGCACATTTACAACAACACCAGCGGCCCATAATGCTTCACATGGCTGCCCAAAAATAATAACAATTGTAAACCGCTTTGTGACTCTGGTCTGTGAAAGGCGGTATATAAATAAACATTACTTACTTACTTACTTACATGAACTAAAGAAAAAAGAGGTTAAAAAAATCTGTATAACAAGAAAAATAAAACGGCATGAAATACACACAAAAATGTAAAAATAGAACTTGTGTTGAAAGCCAAGTCATACCAATACGTCACATTCAACAAAAGCTGGTTTTCTGACCTCAATGATCTGACAGAAACATGCAATAATAACAGTTGAGTCTGATACAAAAGAGCTTTTAAACACTTAAAAACAAGCATCAGAATCTTCAAATCGACCCTGAATGTGACTGGGAGACAGTGAGGCCAGCACAGGGGTGATGTGCTCCCTCTCACATGTCCCAGTGAGGAGTAGCATTCTGGACCTGCTGAAGGCGCTTAACTGATAACTGACATAATGATATTTAATTTAAAACTTTTGCTTATTGACCACATATTGTACTGGACTGCACTGTACTGCACATTCCTCTGTCCCTTCTGTCAAAATGTTGCTTTCAAACTTGTGAAACCAAATAGTTATGGAGTTAACTGAGAGCCTTCGATTCAACCATTTTGCATTCCGACCCTAACTACAGTACTTGCTAGACTATTAAACCTATTATCTTTGTATAAACCACCTACATTTTAAGAGAAAGTACATTTTGGCTGCACTTCAACATAAGCTGCAGGTTTTCATGTGTAATGTATCACTTAATTCTGGGAAATTCAATGTATTTTAGACAAAAACAATCCTACTAAACGTGTTGGAGTCCTGTCCTGAGACCAGTCCTGTCTTTCCCCTGCACTTCCTCGTGTATATAGCTGTCTGCTGTTCACATAAACACATCAGGAAGCAGGAATGTGTGCTACATCATCAGTCCAGCTCCAACAAAATAAAAAATAAAAATTCTCTGCATCACTACATTAGGCCGCAGACGTTGAGAAAAGTCACGGCTTGTAGTCCAGAAAGTAGTATGTATTTTTCCTGGTATCAGTACTTTTAGACTTCACTTTTGACTTTCACTCCTCACCTCCTCACCTGTAATGCTTTTGGCGACTTACATTTTGGAGGTTTGAAATGGTCCACCATGATTTTAAGTGGTTTCAATCATTGTGGGTTAGCCGTGCTTCTACATTTAGATACAACCATTCGACGCCATTCAGCAGCAGTCACTGTGAGTTACTCTGCCCTCCTGCGATAGGATCAATTGTTTGGAAGGGTTTCTCTCCTGTGGGGCACCTACAAAACAATCGATCCTGGAGCTCTGTAAACACAACCCTGACTAAAAGTTGTGTCTCTGCTGCTGTGACCTAAAGTGCTGCTGCATTTTATTACTTTTAGAAATATGTGTTTTGTTTTTATGGGTGGATTCTGCTACTGGACACCTGAATCGATCAATCTATCTATCATGCTGCCCCGTGACCGTCTCACAGCCATTGGGTCACTACCAGGTCCAATACGCAGAATTATAAACTTTTTTCCATATAAAAACGGACTTTACTTTTACTCCACTTCTTGTATCTATACCAGAGTTGATTTGCATACTAGTATCTCTACTTTTAGCTAAGACTAGTGCATACAGTACTCTCTGTAGAGCGATGTGGTCATTGTTTGTTTTTGTTACAGTGCCCCCTGGTGTCCAAGAAGGGATTTGGACACAGCTCTATCAACTGCAAAACTCCAGAGCCGATGATGAAGCACACATTCCATCTTCCCGGTGTATTTATGTGAACAGTGAGCGAGTTTGAAACGAGAAAGTGTTGGAAAAATACACTGGACCTAATGTGATTAGGGCTATATATAAGTTTATGGATTTTCTTCTGTAGTAGAAATGGTGTTGTCATAAGAGATTGGAGGGATTTGTGTGTGGCCTACATGTGGACAAAATGTACGTTCTTTTCAAATTTAGCTGGTGCGGTCTGTGAACAGGTGTGCGTAATAATCCAGCCAGTACTGTACCTCTGTTATCTGTATGTTTGATACTTTCACAATATATTCTGCAGATCATATTCAAGAATCGAAAATAACACAGAGAAAGCATGATTCTATTATGTTGTGTGAAGTGGTTTGAGATGACAGATGTGCTGCAGCCTCACCATCGAGCCAGCCCAGAGTGTCATCGAGCTTCAGGTCCCTCCGGCCGCCCTCGCTCAGGTGTCTGGAGATGACGGGACGGTTGCCTCTGTAGTCTGCCACTGTCCCCGTGTAGAGCTCTCCATCTGGGAACACACACAGTCTCACTTGGCCTCTCACCAGAACACATTGTTATGGCCAATTCAGTGAACCATTACTAACATATTTTATTTAATTTTGCATCTACAAAACAAAAATGAAAGTGACATTTATTTTTCTTTAACTTCCTATTGTGGGTATCTTGTCTGAATTCCTAAAAAAGCATATTCTCTTAAAATTGAACAGCCAATCAGATGCGTGGAATCCATATGATCGTCTGTTGCTTGCCGCTGCAATGTATGGCCCATAAGCTATTAATTATTTGAAGTTAAATAGATAGATCCAGAGGGGGCCGGGTTCTTACCTACGCTGATGGCCGTGTTGGCTTGGTACGGGTCATACGGGCATCGGCCTCTCCCCTCATCCAACTGTTGGCTCATGGACAGAGTCTGCACGTCCTGAGGAGGGAAGACTGAGGTGACTCCAGGACACTTTCACAGACACTAGGTTTCAACTCATGACGCAGAAAGGAGGCGTTTTTGTGAGTCCTTTTTGTGAGTCTAAGGAGATGAGTACCTAACATGATCAGATTCAGATTCAGATTCAGTTTATTTGCCATTTGCAGTAAAAAAAACCACATTGGAATACATTAGCGAAAAGTCTCCAGTGTGCACAGACAAATACAGACATAAAACATTAAAAGACAAAAATAAAAAAAATAAAACAGTAAACAAAAGTCACTGTGAAATCGATCGACTAAAACAGTTCAAAACAAGTGCAAATCATTTAAGTGCTCTGTTCACACTGATAACAGCTTGTGGATAAAAACTGTTAGCGTAACGAGATGTCCTGCATCTCAGAGAGCGATATCTTCTACCAGAGGGAAGAAGCTGGAACATGGCTTTCCCAGGGTGGCCAGAAGACTCATTAACAATCCTAAGAGCTTTGTTTAAAAGTCTGGATTTATAAAGAACCTCCAGAACAGGAAGCTCACAGTTCAGAGATGACGAGGGAGCAAAGACAGAAACTGTTAAAAGAAAATCTACGGCTTCTATAACAGGTCTGTGTGTGTGTTCAGTCCCTGTAATTCCCTTGTCAGTCAGTCAGTGCATTCATTTCTAATATGAAGCAGTTTTAGATCAATACATTACATTATTTAGATGATTTGTATTTATTCCCTCATACATGATCTTGATTTCCTTGACATCATGTCTGCATAACATAAATACTCTGACAATAACAAACACTGACCATCTACTCGTGTCTCAACCATAGACTGTAAATAAAAGCAGACTTGGTGACGCCTATTTCCCCCATTGAAATGTATGTGTGGTCCCCATGGACAGTTTCAAAATGGCCTCGGGCAGCCCCTCCCGCAGGAAAATGGCGAAAAAACACTTTCGGAGTGGAGGCTGTATCATGTGTGCATGCGTTAGCCGGCACGAGCCAGTTCATTTAACCAGTGCCTTCAAAGGTCCACAGCAGCTAAACTCAGCTGGTCCAAAGAAAAACACTCGACAGCATCTGGATCATAGTGTTGAGCCAAGAGCAGACTTTTGGAACATCCTGTAAAGCCGTTTTCAAGAGGAAAACAGTCGCCATAAGAATTAATTGGAAAATTCTGCTTAAGGGTACAACGCCCCCAGAATGGAGTCAGATTACAAGCACATGAGCCGCGACCCGACGCCACTGGTCTCAACCCTCAATGTACAACATATTATTGAACGCACCCTGTAGTAATGGGTGAATCCTTCCTGCAGGAACGATCAGAGGAAATGTGGAGATGATGTTTGTAGAAGACAACATCTGTTTCTATGTGTTTCAGAGGGAACAGTGCAGTGTAGCAGCAGCTGGGGACTCACCAAGTAGACGCAGCGGGGGCTGAAGGCAAAGGTCCCACAGGCGTACATGTGAGTGTGGTTTAAGAAGAGCAGCACACGGAGGAAGTTTGCACAGTCAGCCTGCACAGAGGAGCAGAGGAGGCCAGAGATGAGGAGTGAGGAGCAGATGAGGTCTGAGATGAGGAGAGAGGAGCAGAGGAGGTCAGGGATGAGGAGAGAGGAGCAGAGGAGGTCTGAGATGAGGAGAGAGGAGCAGAGGAGGTCAGGGATGAGGAGAGAGGAGCAGAGGAGGTCAGAGATGAGGAGAGAGGAGCAGAGGAGGTCAGAGATGAGGAGAGAGGAGCAGAGGAGGTCAGAGATGAGGAGTGAGGAGCAGAGGAGGTCAGGGATGAGGAGAGAGGAGCAGAGGAGGTCAGAGATGAGGAGTGAGGAGCAGAGGAGGTGGGAAAGTAGGAGAGAGGCAGAGAGGACACCATACAGAAGAGAGGAAGTCAGAAAAGAGGGGAGAGGCGGAGAGGAGACCATACAGAAGAGAGGAGAAGAGGAGGCCAGAAAGGAGGAGAGAGAGGCGGAGAGGAGACCATACAGAAGAGAGGAAGTCAGAAAAGAGGAGAGAGGCGGAGAGGAGACCATACAGAAGAGAGGAGAAAAGGAGGCCAGAAAGGAAGAGAGAGAGGCGGAGAGGGGACCATACAGAAGAGAGGAGAAGAGGAGGCCAGAAAGGAGGAGAGAGAGGCAGAGAGGAGACCATACAGAAGAGAGGAGAAGAGGAGGCCAGAAAGGAGGAGAGAGAGGCGGAGAGGAGACCAAACAGAAGAGAGGAAGTCAGAAAGGAGGAGAGAAAAACAGGAGGTCAGAGAGGAGAAAATAGGCGGAGAAGAGGTCACATATGGGGAGAGAGGAGGTCAGAGGAGGTCAGAGAGGAGGAGAGCAGAGGTGGTCCAAACACCAGAACAAGTCTGTGCACAAACATGCTCACCACTTTCTTGCCTTTCATGGAACACTGCTCCGTGTCCTTCTTCGTGGGGCTCCACTCCAGCTGAGGACAGACAGACTCAATCCCAGGCCACAATATACAGAGGCGTGCAAATGTATCAATACAACTTGCACTTTTGTCACGTTTATGTGATATTCATTTTTATAAACTCAAAAGTGGCGTCTGTATAAATGATTTTTAACATGGATTTTTGAGTCACTCCTTTCCGATGCAGGAGGGTCTAAGGACAGTGATAATCCAGGATATTTATGCACATTTACGGACATTGGTCATCTCGCTCCCAATATGTTTTGTTATTGTATTTTCTGTGTTCAATTTTTTCTCTTATGTGTAAAGTCCTCCAAGACGACAGCTGTTGTGAATTAGGCCTATACAAAATAAATTGAATTAAATTGAATCACTGTCACTGTACAGAATCATGAGGTCCTTGGAAGACACCAAAAAGGTCAAGGATTAAGTTTTGATGAAATTCAAAGCAGTGCTCAGTCATACAAACATTTCCTAAAATGTGTACATCTCACAAAGCACTGTTCAATCTATTAATCCATAATCAAGAGCACTGGTCAAAAATGCAAGCATGCAAACCAGGATGAGTTTTGCGGCTGATCTGGGGGAATCTGTACAATCTGTACGCACAATATTAGTCATTTACTGAACAAATCTGGCCTTTATGGAAAGAAGACTCTAACACCACTGTCAAAGGTTGAACTTCTATTCTCCTTGAAACTTTGACCTGATCCATGTATCACTGCCTTCATTACACAGTTAATCAGGCATGTTTCAAATGAAATAGTTTTAGATCAATGGCAAATCCTGTCCGGTGGCCACGCATCCATCACTGCGTGTGTAGGAATAATGTCCACAACAATCTTAAAGCGCTTTGTGGATCTGTGTGTGAAAGACGGTATTCAATAAACATTACTTCCTGACTTCAACGATTTATGGACAATGCCACACATTGGAAAGAGTAAAGCACATCATTGAACAAATTACAGAACGTACCTTTCGAATGAGTTGGATGCTGTCTTTCGGGCTCACATCCAGCTCTAAGACAGCGTCCTGCGCCCCTGCATAGAGTGTGCGCTGGTCTGGGCTCAGCAGCAGAGTGCTGTAGTTCCGCACATTCTGGAGGTGGAACCATGTCAACCCACGGCTGCTACTGCCTGCACTCACAACAATTCAACAATTGTCCATAATTTTATTTTTTTTATCAATAAATAAAATGGAACTTAAATCCAACTGTGCGTACTGACCGAGCGGGAAAGAGATTCTGGGTGTGATGCTGCTGCCACAATGTGTCAGAAGAAAAGGCAGCAGCAGCAGGGAGACTCCAGGCTCCAGTCCCGGCATGTCTGGGATGGGGGACTGAAGGGGTGAGAGGGAGGGGACTAGGGGGACTGAAGCGGGGTGAGAGGGAGGGGACTGAAGAAGGGTCTGAGGGGTGAGAGGGCGATACACAGTGTGAGGCCTGTCACACTTTTAAATTCTGCAGCAATTTGAGACAATTAGTAAAAATTTATGATTAAAATGTTTTATTCTGCAGTGGAGCCACAAGTCTTGTATATCTGAATTCATTACATTTTGCAAAGCTAAAAATGCTGAAGATGACTGAAATTAGAAGATTCATCAAAGGTTTTAACATCATGAATATTCCATAGTGTCCCTTCTCCTTAGACCATTCTTCTTCTGCAAACTCAGTGGGAAAAAGGGAAACCTCAATGAAGCAGAGGTCCCATGGCCGGACAGGCTGCATGTGTCTCTACTGACAACGCTTAGGTCTATAAGAGAGGAGAACAAGTGGAGAAGTAATGGTACTAACAAGGTTCAGTAAAAGTACAGACACGTGCGACTGTTAAGACTTAAGTTTAGAATTAAAAAGTCAGTGAAAGTCAAAGGTTTCTACTTCTCAGCTCCAGTTTAGGTGAGTATTTGCGCTAGTTCCTTTCTAGTAAAAGAGTAGTAAAGAAGGACAGGGGGACAGCAGGGGATACAACTGGGGGCCAAAGTTCAGGGGTCAACACCGAAGGGCCTTCACACCTGCAAGAGATGAGTACATGAGACACACTGTGGATGCTTGATGAAGACATGAACTACACTTCTGCATTTGTCCATTTACAATCTTCTTGATATTTATGTGATGTTACAAATGTCCAACCATATTGCTCTGCCTTTATCCCTGAAAACGTGGGAACCTCTCATTATAATATGGATCTTTTATGAGACTTTAACAGTCTACAGAAGTCAGTCATTTTCACTTGATGTTTTGGTCGATGCAAACATATCTACTGCTGTCGTGGCAATCCTTGTTTTGACAGAATAAAATCAACAAAAAACATTTATTATGACCCAGCCCCAAACAACTAAGGTCAAAAACATGCTCATATTTTGACATGTTCGGTGTATAAGGCTCAGAACCTGTAATAGTGGTTTATTTTCTGAGATGTGATGTATGGAGGATTTGGTAAACCAGCGGTTGTCTTGGATTACACCCTCAGGTAGAAGACAACTTCACTGGCTTCAGTTTATATTTAAATGTATCTACTTTCAATATCCTTATTATTTATCCCAATATTTAGTTCCTTATAGGTCACAGTATAGTCTTCGTCACAATGAACATCTCTTCTTCACTGTCCCAAGAATAAAGAGAGAAATTGGAAATAATGCTTCAGTGTCCGGGCGCCTCGTGACTGGAACAACCTTCCAGCTTCCATTCGCTCCCTCACATCCTTTCCTCTGTTCTGAACGGCTCTATTAACTCAGCTTAAGAACACTTGTCTTTGTTTGTAACATCTCATATATAGCTAAAGAAATAATGTGTATTCAAAATTGTTTATGTACACGTGCATGGTATCTATTTACCTGTATATGTGTATGCTTTTAGACATATGTATGTATGTCTATGTATATGTGTGTGTGGATATATGTACTGTATACATGTATGTAACTGCATGTGTATATACATGTTTATATGTATATGTGTGTGTATGTGTATCCGTTTATATGCATGTATGTATGAATATATACAGATATACACTTATTAAATGATAACTACTGTATCTTATGAATATCTGTAAAGAGTGGATAAGCGAATAGTGAGAGCTGGTGTGAGTGTGTGGCATGAGTGGTGTGTGTGAGTATGTGTGTGTTTAAAGTATTTGTTGTATTATCATTTTTACTTTAATTTGTTGTATTATTATTATTACTGTCTTGTTTTGTATTGTTGTTGTTATAATTATTTTGTTTTGTTTTGTTTTTACTTGACTGTATCTATTCTGCTATCCTATGTTCTTTGGATTTGATCATGAGGACCCCCACGAAAACGAGATGATACATCTCATGGGGATTTATCCTCCAATAAAATGTCCATAAATAAATAAATAAATAAATACATTTGGAACTATGTGCTCTGGGGAAGATCATTTCACACAACCTTGTACCAGCTTGACACCTCCTCAGCCACTGTGATGGATGAGATGTATGTGGGACGCCTGAGGGCCAAGGCCCAGCCCTGTGACCTACTGTGCTGTTGCACTTTATTACTATTGTTAGTAATAATAACGTTAAGAATTATGTTTTTATTTGTTTTCTACGGATGGATGAGTTTCTGCTGGACACCTGGATTTCTCCCACGGGGATCAATAAAGCACCTATCCCTCCATCTATCTATCTATGCCAATGTATTCAAAGTATTTAGTAAATGTAATACAATTCACAACAGAATAGTTATTGGATCACACTGATGGGTCTGAATGACATTGGTTTTGTTTTGTAGAAGTTGGTCAATTTGGATACAACAGTTCAAAGAAAAGGTAAAGTTCACCGCCAGAAGAATTTGGTGAGCAACATTTGAACATTTGGTCACTAATTCCAGATGTCGTTCCTTCACAGTTTTTGTGCAAGAAATAAAAATAACTTAATTGTGTTCCCACAATTTCAAATATTTCAGCTGTTTAAAGAGCAGAAATCTCTAATTATAATGACAACAGCTATTGATCATATTTGATTCTCAAGCAATTACAATTGCATAAAGAAAAAAAAGAAAAAAAGAAGAATGAATGACTAGTTACTAGTAATATATTTACAAATTTTCACTAATGTAGTGAGTTACACTACTTGTTTTTGTATTACAACTAGTTAGTCCCAACATCGTCTGTCACTAAATCGATGATAACACCTGGATTTGCTTTTTTGGACACTCAAAGATGCTGCACATGTCGTTATTCTTTCTCTCCATATACTCAGGGGTGATAAACCGCTACCGTAGCCACAGCTGCCCTGGGGCACATTTACAGAAGTGAGGCAACTAACTAGTATGAGCCATCAGCCCCTCCCACACACACCAGACTCATTCTAATGTTGGTGAAGTGTCTTTCCTCAGGATAATGCAACAGTTTGGCACTTTACCGCCGCAGTCGCTCCACTGTGGCACCTGGTGTTCCCATAGGTCTCCCATGACCGTAATAACCAGAGCTTGCCCTGCTTAGCTTCAGAAATCTGACGAGATGTGGGTTTGACATCCAGGTATGGCCACATGCGGCTAATGACCCCAACACTGCTGTGTGGAGTGTGTGCTTCAGCAGTCTGCAGACAGCTGCGGGGAGCGAGAAGCTGTGTCCAGGTCCACACTGATCTACAAATGGTCTACACATGGTCTACACATGGTCTGCACATGGTCTACAAATGGTCTACACATGGTCTACACATGGTCTACACATGGTCTACACATGGTCTACACATGGTCTACACATGGTCTGCACATGGTCTACACATGGTCTGCACATGGTCTACACATGGTCTACACATGGTCTGCACATGGTCTACAAATGGTCTACACATGGTCTACACATGGTCTGCACATGGTCTACACATGGTCTACACGACGAGCAGAGAACCCACTACACAAGCACTCACGTATACTAACCACACACGCGCACATTCACTCACACACACACACGCACATGCAGATACACACGCACACATACACTTACACTCACACACACACACACACACACACATTCACACACACACGTAGACGTACACACAAACTCACACAGATGTCCTGGAGACCCGCAGAACAGCCCACAGTTGCGGGGCAGGACGGGACAGGACAGGGTGGGATGGGACAGCCGGGACAGAACGGGTCGGGGCAGGACGGAGCAGGACGGGACCTTTCCCCCACTTCTGCAGCCGCGTGTAGCACGAAAACAAACCCCTCAGCGCAGAGCTCAGTGCGGTGCCCCCAGTGGACAGACTGTGTGTCCTTTTATCCTTGTGTCTGCGTTATTATGGTTTTATAGATCCACTCTGGTGTTAGCACTCTGTCTGAAGTTCTTCACACCGCTTTTCCCTCATGTGCCCTGAGCCTGGCTCCGCTCCATGCTCCGCCCCAAAGCCTGTAACTACAGCCTCATTCTCTCATGGCTCGGTCTGGCCTGAGCTGATGTTGGAGATTCCTTTTGTTCTTGAGGAGAACTGTGCACATGTCTGTGAGTTTGATTTGTTACTTGTTTCTTCTTTCCCTGTTCTCAGAAGATTATCTGATACATTTATTTTGCTTTTGTAGAAAAAACTATTTTTATTGAAGGCAATATGAAGCCTCGTGAAGCAGTGATCTTTCGACACAATGGTCCGAAGCATGGTTGAGGTTTTATTAAAGTGAGACGTTTTTAATTGTATTTCATATGAAGAGGATAAGTTATAACTAATAATAATAATAATAATACATTTTATTTATATTGCACCTCGCACAGGAAACCTCAAAGTGCTAATTAAATACAGGACTGCTTCACATCACACACGTACGCACCCAGAGACAGACGGGAACATCTGCGGATCACAAAGTGCAGCCCTCACTCTCTGAAGGCCCCTAGATCATGAAGCTCCCAGTGAGCCGTCACGTCACCACACACGTCATACACTCAGCACATCACCATTTCTCCACCTCTCTCCATACTTCTCACATTCTCCCACTCTCTCACCAAGACACAATTTCAACAATATTGGATCTGGACTGTGTTGTTTGATTGAAGAAAACACATGGAATTAGTTCAGCGAAGAATACAACATCAGTGTTTTGAGTATGTGGAAGGGTCAGCACAACAGAGATCCACAGGTTGATTGGGTGGACTATGGATGGAAATATTGATGAAGTTGTTATTTATTTTTAGTCATTGGAGTTAATTTATCTAATCTATTGTTTTTCTGTCATTAGTAGTGCCACTTTCTTCGAAAACCTCATTTGAAGGATACTCCTATTCTCTTCCTGTATTAGAGGCATTCAAACGATGACTGAGCTCCTCACTCTGTCTCTGTGAAGGAAACTCATTTGTATCTGTCATTAACCAAAGCTC